CCTTACTCAGTAGAGACCGAAACTGAGACGGTCGGAAGCGTGGCAACCACTAGGCCGCCTGTCGCTCGTTCTCATTCGTACCATGCCGCAATCCTTCGCTTCGTAATGCTTGCCTGACCTTTCGACACAGGCGGCGATCAGTGCATCATCATGAACCCTTGCGCGCTGCAGTGTGAGAACGAGAAGCGAGTAAGGTACTCTGAATTCTGCGGTACAAGTTTCCCGTTGTTGCTTTCGCTGTCGCCAATCTTGATGTTTGCGAAAGATGAAGTCTAGAAGACAGCCCTTGTCGCACCTCTCCACCCGCAAACCAAGCTAGCGGACCGAAGAATCCGGGGAACGCAGGGGAGGTGCGACCCGCACACCATCCAGAACAGCGTCGTACCAACGCCCACTCCCTCTACGAAGAAACGCTGTTAACAATAAATCACATTCACAATCATCAAGCTCTTGGCCAGTAGATTCTTCCGGAATGTCTACTTCTGGTCTACTGTCGTAATTCTGCGTTTCAGCTCCACTCGCCACTGCCACTGCAGGCCCATCAATCTATTCATATTGCCGTCCCACCTTCCACTGCCGGCATATGTTCCAGCGGTTTCTGAGAGGACCGTGGATCTTCATGGTCGTCTGATCCTTCGTATATTGTTCCATGCAAGATCCTAGAAGATTAACACCAACATCATCACGTCACCAACTCAAGCAAGCCAGAAGATCATTCAGTATCAAAGTGATGAACCCTCTTCTCTGGCTATTATACATGCATCCTAGTCTAAAATAGCTTACGGGGAAAGGTGGCTCTACAAGCCTCCCTATAACCTATGGTGAATGCAAAAACCCTCCTCCATTGTGTCCCATCTCCAACCCCCAATAGGCTGGGCTGATAGTATAGACCGCTCACTACCGTGGCCGCCGGCGTCGTCTATTCGTCGTCGTCCGGGTTCGTGTCCGATTCGTAGACAAACTCACCCGGCGTCGACGCTTCGGCCTCACCCTCATCCACCATATTGTCGCTGACCGGCGCTGCAGCAGTTGTTACTGATACGCCTTCTGGACCTTGATCTCCTGAGGAACCCGACGCGCCAGGGGCAGGGGCAGGCACGGCCTTCTTTACCTTGAGCTCCAAGAGCGTCTTTGGTTCTGAAGGCTTGGTGTCTGTGAGAAGAATGACACCGAGAGTTGGCTGAGAGTGTGTTAGCTTAGTCATCTTCCATGTGGTATGTGGGCTACTAACCTTCTTCACTGGTACATATCGTTCGCTCGGGAAGCTGATGTACTTCACTTGTGGCGGCAGTACACGCGACATGTTCTCCAGTTCATAGCCAACCTTCTCCTTCTCCTTCTTCTTCGATGGCTCCACGGATTGGGTACCATCGGCCTTCTCACCATCTTCCTTCTTAGGATCCTCGTCGACGTCCATCTTATCGTCGTCTGCAGGCTTAGGTGTGGTAGGAGTATGATCCACGTCCATGCTTTCCCTCCGCTTTTGGCGCTCCTTTACCATTCGTCGTCGCTTATCTTGAGCGGTTGTCGACAAAACGGCAGTCTTGATCTTCTCGGGCGCCTCTTCAGCCTTGACCTCTGCATCTGGTGGGTAATCGAACGTGCTTGGCCTCGTGTTGCTGTGGAACTTGAACGACGGAATCTCCAGCTCCTGGTCTAGACCAATGACTGCAGTAGATGTGAAGCTCAATGACAAGAAGTGAGTCAAAGGGAACCAGTACCAGTACTGCGTGAAGACAGCCATGCCGACAATAGCGGCCATGTTCAAGTTACCAGTCGGCGTCTGCAGGCCGATTGTGCAATTCCGGCCTCCAGCGTCAATGATACCGATAGCTAGAGCAGCACCCAACTTGGCCAAAGCATCCTCATGGCGGTCGCTGACAACCTTGGCAAGCTGCTTTCGGATAGACGCTACCTTGGGATTCATCGCCTCGTTTTGCTGCACCATGATCATGGCTAACGCAATCAAAGCGCCTTGTCGGACGAAGTCGGTTGAGTCCTTCATCATGGGCTCCAACAGATCTACAGCCTCGGGAAGGCCAGTTCCGGCACATGCAATACCAAGAGCCATGGTGGCTCCGTAGCGCACATGTGGGTTGTACGACTCTGCGAGAAGCTCGACCATGCGGGGTACACTGCCTGGCTTCCTGAAGAGGATGAAGCCCAAGCTCATGACTGCAACTCTTCGTACGTCGTCGCTTACATCACTGACCGCAACGTGGAGTAACCTGCGGACGGCCTTGTTGCTACCTGTACCACAGTACGCCAAAGCGATGGTCATGATACCTCCGTAGCGCAGAGTTGGGTCTGGGTCGTCAAGGAGCCCGTTAATGAGCTCATCGGCAGCCTCTTGTCGACCGTACATGATAAGTGCCATACCCATGGCAAGACCACGAACAATCTTCTCGTGTTGGGTGTCGTGCGCATACTGGATCATGTCTTCGAGTGCCTTGATGTTACCAGTGCCGAGCATGACGAGACCCATTGAGAGACCGACAGCCTCACCGTTGATGGCAGAGTCTGTGTATAGAACGTTCTTGAACGCCTCGAAGATCTCCTCGGAGCCAGTGGCCATACCGGCGACACCAAGACCGAGCGCACCGCCATGCTGGATGACCTCCTCAGATGCATTCTGGAACTGCTTGAGTAGCAGATCAAGAACATTGCTTCCGTGATTGGCGTAGATCAAACCAAGAGCGTACAGTGATCCACCCTGCTCATAATGAGAGCCTGACGAAACGCTGTCCTTGGGAAGATAAGGCTCAAGAAGCTTCTGGCCTTGTGTGATGTTGCCACGGTGGATGACACCCAGAGCAGCGGTTGCGGAGAACTTGGACCAGTTCACTGCCTTTCCTAACCATTCCAGGTTCTCGCGGAAGAATGTGTCATTAGTAGTGCCAGCATTCATGAAGGCGTTCGCAAATGTGACACTGGAATGGAATATGGAGTTCCTGGCCTCCAAGCTGTCACGGACCTTGTTCAGCACGGCTTTGTCTGTGCGGTTGTTTCTGTAAAGGAATTCGAGGTTCAGCTCAATGCTCTTGGTTCCGCGAAGGATGTAGCGAACATTGTTGAAGACCTTGATCTGATCTTCACTCGCCTGGTCGCCCTTTGAGTTGCTAGTGTCCACGTCTGCAAGCAGAGAGTCTGATTCGCCTGCTTCCGTAGGTTTCTGCTCCTCCTTCTCGGCTTCTGGCAGCTCCTCCATGACCTTTGTGAGGAACTCTTGTGTGCCATTCTCGTACAGGTCGAACGAGATCTGGTATGCGACTGCGCGAGACTTGTCGTCGCCGCGCTCGATCAGCTGTCGGATGAGCTTTGAAGCGAGTGAGTGCTGGTTGAGGTACACTACACATTTGGCAATGGAGAAGTAATCGGGATTCGGGATTTGGTGATCGTTGAGGAGATCCAAGATCAGGCGGAGAATCTCGTTCCTCAGGCCTCGCTCTTGCACCACATTCATGCAGATGTCCAGGACGTATTCCATCAAATCCTCGCTCTGTGCAGAAGGCTGTGCAGGCTTCTTGCCCTGCTTCTTCCCATCTTGGCTCGCGCGGATGATTGACTCCTTCAAAACTTCGAGATTCCGTGCCTCAATGGCGATTCCTACGACCTGTTTGTAGTTGCCGCTTTGGTAGCAGCTCTCGAATATTCGTCGCACAGTGTCGTGGAGGTTCTTCTGGACATTTCGCTGTAACACCATCGGGGTGGGATGTGCTCCAGGTACACCAGCATTACCTCCTCCTGGGAGAGTAGGATCGAATGTCGACGAATCTTCCCTAGAGAGAAGTGACTTGGAGGGTAACGCGGACTGTGAGAAGGGCGTTATCGGAGAGGCCAGACTGGCTGAAGTGCTGGCACCTCCTGCTGCACTCCCAGAGAACGATGTGCTAAGTTGCGGCGGGGCCTGGCTCGCCTTGCTGACCGGTGTAGGTGGGTTGTGCATGACGGACAGCGCGATGTAGGTATCTAAGCACTTTGCTGGAAAAAGCAAGTTAGCCGATTGTGCTCCAAGTATGATGAATCCACTGCTTCAGCTTAAGATGGAAGTAGTCGTGAGCTGATTGGAAGGCTCAGGTGTCCGTGTTGTCTTACCCAGTATTGTCTCCTCGAACTCGGCGGCCTTGTGGATATCGAAGAGCTTGCCGGCACCCAGTGCGAAGACCATGCTCTCATTGTACTCTTGCAGCTGGTAGTACACCTTTGCGGCTACTAAAGCAGCAAGCTCTCGCTCGGGAAACGATTCGTCTTCGTAGAGAGCCTCACTATGACGCACCCATGTTAGCAGCTGCTCCGATGGTGATGGGCTGACGAGAGCGCGTAGAAGCTCCGCTAGGTTTCTTACATCTGACTGACAGAGCCCGCGACCTCTGGCCACAGAAGGTCGATCTCCTCGTTCAGCCGCTGGAGGGCGAATGAGCGCAGGGCCGGGTCTGGCTCCGAGAGGAAGCCGACGACACCGGCGGCGGACGTGAGGCCAACCATTGTGTTGTTTCTGGCGGGGGCGACGTGTGGCCTGGTGTTGTTGAATGGCCGTCGGCGGTTGTGGTGAGGGTGAGAGCTGTTGTTGCGGAAGTGGGTAGAAGCGTATGGAGCTGCGCTGTGGCGCCTGCGGGCTTGCCTGGGGTCAAAGGATAATCTGAGGCGGTGCTGCGTCGGACTCTATAGTGACGGTCGCAGTGAAAGAGGGACGAGAAGATGAGGGTGGGCGGCTGATGGGGGGATGGCGTGGCGCCGTTGTGATGTTCGGGGAATCGTGTACGTGATGGTCTAAACAGTAGCTCGTGAGTTTCGGAAGCGGCGACCCTGGTCCACTTCAGCATGACATAATACGCTACTTGCGCATCACCCACGATAAGCTCTACCTAGGCAGACATTCCACGTCATTAGCATTGCACAGTTCGGATGACAGTCTGCATGTTTATGCAGCACACAGGCGTCTGCAGCGAACAAGTCTCGGGAGCTTGTTGGTTTATGAATGATTAGATTCATGTCAGGCTTCATGTCAATCATCAGATGGAATACAACATAGCGAGAATTGGGTATCTTGATTTGAATGTGTAAACTCCACCCCATGCTGCTGAGCCCTTGTATGCTTCCGGGTGTTCAACGCCGTTTAGAAATAATAATAATAGTAGTAGTAGTAATACAAGCTCCTTCTCCAGCGCTTTCCTGTCTACGCACCGGGAACAGGAGGCGTGATTTCACGCGACAGAACCCGCAGATTATTCATCATACCGTTGATCAAGCTCTCAAACTTGGTCACCTCCTTCCGCCTCACTTTGTCCGCCTCTGCGATGAGAACACCAGAGTCCAGTTCGAGCTCTAGCTCGTGGTTCTTGCTGGTTCCTTGCGTGACCTGGGTCAGATCGACTTGGTACGCGCCCAGCCACGAGTACGACATGCGATCCTTTTGCCGCTGCATACTCTCCAGTGTCTTGCCTCCTTCCAGAGCGGGCTTGAGGCTCTCGATTGGACCCGGAAAGTCGATTTCGAGGTTGATGCCGATGCGGTAGTCCCATTCCGTCTTGGGAGAGCTGACTTCGAGGTTGCCTATTCGGTGTTTTATGATGGCTCGTAGGAACTCGCCCGTCTTCATGTCGCGCGTCACACGGACTTTTTGTCGGCTTCCAGATGCGCTAATGAGGCGCTGGACTATAGGGTTTAACTTGGAAAAGCCGTCCTGGTCGAGCTCATAAAAAATGTCCGTCTCGTAGGTATGTCTATAGTTGATCGCGGGACGTGAACCTCCAGATGTCTTGGAATGTTGGACCTGCGTGTTGAGGTACATGTTCATACGCTTATGTTGTTGAACAGTCATAGTGCTCTCGAACTTGACTTCTAGCATCTCGGTGTTTATTACGGTTTCGGTGCGCCAGAAGCCGCGTATTCGCTGGTTCGTCGTTTTCTCTAGGATCTGACCCCAGCGTGCTTCGACCTCGAGCTGCACCTTTGGATCCACGATGGCGTTGCGCACTGTTTCGTTGTTGACAGCCGTGTTCCATATGAAGTCGCATACGTTGCGCGAGACGTCATCGTAGATTTGCGCATCGTCTGAGATGGGCCGCTCGAAGCCTGCGAGTCCGGAAACACCGACTGCTGGGGGAGGCGCGCCGGTTTCGCTCGGCGCGTGTCCGTTGCGCTCGGCGTTGGGTGAAGGTTGAGGTCGAGGCGGCGGGTGATGCGATGGTATAGCTTGCGCATGCGGCTGCGGCTGGGCTATGACAGGTGGAGGCAGACGTGATTGTTGGCGTTGTTGCTCTTGCAGCTGCTTGAGCTCAGGCGGGAGTTCTTCACCTTCACGATAGGCCCATATCGGCTTGGGGTCATGGCGTTTCCGCTTGAGCGACATCTGCTTCTGGCTGGGTTTAGGCGTCGGTATCTTTGCGGCGGGAGTGACGGGGGAGGATGAGAAGAGTGATTGGGGATTGGAGAGTGAACGGCGCGGTAGCACCGATGCTTCCCCATCGTGATTTACTAGCGCAGATATGTCCATCGTGGGTTGTGGTAGGGTTGTGCGTCGGACTCACCATCGTGTACAGAAGGCTAGTGTTGCTGGCGCACGGACGATGTCACCCTTGGATGCCTTGTTGTGCCGCCTTGCAGTGGGATATCACTTATGTCTTTGTCTCGGCTTAGCATGCGACGATCACTCGAAATCATAAGAAGAGGTGGTCATTAAAGAGTTCGCTTGATCCGCTAGTGTTTACACCTAATCTTGTGTCCCTATGCGCCAGACCGTCATTTGCGAAAACGAGTCATGTATATGCGCCTCATGCAGCGCACTCCACACCCTCTATCTAAGCACCGCACGTCTCCGCTCCAACCCTACCTTCACGCGTCTTGGTCAAGACCAAGGTCCTCCTGTGCGGGGACAATGCGGAGTGTGTTGGTGTGGCCCATACCTCCTCTCCAGCCTTGTACGCAAATGACTGGATCGCCCTTGTTGAGAACACCGAGCTTAATGGCGTTCATAATTCCCCACTTCAAACGGCGGTCAACATCCTCCTGCCATGGTTCAGTCTTGAAGTCTGGCTTCGCCTCGGGGAAGTAAAATGGATATACGCCGCGGTACAAGTGGGAATACTGCAGAAGTTAGCCTAGGAATCCTTGTGCACAAGAGAAAAAGAAACTCACCCTAGCGGCCATCTCGTTGCGGGTAACCATGATGATGGGGCAAACGGGGCGGTACTTGGAGACAAGGCGGGCGGTGGTACCACTAATGCACGTTAGAACCTAGAATCACAGGTGTACAAGATGTCAATGAACTTACCTCGTTGTCAGGACCAAGATGGCACCGGCGTTCTGCTCGAGACTGGCACTGACAGCTGCCATAGCGCACGTCTCAGTGGTAGGGCATGGGACGGGAGCCAGCTTCCTCAGCTCGTCAAAAGCGTTGACATATGGGATAGCGACCTCTGCGAGCAGGCAAGTCTCGTGCATCATGGTGACAGCCTCTACGGGGTAGTCACCCTTTGCTGTCTCTCCAGACAACATGACACAGTCAGCACCGTCGAGGACAGCGTTACCGACGTCGCTGACTTCAGCGCGGGTTGGGCGTGGGTTGTAGGTCATGGACTCGAGCATCTGAGTTGCGCAAATGACGGGCTTGCCGGCAATGTTGCACTTGGTGATCATCATCTTCTGAGCGATGAAGACCTGGCTGGGTGGAATCTCGATACCAAGGTCACCACGAGCGACCATGACACCGTCAGTCTCCCTCAGAATCTCGTCGAAGTTGTTTACACCTTGCTGGTTCTCGACCTTGGCAATGATCTGGATGTCCTTGCCCTCCTCGCCGAGCACCTCGCGGATAGCAGTGATGTCGCTTCCACGGCGGATGAACGAGGCGAAGACCATGTCGACCTTGTTCTTGACACCGAACTTGAGATCGGCCTTGTCCTTCTCAGATAGTGGGGGAAGGTCAATGTCGGTCTTGGGCAGGTTTACACCCTTCCTGGACGAGATCTTGCCGTTGTTGACGCACTTGCACTTGAGCGTCTTGTCGTCTGTGACCTCAATGACCTCAAATGAGAGGACACCGTCGTCGACGTAGATTGTGCGGCCAGGTGCGATGACCTTGGTAATGTTCTTGTAGTCGACGTACATGTTCTTGTCGTCGCAAGCGGTGGCATATTGCTCATCAGTGGTGATGTTGATGATGGAGCCAGCCTTGATGGGAATATCGGCATCTCCGACTGTGTTACCAGTTCGGATCTCGGGGCCCTTGGTGTCGAGGGCAATAGCCACAGGCCTGCCGGGTTGTGTCCTCTCGGCCTCGCGCGCGTTGTCGATGACGGACTGGTGGTACTCGTAGGAGCCGTGGGAGAAGTTCATGCGAACGACATTGAGACCAACTTTGCGGAGGGCGTTGATCTTCTCGGCGGAGTTTGTCTTTGGACCGATGGTGCAGATGATGGAGGTTCTTCGGTACTCCCGTGCAGGTGTGTACTCAGTGTTGAGCTGGCTGAGCCACTCGATCCTGGTCCTGCCGGAGTTGAGGTGGTCTAGACTGGTGGGGGTGTCAGTGGGTGTTTTATGAGTTGTATGCCTCTATAGAAGAGACCTTTTCCAGCGCGTTCGGCTCTGAACGTAAATCATACAATCCAGTGTGCGAAGCCGCTCCGAGTCTTTACTAAGAGATTATAATTTACATACGCGTTCGCCATTTTGTGGATGGTGTTTTGGAGAGAAGAGGTGGTGGAGGGGAAAGTCTGAGTCGCTGTCGCGGAATGCGGGGCCGGTCGAAGGAGTCTTTATAGCGAACTCCAATGGGTTTGGCGACGGCTGGTGAAGAGGAAGAGAGGTGGGCAAATTGTGTCTTCAAAAATGGCGGTCGACGGGGTTTATCTTCTACTGCGACGGGCTAGAAGTTTTGTTGGCTGTTGAGCGCGTTTTGGAGGGGCAGTTTAGTCTAGGCGCTAGTTATGCTGATTAGTACGACGTGGGGCGCTGCAACCCTGAGCGGCGGCCGTTTGGATATGAGAATTGGAAACAGATTGGAGTCAGGAAATGGTCTGGAGACGGTTTGGTTGAATAAAAGGCTTTCGTTATGCGCCGAGCGATCTGCTGACGGTACTGCTGAATCTGTCCCATGGGCAAGTATTGTGACACCCATTTGCTTCTTCGACTCCACCCACGTTCCTGCATCATTGCACCCAGACATCCCGCCCAGATAAGCCGTCAAACGTGTACTGTTTTTGCACAGCAATTGAAAATCTCGGCGCCGCGTTCCCGCTGGGCGTATCTGGCTAGTGGGCAGTTGTGGTAATGCGCGGCCGGCTGCTGGCGTGTCTCGATTTTTCAGAGTGGGTTACCCGCGCGGAGATGGGTGGTGTGTTCTTGGAGGTTCATGGGGTCCAGAAAGTTTCACCCATGGACTACGTCGCGGCAGGCCCTGTTATATACCAAGTGCAGCACGTCGTAGGGTCCGCTCCTAAATCACCCGCAACTGCTCCGCATGGCTTGCCCGAGGTCAAAGGGAAAGGGTCCCATTGATGCGACATTATGCTCCAGTTCCATATTAGTGGAGACGATCGCAGGTAGCAGCCCTATCTGAGCCTCCGGGGCAGCCTACAAACAGCCTGGCCGCAGTAGCACCCAGATAATTATGGAGAACACATGAACACGATCAACGGGTGCAGTTGTCACACAGATAGCAGTACGGTATTCTAGACTAGAAACAAGGGAGCCCTGGAGTCGCGTGCCAGCTCAATCACATGCAGACGAGTGACTAAGTCGCGGCACCAGCCACACTAGGTCTCTCCTCCACCCTACACCGCATCCCGCATCCTTCGCTCAACAACACACGACAACACCACCCACACCCGCAACAAGCCCCTAGACACTCGTCGCCTCGCTCTCCCCAGCAGCCCCATACCACCCCATACCGATCCGCCACCTCTTCCGCCCAAAAAGTCGCCCATCATGGTTGTATGTACCATACTCCTCTACGGTGCCTACTACTTTGTCGGTCGGACCACCGAGTCGCATGCTCCCTAGCTCACACAAGTAACAGCTCGGCAAAGTCGCACATTACGCCTTCGATGCGGTATTAAGTACGTGCACTGGAAACACGCCTGCCCAATCCATCGCTAACACTGCTTCAGTATCCGCCTTCCTTGCCGGCGTCCGACGCTCGACTGGCCTCACGTATGTTCCCCCATCCCACCCCCCCTCGTTAAGCGCCACCCACCTCCTCCTCTCCACACTCCATCTCGGGCCATCTCACAAGTACCCTACAACTACACGATCGGAGCTAAAGCTAAACCCAGTCCCAGTGTAAAGCCAGATACATTCGGCGAGAACCCCAGCGCCCAGAAGTGGTTTGAAAGCTACCTCTGGGTTGGCGAGACAGTCATGGACTCGAGTGTAGCATTTTTCGGCTCCAGCTCCTACTTCGAGCGCAAGCGATAGATGCCTCCATATCGAATAGGATCAGGTCACAGCGACGCGGTGTGCGGACAATGAAACGCCGCGAAAAGTGGGCGGGGCGACTGGAGCTCTGGAAGCTTGCACTGCGCCGGGTGGACTGGGTACAGTCTGGGAATATCTACATGGCACGAAGTTGAATGAAGACCCCGGCTTCGAAGTTCTACCTCGATGAGCGGGCAGATGGCGTTGGGGCGCTATACCATTATCTATGAGATTACGAATCAAAACCACTTCAAACACACGCATCCTTCGCTTCCGGTAATCGAGGTCTACTGCGGTGGAGTGAGTTCCCGTGCTGGGGCAAGGCAACACAACGCTTTTAAATATCACAATTGACGATGCAGTTGATATCTAACCCACTATCGCTACACTCCTTCCAGGGTATCATGCACGCATACATATAAATCGAGAAAACATCGGTACAGCAAAAATGTGTTAGGTCCTCCGCTTGAACCTAAACCCTGTCTCCTCATCGTCGCTGTCATCATCCCTCCTCGCAAACCTCCCCTTCTTACTAGCAGGCTGCCCGCTACTTGCGGTCGCCCCAGAACTCCTCTTCTTTCCCCTTTGTGTCGTTTGCGTCCCTTCGAGTTGCGTCTCCACAACCCTTTGAGTCCGCCCACTACTCCTCTGCGTCCGCTGTTCCGGAACTTCCTCTTCATCGTCTGGGCCGCTGTCCTCAACGTTGATGACTTCCTGTTGTGGCTGGGACTGCGTTGTTCGTTTTCTGCGAGTGAAGCCACCGACTTCTGGTTCCGAGTCGGAGTCGGGTGCTGCAGTACGACCGCGTCGGCTATGGTGTGAGCGACCAGAGGGTTCAGGATCTTCGAGGAAAAAGGCCTCGGTGATACCATGTGTCTTCTTAGAGGGTGCTTCTTCAAGTGTGACGAGGACTTTTTGGCTTTGGACGCCTTGTTCCGCACCGCGGCGACGGAACTTCTTGAAGTTTTTGCGACCGTTCCATTCGTCGTTCCAGCGCACACTGTTAGTCTGACTTTGGTTGCGTGCCGTACTTTTGTTTTGTCGGGGTAAAACGTCCATCACCTCTACTTTGGCCAGATTCTTCAGCTCGGTGATATCGATGCCCTCGAGTGCTTCCCGTAGACTGTCTTCATCCGCCTTACGACGTTCCTCTTCTTCTTTGATGCGCTGACGCGTATGCTCACGGATGTTAATGTCTTTCTCGGCTTTCTTCTCTGCTCTGTTGAGCCGCGCAAGAGTCTCCGCGCCTCTTTTCGCTGGTTTCTTCACAGAACCCCCTTCTTCTGGCTCGACAGATGCTGATGGTGCGCGGGTAGCCGCTCTCTGCTTCCTCATCCTAGCGGCGGTAGGGAACAGAGTATCCATCTGCGCTTCTTTCTCAATCGTTGATTGTACGTGTAATTGCGGAGAGGCTTCCCGTTGTGCGCCTAGTGTAGTACGTGCTTGCGAAGCAGACTTTGATGGCCCTGGAGGCGATTCAGACTGCTGAACATCTTCCATATGGGTATTCTCAACCTTGAGCTTCTTCTTCGGAAGCGGTTCGTCGTCATCGTCAAAACCAGTAAAGCGGCTCGTTTTAGGTCGGTGTATGCGCTTCCGTGGAATGGTCTTCGCAGGTTCTTCCGCTGGAGGTGTGCTCTCTTCAGGAGCCTGCGATGGTGCTCTGGATCCAGACGTTGGTGTTGGTTGACGCATGGAACGTCGAATTGTCATAGTTTCTGGTGCAGGTGCAGGAGTATTCACTTCTGTGGGCGGCCTTTGTATTGTGGTGCGATCTTTCGTGATGATTACGTCGAGAAACTCATTCTGTAAGACTGAGCGCTGACCGAGGGCCTGATCGACCCCAATGACAAAGTTTGTGGCCCATTCTTCCATCTCGTCAGGGTACGCTGGTAAGCGCACTGTTATAACGGGAAGCTTATCACCAGGTTTGCCGCGCCGCTTCTTCCCTGCTACGCTGTGAACGTAGTCGACGTACTCTTCTATTGTTGTCTCGCCCAATCGTATATCGTATAGTAGTGCTTTACCGCCTCCGCCAGTGACAGGATCCAGCAAACTGCTGTATTGACCTTCGTTCAAAAATACAAAGGTCAAGCCTGAAAATGTTTCTGACCGTGAGGGATCAGGCAATAGCATCTCCTGTGGTCGCGCAACCGGTTCTGCGCCCGCTGCTGGTATGTATTCCTTCTCCGCTGGCCACCATGCGTCAAAGTCCTGTTCCAGCTTCGAAGGCAGGTAATTGTTGTCTTCGTCGACCGATGGCGCTGCGACTCCGAGGACTGCATCGAGATATTCTGTAGTGACGATATGTTTGGCGGAAGTGAGACCCGAGAGGACTTTGGGAAGGTTTCGTTTCGCGGATATGACGTGAGTGGTCTGGTTGAATACGAAGTCGGCTGTGGTCTTGATATCCAGGGCATGTAACTGCGCACTTTTGATTTTGCTTTCTCTTGACTCTTTTGAAGCATAAGTGAAGACGATTGGGCGCCAGACAATTCTGAAAGGCGCATAGCTAGCAGCCAGTCTGATGGTATGCTCAGTGCCCTTCAAAGTCTCACGGCTGTATTCTATCGATCCGTCGGCTGCCTTCTGGCTCTTTACAGTCGTCTTGTCGTCAATCGTAATTCCTTGCCTACAACTCAAGTCGGTCACCTCAATTTGCGACCTCTTGTGAAGCTTCGTGCCGTCCTCTGGTGCTGCGTCGTAAACCTTCAGCATAACATGCTTGCGCGAGACGGCCTTGTTATCTATCTTCCAATTGGTTCCTTGTGGTCCGTCTTTGTCGTCGGACTTGGTTCGACCAAACAGTTGCTGTGACCCAGGGCGGAGCCAGACGCGCTTGCCTCCGAAAAGGCTCTCGTGCTCTAAGAACCACATGTTTGTGGTGTTGGGTAGGGAGGGATCACGAAGCGAGTGGGATGGCGGCGGACAAGATGCGCATTGTCGTCTTCGCCGTAGGACTGCGATCGAATTTGTCTCGGGTGGTGTTGGCTGCCTTCACAGTTCTAGGCTGAAGCAAGTCGAGCCCATGCGCGGGGTGACGCGCTGTCATGTGAGACGCTAACGCTCTTCTCGACGATCTCTCAGCAACCACGACCAGACCTTAACATCGTTACCTTCACGCTATTTTGGGCCGCGATCTTCGACACACATTCAGTTCACTGCCAGGATAATAAGATTCCTATGAATGCCACTTGTGTGGGTTCATGTATTCACAGTGGACGGCGACCCAGTAGTGATAAAATTGAGGCTGAAGAATCTATAATCTGATCGGCCAGTAGAACGCGACAATCCACCTATAGAGGCGCTGCCCTACGTGGTTGGCAACAGGTACATGCACGGCAATATGCCAAAAAGAAAGAGTACGGGACAGCAAACACCAACCTATCATAAAATGAACAGACAGCGGCCAATGAATCTGGAGAGCACCAGCATTGTACCTTCTTCTTCCATCTTCTCTCCCAGCCTCTACTCTAAGAGCATCCTACAAAGCTCTACGCCTGACCTTGCGTTGTTTGCTCGAACGCAGCACTCTTCTCTCTTTCCTCCTTAATCCGCTGTGCGTACGAGCTTCGAGACCTGATGCTAGGACCCCACTTGTAGATGAAGAAGACCGGGGCGCATACGAGGGCGGAGATCGCAAACAAGACCCATGTCGAATTCTGGACACCGAGCTTCTTGTACATTGGCCCGGTGTAGAAGGAGCATAAACCCGCAAGGACATCTCGAGCAAAACCATTGCCGCCGGTGGCTGATGCTGAATAAGTTCCTCCGTAAGCGGCGACCATGTAGTCAATGGTGGCAAAGTAGATGGCAAGGTTTGCGCATCCGATCAAGACGGCGAATATGAGGGGTGCGATCCATGGCAGAGGCGGGCCAGTAACTACGAATGCGGAGCCGAACAAGCCGATGGGAAGAAGCAGTACGATCCATCGGAGGGCTGACAGTCGGCTCTCAGGGCTGAGCACTTGACCGTTGCCACGCTGCTGGTTGTGTCGTCGTATGACTGGGTAATACAGCACTGCTGCTAACCAGTAGCCGATGAAGAGGGCAAACAAGGCGAGTCCTAGCTGACTAGGAGTAAAGCCCCAGCCATCCTTCCCGAACACGTACCCGTACGATTCCAAGAAGCTGAAGATGAGTGCGTCGCTGAATCCACTGAGCAGTGACAGGAAGCCAACGATTGGTTCGCAGACTAGCATTTTGTATGGACGACCCATGATCCTGAGACAAGCCATGAAGTCAAGCTTCTCGTGTTCGGTTGGCCCAACGACGTTGGCCTCTGGGTTTTGCTTGCGGCTCTTCTTAGCTTCCTTGTTGAGCATGACCGTCGACCTGGTCTCGGGAACATAGACGAAGTGGATGAGCTGGACTGTGGCCCCAAGAATGAGCTGAATCCAGAAGTTCCATCGCCAGTGAAGGAACTGCTCGATACGGCCACCGCAAATGCCACCGATGACTGAGCCTAGACAGCTCCACAAGCTGACCCAGAGGATAGGGAGTTGTTGCTCTTCGGGATCGAACATGTCCGCAACCATTCCGAGGGTTACAGAACCACCTGCGGAGCAGAGACCGCCGAGCAGGCGTGCAGCCAGTACATGACTCCATGAGGTACTGGCACCGGCCATGATCTGCCAGATGTTGACGGTGAAGAGTGACAGCTGCATGATGGGTTTACGTCCGAACTCTTCGGACCAGGGTGCCCAGAGTTCGCAACCGATACCGTATAGGATCAAAAACCATGCCATGCCAGCCCTGGCGTTGGTGAAGTGGTTGCTACCCAGGTGGTAGTGTTCGTTAAGTGGCCCTATTGCGTTGGAATAGACCGCTGCGTTGTAATTCATGCTGGTTTGGCAGAGTCCGACTACCGTCAGGATTGCCCACTTGCGCTTGTTCGTGAACGCATATCCCGTGTTCTTCTTCGAGTTCGCCTCAGTAAGCATTAGCGGGCCGCTGGGTTGGGCTTGATCTTGGTGGCTTTGTGTTGGGACCATTTCGATCGCATCTGCAGCTTCCTTCTTACGACCAGGAGAGCCGGAGCTTGCATCGCTGTCGTTCCTGACGTATGTCGTCATGGTGTTGATGGTTTTGGTAAGGCCAGACAGGATAATCGAAGGTTGCTGGTGCAGGATGGTAACGTTGGGCTTAATTCAGCTGCGTACAGTATATTTGGTATCCTGGGGTAAGTGAACGTTGGAAGAAGAGGAGCGGGCAGACGATAGATCTTATGGCCGCCATGCACGACGAGAAACATGGGATGAGAGTCTCCACTATGCTTACTACAAGGCCCATCTAGTCCTAATGGCATCGACTAGAGTCTATGTATGCAATGGACGACGCTGCAGTGGACCCCGTCCATAGAAGCGCCAGACGGCCCGCCCTCGCTACCATGGTTGCTCGACAACGCCCGCACATGTTCGCATATGATGATGCCTCTCTAGGCCGCTCAATACAGGGCGAGGAACTCTCATCAACAGTCGTTGGTCATTTCTATGAAGGTTCTTGTAAAAGTGCTTCGCCATGACTCCAAACTCGGAGCCTCTCAACGCAACTGCAGCTCGACAAACTTAAGTTCGCGAGCACAGCCATTTCTCGAGAACACGGAAGTTCGGTTCGGAATAATGCGGGGAACCATGAACGTATCAGTATTGCAAGTACATGATGCGTCTATACCCCTTCGCTCAATGTTAGGGTACCGCCTTTACAGCTTTAGGTCCATCCGGGGATAGCACGTGAGCAGGACGTACTTTGCGTACCATCTTTACAGCTATTTTGTCTATTCAAAACTCCGCCTATTGGCTTGGAAACATAACTTTGCAGGTCACATGAACGTAGCCCCGTGACTGTTACGTTATGTCGAACCTCCATTGCTTCACCTACTCCACCTACACAACCGACCTTTCAGTGCGAATCAGATACTCCTTCCGTCTCAGCATCACTCTCATCATCCCACTTCCACTCCTCATTCGTCCACGCTTGCAACGGCATCCAGCTCTCTCCTCTCTTGACCTCAAATTCCTTTTTCAGATCTTGGAAGTGTACCTCCAGTTGATCTCTCAGTTGCACGAGTGACGTATCCTGTTCATCTACTGCGCGGGTTAAATGGGTGAGGTTGCGGGATGCATGATCAAACAACCCACCGTCCTCGACAGGTTTGGAAAGAAATGACAGTGGTGGCGAGTTGGCTGACGTAGAGAAGGCGGGTTCGTAGCTGTAGCATGTTTTTGGGGTGGATAACTTGCGGTCTTGCAATGTCTTCGGATCTAACTTGGAAAGGCTTGTCGCGTCAGGGTCTAGATGCCTCAAAGTATCTTCGTTAATTTTCGCATCGCAAAGGCTCATTGTATTCATTGATGAGTTATGGCTGTTCCGCACCTTGCTGTCGTTGATGTTTCGTTCCGGATACAACACTTGCTGTGAATCATGACTTTGTGTCGACATGTCTGTGTGCTGTCTTTGGTGGCGTATTGGTAACACTAAAAAGTTACAGCACAGAAAGCAGAGCAGCCTTACTTGTATAGAGGCTGCAAACGAGAGCGATGTTCCAGCAAGCAGTTAACAGAGTCCCCTAGACACTACTCCTTGTTAGGGTTTGCTGATGACAAGACAATGAGCGTTTGTTTCCAAACGGATGGCATGCAAAGTTCTACCCACTGTATAAATAGTATAGAGATGTGATGAAGTTATGTCATTGATGAAAAGACGTCCACTGATGGCTAAGTTCTGTATGTACGCCACTCGATGAAGCTGCTTCCGCTGTGCCAACGTGTCCTCCCAATATGCTCTGCCTGTCAAAATGACAAAACTCGTGGGAAGAGTATGCTGATAGTCAAGACTTCTCTTCTGCCAAATTCCACCTGATGCATCTGATAGGTCTAGCAACTGGCTTGTTGCCCACCCGAACCTTGCATAGTAGTAGTCTGATTCCATATTGTAGACTGAGAGAGCTAGTCGTGAAATCAGCCTCAAATCGCCGCGAGAAGTCTGAGATGTACATACCATATGGGCCGTTCTGAGAGTGGGTTGGGTAACTCCAAAAGAGCACGCCATGGTAGAGTATGTCTTCTGTTTTAAAGAGGACGAGAGAAAGAACATGAGATCGGGAAGTGAGCTTTTGATGAATTTCGAGGCGGACCATGGGAACTCTCAATAATCCTTTTTTTAAGAGAATCATGTATTCTACACACAGACAGTGTGTCACTAATCATGTTTTTCTCGTGGCTTCCCACCATTGCTGATGAGCCGAGCAGACCTTGTCATAGTATCTGTCAAGCTCGGCGCGCTGCATAGCCATGAGTTCTCGTTCAGGCGCTACCTTTTCCAGGTCTAATTCGTGCTCCATCGCACGGATAAGCATAACTCTGAGTTTGGTACCGTGGTCGGGAGGAGCGCGAGCGTTAGGTGTAGCGGATGGATTATCATTTGGGGTAGGTTGTTTGACAACGGACCGGTCCAGGATATCTTGTTGAATGTGCAAGCCCTAAGATACTTTAGTGAATGTGGGTAGGATACAATTGCTGATACTTACATGTTTAGCATGTTCAATGCCAGAGTCTGCTGAAACCATTTCCCATGCCATGACATCGTACGCCTTTGCCCTCGGGTTCAGGCTTGGGTTGAAGCTCTGCGCGGAGCTGATCGGGGGAATAGTTTTGCCTTCACCGGACTTGCTCCTCAGGTGCGGGGGGATGGACTTCTTGCGGACACTTTCGGGACGGGATGAGATTTTTGAGCCAGTGGCAGTGACAACCGATACGTCAAGCTTCCTTTCGTCTTCTGCAATTGCCTTCTCTAGAGAGGCCCAAACTGATGATAGGCTCTTTGTAGGGGACGCTGACTTTCCAGGGGCCCTTGATACTGGAGTTTCTGGACGGCGATAGTTTGGTGCAGGCATCAACTCCATCGTGCCTTTAGGGGGACCGTCGATACGTGGGGTCGGCTTGGTACTAATCGATGGATACTTGCGTGACTTAAGCACTGTGACGGACTCCAAGGATGGTGAAGTGGGTTTGACGTCTTGAACAAAGTCTCTTGGAAAGCCCGTGCTACGTGCAGCTGGCGCTGGCCACTGCCCAAGTCCACGGCCTAAAGAGCTTTCTTTTGTGGATGGTGATGATGCACTTTCGCTCAAAGCTTGGCCGTACATCTTCGCTTCTTTCCTGTACGACTTGCTCCGGCGATCTTGTTCAGGGTCGCGATTGAATCGGGGGTCAGGAAGATTTCCTGCTTTCGGGATACTGTTCGGATCGGGCTGCCAGTTTTCAGCCTCGGGTGGCGGTGGAGGAAAGGCATCCCAAACAAAGGCTGCAGCCTTGGTAGCTGTCGTCTTTGGTGTGATGGACGGCATTGACACCGGCAATAGAGTTGATAGAGCGAAAGGTCGATACGTTGATGTAAAACTCTGGCCTGTGCTTACACAGTAAACACATAACTCTGCTGCGGAGGTAGTTATTGTGCGTGTGTGAGGAAGGAGAGGAAGTCGAAGGTCAAGGCTGTTGATGAGGCAACTGGCTAGCTGTTGCTGCCGATTGAAGTCGAGGTGAGCGCGACTTCCCGAACGAGAAGGCAGGAGCGAAAGCTGGGTGACCACGCAGCGACATCAATACCGCTACCAGACAGTATCGAAGGACTTTTGAAAGCTCGGGCTAATGGTGCAATTCGTCGTAATAGAAACGCAGAGTATTGCTGACAACGAGAAACTGTGATTGAGGAGAGCGAGACGACAGTACACATTAAAGCTTGTAAGAAGAGAAGTGAAGAATATGGCCCAGAAGAGACAGGGCCAGGCCATAGAGGCTGAGGTCATCTCTCTCACCTTGAGCTTTATGACATCCTTGCGCTACCTGTCGTCACAAGAATGAAGAAGGGGGTTATAAACATAAAGAATAATAGAACAAAAAACGTGTGCCTACTATTCTGAGGGATGACGATAGTATTTGTAGGAGAACAGAAGCAAGCACGAGCCTATAGCTAAGAATATCAGAGTTGCAGTAGTGAAGCACTGAATGTTTTGCTGTAGAGTACATATTGTTTTGTAGTAGAGTAGAACGCAGCAAATACCTTTACAACAAGCTGAGCCATTGGGTTACCTCTTGGAGACGAGCGATCTGATCGGTACATGGCCTATACCTAGCCGATGGACACACTCAGTAGCCAAGGAAAGACGGCCATATCAGTCGTTACTAGGTCGTTATGCAATGCTGTACCCGGGGTCTTAGTATATACAACTTCAAAGGCTTCGAAGTTGGTGTTCTCTGACCATGACAACTCGCCGCTGCTGCCTTCGGGGATCGTGCCACAAAAGCCGACCGCTAACCAGATTCGCTCATGATGACTGCTACCCTCACACGTGAGACCGCGACAACTGCGGAGATCTATTTCTGCATCCGAACACTGCGCACACGACTTCATTGAGCTTCCGATTTCGCGTAGGTATTGTGAGGAACTCGGGAATGCAATCGTTACTACGCATCGTATTGATTTTCTGACCCTGCTTGCTCGACTACCTGCGGCGCTGTCGGGTGTGCTCGGCAAGGTGAACAGAAACCTAGGTCTTCACGATCATCCTGATTTTACTTGTGCGTTTTGCCGTCCATTCACTCTACCAATCCTTGTTCTTGATTGGTGGGCACCTTCACTCGCTCCTTCCACAACATCGCAGCTCCGCAACTTCGATTGTTATGAGCGAATCTCGCTCTCTCAATCTCTACACTCGCCATTCCCTCACTCATCTCAAGAGTTATCAACTTTTTCCGCAGAATGGCGGGAAAAATCACCTATTCGAAGCGGCCGAACAAGCGTCGGGTACCTCATGATCAAGACGCAGCGCACGAGGAAGACGACAGTCGTAAGCGGAGTAAGGCAGATGCCGAGTCAAATGAATCGCGACTGCCAACACCACCCCCGAGCCGAAAAGAAAGAAAGTCATTTTCCAAGGGTCCAGTGTCCATTCCAGATGACGACATGTATCCCCCGCGCTCTGTGTTCGACAAAGTGCTTGGAAACAAACAACACCGAGCCCCCAAACCAGATGAGAGTAGTATTCGGGACAACCGGGAGAACTATGTAGAGATCATGAAGAACGGGAAAACATCACAACAGCAGAATGGCTGGGCAAGGAATGGCTCTCTGCCAACACCACCAGCGGAGGCGCAGAGGAAAGCTCATCAACAAGCGCGAAGAGATGAGAATCTTGCGCGATACAAGAGAGCTGCAAACGAGGTCGAACCGAGGGTGTTTGAAACATCATTGTCTAAACCTCCGACCCAGACTTCGCAGCTCTTTGAGCGGATTATCAAGAATGAGCAGCCAAAAGAGCCATATCAGCCCAAGGCCTATAAGGCTGAGTGTATCGCAGCACCACGGCGGACCATAGCTGGAGAGCGATTATCAAGAAGATCAGAGCAAGCCCAGATGTGAGCCATCCAAGGATACGCGCTTTATGAGCACAGACTGACCAAATTAGATTCATGGCGAACCAGGCCAACTCACCTCTTCTGCAACTCCCTGAGGATGTCAGAAATCTCATTTATAAGCATGTGCTTGGTGGCAGGACCATCAATATCAGCTACGAGAATTACCGCACTACTTATGACCCTACAAAACCCAAGAGGGCCCAGGACGTCGTACCTGTCTTCAAGTACCGATGCACAGTATTCGACGGTAAACGAAATCCATACACAGCGGTAGCAGCACAGCCCTGGCTCAAACCTCCCACAACGTTCACTTTACTCAATGGCGTTTGCCGCCAGATGTACGAGGAGACGGCGACTCTGCCCTATCAGCTCAACCTGATCGCTTTCGACTCACATAATATCATGTTCAACTTCTTGTTGTTGGAGAAACGCCTACGTCTTGAGCAGCTTGATGCGTTGACGGAGTTTATGCTACCGGAGACGTTGCCAGGATCGAATACACTAGCCTGCCTAAGGAACGTCGAGAGGGTGTTTCTCGGAGTCGCACAGGAGGGGAGGGTCAGAGGCGCGTATCGCGTCGTCCGCACCGAGGGCGAGGAACCACGGCTAACAAAAATCACCAAGTAGTATGGGGGATTTTATGGATTCGTGAATGTGTAAAAAATGGCGTTAAAGGAGTCTCGGTACGGTTGCATAATACCCGGTATAGTAACGATGTTACGACCCAACTACACGCACACGACTTCGCGGCCGAAGCCGGAATTCATCTTGTAGCTTACACAAAGTGTTGGTGATGATTTGCATGAACAGTCGCGGTGCTTCCTTCCTTTTTTGTCCCAACCGTCGAGTCAGTTGGCTCAGCAAGACTGACATGTGAAAGAGGCGCCACGTCTCAGCCCACCCGCTGCGCGAATGACTGCGACTGACTGTGTTGTCACACCCATATTCTTTTTGAGTGTGCACTGCTGGCTTATGCATGTGTATCTCGTGGACAGAAGAGGATCGGAGATGGCGGTCAAAAGAGGTTGGGATAGCTGCCCCACGTCTGCATGTTTCTCCAGATCTACTCTGCCTGCAGCGTAGGATCGCGATGTCGGACAGAGCAACTATTGCGGGCGCTATACGGCCTTTCCGGACCAATATTGCGTATAGCTCATACTTCATAGGCCGGGGCCGTCGGGAGTTGAACACAGCGACAGGCGGGTGTGAGGCACTCGCCCTCGTAAGCTCACATAACCAGCAGCATCAAACACATGATCCATGGGTGCATTGCAGTAGCCTGCCAACTCTGCAGGTACAGGTGGGAGTTGCGTGTCAGGGTCGGTGGGCAGTTTAGCACTACCGACGCGGAGCCATGCCAGCCATGTCTGTTTAGGTGCATCCTTGCCTATGACGATGTACCACGCTCATGTCCCCACGCTCCCTGGTATGCGCTGCACGTATCGAGTACTTGAAAAGTATCCATGCCTTCCATTCCCGCGCACGTCTCGTCACCCGGCGACCACATATTTGAATTGTTGAGGCAGCAAACCTGTGGCGTACCTTCCGCGACTTGCGCGACCAAGTGCGCATGACCACCCGCAGTTGACCCATTTCCGGCCATCCTACACCGCGTCTTCGACAAAGGCACTATTACTAGGCTTCATATTCCCTCGAGTGCGAGACCCCCATAGTAACCGGCTGCACCTCTTCATCTCCATCACCACAACCTGCGTTGACGTTCCGCACTCGATCTTCCGATCCACCTTCCACCGGCTAAGCCAGGCTTCGTCACATCCGCGCATGGCGTGCACCGGCGCTCGATGTCATTGCTGTCTGACACGATATTCACAGGCGGCAGTACAAGACTGCACGTAAGAGGAGGACAGAATGGGCACAAGGCGATAAGGAAAAGTAAGAGTCATGGCGGCTTCCTCGGTCCCCTTGTGCAGTTGGCCAGGAATCCGTTGAGGACTCTAGGCGAGCCAGCAGACGACGACCATGTTCCTGAAACGACCGCGGGTGCTGCGGAAGCAAACCGTAGGCAGGTCCTGTACCTGCACATGAAAGACGTGGGTCATCCAGATTGGTCGTGACCCTTTCACATGCTGACGAGATCGCCATGCAGGCCGAGACATACGACCAATGGAAAGCCGCCGCGACCGAACTCGATATCTTAGAAGGAAACGAGGCCTGGAAAGAAGAGGATGACACAACAGAGTACAACGTAGATCTGGTTGCCGCCCGGCTGAAAGAGCTGGACGACGCTCGTTTAAGTTGTGATGTCAAAAGGATGCTTTTCCTGGTTAGGACCACCCTCACACGCGGATTGGGCGACATGGGCGATCTGCGCTTATACAAACATTCGCACATTGGAACCAAGCGCCTGATCGAGAGGTATATTGAATCTGCGCAGCAGACCATGGCGGCTCTGCTGGACGTCTCAGAGAAGCAGGGAGATCAGTGTCCTATCGAGCCGCGACGTTTGGTCGATCAGCTCCTTCAAACGCGACAGTCTTTCGGGCGAAGCGCGCTGTTGCTCTCAGGCGGCGGTACCTTTGGCATGAACCACATCGGCGTTGTCAAAGGTCTCTGGGATGCTCGTCTTCTCCCACGCATTATATCGGGAGCCTCTGCTGGAAGCATCGTCAGTGCCGTCCTATGCACAAAGACAGATGCAGAGGTTCCAGAGGTTATGCACCAATTCTGCTATGGAGATTTGAACGTATTCGAAAGCCCTGATCACCCGGAAGGCGTGGTCGGCAAAGCGATGCGCTTGATGAAGTCAGGCGCTCTCTTTGACATTTCGCATCTCATGAGGGTGATGCGCGATCTGCTCGGCGACATGACCTTCCAAGAAGCATACAATCGAACTCGTCGTATCTTGAACATACCTGTCTCGACTTCTTCGCTCTACGAATTGCCCAGACTTTTGAACTACATCACAGCGCCGAATGTCATGATTTGGTCAGCAGTGTAAGTGGCAACTAAAGAACGTTTTGTTCTTGTGCTAATCCGCTTAGATGTACGTCTTGCTCAGTGCCGCTAGTATACAAGAAGGCTTCACTTTTAGCCAAAGACCCGAAGACCGGCCAGGAAGTGCCTTGGGATCCAAACCCTGACGCGACCTGGATCGACGGTTCCGTTGACAATGACCTACCGATGACTCGATTAGCCGAGATGTTCAACGTAAATCACTTTATTGTCTCGCAAGTGAACCCACATGTCGTTCCCTTCCTAGCAAAGGAAGAAGAAATGGTCGCTACAGAAGCCCAACAGGATGCTGCCACCGGTCCCGGCTGGATGAGCCTTTCAGCTAGCCTTTGCAAGGGAGAAGTCATGCACCGCCTTCAACAGTTAGCGGACACTGGGATTCTCCCAAATCTGGTAACAAAAGGAAGGTCGGTACTCAGCCAGCGTTACTCTGGTGACATCAATATCTTTCCAAAGATCAATTATGCCGACTTTCCCAGAGTCTTGAGTAACCCCACACCGGAGTACATGATTGGGTGCATGCTCACTGGACAGCGAGCTACATGGCCAAAATTGTCGCGTATACAGAACCATGTAGCCATTGAGCTCGCGTTGGATGATACGATCCAGAAACTCAAGGGACGACTTGTGTTCACACCACAGCCAGACCTCAAACTCACACGGACAAGCTCTCAAGACAACGACTTTGCCCATAGAAAGCGAGCAAAGTCGACACATAAGATGACGCGCTTCGAACTCAGAATGGAACCTCCTAGCCCTGTTCTACGAAAATCTGCACCCACCAGTCCTCTGCTGTCGCGCACAGCCTTAAAAGCAGCCAACCAACCGCTTTCCGTTCCAAAGCAAGCCAATGGCACAAACAAGTTCAAACGACAATGGACCGAGACGATCCAACTAGACCCCATGTCCTCCACCAACGACACCTCGGACCATGACTACTTTGCCGATCCCGAGTCGGACACCACATCTAGACTCTCCTCTCCTTCACCCGCCACATCACCCACAATCAACACTCCCACCCTCTGGCCTTCAACCCCCCAAGCTACCATGCAAGCGCAGCCGCAACCCATCACCTCACATCCCACGCCACTACCGCCTACTCAAAATCCCTTGAGTCGTCGCACGGGTACAATTCTCAATCTCACCATGACGTCTACCGCGAGGCATTCATCTAATCCAAACGTACCTAGTAGCCCTGAGTTGCGGTATAAACGTCTTTTCCATCCTCCTGGACCAGCAACACCAGATGTTAGTGTTGGTCCTCCTGTGTTGGACGTCGAACCCGTGGCTACGAATATGACACGGTCTCCAGCGACTAGTAGACCGGGTAGTCGACGGAGTAGTGGAGCGGGTCTGGGGTTGGGTTTGCCGGTTGACGCATCGGGGACTAGGGGGATGCTTCTGAGAAAGAAGAGCTATGTGTAGGCTCTTCTTGCCTCTGCTAGACGTCTCCACGGGCTCATCCACATTTGTTTCTCGTATGGCACCTTTCTCGTATATATTTTATGCGCCTTCTCCGCGCTTCAGCAATCTTTACATAGGTTCTCTTTTGTTTTCGTTAAGATAGTGTGGATGAAGGGGATGTATAGTGGACAGTCACAGGCTTTGAGCACACCACAGGAGAGCAGATTGAGAAGAGAGATGGAAAAGAATGAAGGGAATTTGGAGAAGAGCGACGATACCCCAGGACTCGATATACGTGTACTCTTTCTTTTTCCCTATACAAACAAGACAAGACGAAGAGTTGATATAGATTGTTAAAAGTACAAATTACCACATTAAGCTCGTTCCATCATTGATTAACATGCCCTTACTTGCTGCCTTCTTGCCTCTCCCTCTCTCTGTCTATTTGTTTCAAAACCTCCCTGTCCTCGACAAACTTCTTCCTAACGTCTTTGCCCCTCCACCGCTCGAACAACTCATACCCCACTACAAAAATAATGGGCAAACCCACTATTATCGCCGTCACTCTACGCGCCGCAGGTTTGTACTTGGGCGGGAGGCGGATGTCGGGCGTGGGTTCTATTATGCGCGTAGGGTGTTGCTTCTGGTATGGAGAGGGCGGTGGACGAGGTTGTGGCTGTGATGGCGAGGGTCGAATGGAAGGGTAGGGATTGTGTGGACGAGAGGTTGTAGGTTTTGGAGTCGCTGGGTAGACGGGTGAGGGGGCGATTTTGGGGACTGAAGGGAGTGGAATGGTCGTTGTTGTCCTTGAAGTCGTGTTTGAGGCTGTTTTGTTATTCGACAAGGAGGCAGTTGTGGGTGGAGTTGGTTTCGATTGTAAGGATTGAGTCTTTGGTGGTGATGTTTCTGGGGATTGTGACGACGCCGCGGTTTTCCTGCTGTCTTGTACACTTGCTTCGGCTTCTTTCTCTACGACCTTTTCTGGCTGTTTTGCCTTCTTCAGCGTCCCTTTGGCTTCCACTTCCTCTAATATCTTGCTCGTGGACGGTGTGACGGGCGTAGCTTGTGCTGGCGCAATTGCTGACTTGGGCGCAATCTTCTTCCCCGCAGCAACAGTCGCAGTAGTAGTAGGAGCAGTCTTCCCGCTTTTCGTAGTCACCTTCTTCTCTTTCTTGACTTCCACGACTTTCTCCTTTGTGCTTAGTTTCGCGGCCGCCTTCTTCACAACCGCCTTGCTCGCTGCGACTTCTGGTGTTGTCCCCGCATCCTCGGCTACGACTTTCTTCGGGCGACCGCGTTTTTTGATAGCTGGGGGTTCGATTGTTGGTTTTGAAGACATTGCTACTGTCCAATTGGTGTACAGACTGCAAAAATGGACGATCGAGGGTGTGGGGAGAGCGAGACGGGCGTTGCGACACAATGACTAGTCTGGGCGCATTCGAGGGGTCGCGGCGGGAAATTTTGGGCGAGTATGTCTTTAGGCGGAGATTAAGATGTGATGCAGGGATGCGCGTGCGTACAACGGTTCGTAGCGTGTCTGGTATTATCGATAGCTGTAAACATCACTTTACTGCATGGCGACTAGTCTGTTGATGGAGACCATGTGTGTACATTTCATTTAATCAGATGTTTACGTTACAGCATATACAAACAGCATATCAAAACTCCATGAACAAACTATACCCGTGGTTCGATCCAACAGTATCATGTTCGCGATTACTTCTGTGCTTCCTCCCTCTTCACTCTAAAGAAGGCCAATTTAGCGAAGCGCCCAAGCTGACCCCAGTAGTGTCGGCCAGCAGAGTGATCCATGATCCTCTCTAGTAACCTAACAACGGCCATTCTGACATCTTGTCTAGGGTGAAACAGGCCCAAGCTAAGGTAGAAGAGACCAGCATCTGGGATGACACAAAGCAGCTGCAGAATAGTCTCATACTGGAGTTGGGAGCTCATTTTACGCTCATGGTCATTTGCGATTGTGAGTGACTGGGCCATGGAGGACAGGTCGCTCGAAGAGGCATTCTTACTCTCACTGTGCTCACCCGCTTCTTCAACACATCGCGCCAGTGCAAGGTAGATGGCCGCCGATTGATCATGTGAGAGTTTCAAGCAGCGCAACTTGTCGTGCTGATGGGCCATATCCAGGCCGCGCACCGGTCTTTTGTTCCAGTGCCTCGCCAGATCCTGGACGCAACTGTAATAGCTTCTTGTGTTGCGCCAGCCCTCGATACGGTGCACGTTTGCAGCGAGTTCTCGAAGCTTGTGACCTTCATCTGGCCATACGTAGCCATGTCCAGAGACACCATATCCGCCGACATCGGTCTCGTGAGAGCCAATGTACAGTGCAGAGGCGCCGTAGACAGTTTCTTCAAACGCCGCCGCAATGCGGGTGAACTTCAACACCCACGAGCGCCATTTGGCTCGAATAGCATTCTCACCGTGGCGGTTGGCGATGCTCTCGAGGAGCTTTTCCATGAATTGGGTGTCACCGGTTGCGTCGATGCCGTTGGCCGGTGGCGCGCCTGGCCCATTCAGAGGGAGACCCTGCTGCTGGAAAAACATGGAGCCTTCTGTTGGTGAAGCCGCCTCAATGCGATTGCTGATCTTCATGCGACCGGTGGGTAGGTCACATATTAGGTCCCACCATTCGGGCTTGTAAGAGAATGCAGGGTTGGTGACACCAGCGATGAAGCCAGGGACCTTGAGCAAGTCGTCTACTTTGGTGAGATCGGTGTACGGGAAGGCATGTCGAACGAAGCCGCGGAGGATGCCACCAGAGGCTAGAGCACATGCTGCCAATACGGCCTCTGCAACTTCTCCTGAAGGTTGGTTATGTCCGATAAAGATGATGCGCTTCTGGGTGAGGAGTGCATTGACGAGGACAATGATGGGATGAGTGTAGGCACCGCTCGTGGTCAGGTGCGGATGTAGAGCAAAGGGCTGCGGTTGTGTCGCATGAGGGGTGGAGAATGTTTGGATAAGCTTGATCAGGGAAAAGTCGCCCACTGTCTCAGGACTCAAAGCGGTAGGTATCTTGACGGGGACGGGAATGCCGTTGTAATTGATCTTGGATTCAAATTCATGCGTGTCCCGTGGAACCGTGTATGCCTTCTTCCGCGACTGAGGATCGAACGAGGTTTCAACAGAGTCTCTTGCTGCGTCGAGCTTCTTCCGCTGCCGGACCATGAGCTCAAACTTCTCGACGAACATGTCTTTGGCGTCACTAGCGCCAAGCACAAAGTTCTCCAGAGGGGATAGTCGCGGCAGCAGCGACAGATCCATGGCGTTGAGAGAGTTGTACAGGGATTCCAGAGTTTCGAGGACGGGTGCCCTGAAGTACTCTTCGAGGGCCAGCAGCAACAGGGGCTTGTATATGTGCAAGAAAGGGTGTCGCGTGCATATCGCCATGGCTTTTACGATGGCGCCTCTACGTAGTGTCAGTCATGTCAAGTAGACGGTGGTGCTGGTCCTACCTCTTCACCGTGTTATCTTGCTTGGTGTTGACCAAGTTCAAGACATAGACCAACGGTGGCCCATCAGAGTCCAGCTCTCCTTCGCTCTCGGTGTCGTCGTCCTCATCGTCGTAGTCATCGTCTTGCTCTTCGGTATCGGCAGTCGCGTCGTCTTCGTCGTCCAGGCCCTCTTTCCGCCGCCGCCTTCTCCTTCGGCGCTCTCTCCTGGCCTCGCGCTCCTCCTCTTCGGCGGTGGTGTCCTTGTGTAGGAAGAAGATGGTCCAGTCTTGGCTTCGGACATGGGCCTGATCGGGCAACATGAGCTCAGCCAGCATAGTCTCGTCTCCACTGATTGCCGCCGGGTACTGGTGTTCCATGATGGAGCCGCGGTCGATGTCGAAGGCGGCGACAAGTATGTACTCGACATGGTTCTCAATTGCATCGGCAGGATATTGCGAGCGCAGCTTCATACCGCCTCTGGGCAGGGCTTGCATGGAGGACTGATGCGACGAGTCGTGCGAGGACTGTATCGAGTCTTCGTCGCCCTCGCGGACCATGGGGGGCTGCGGGGAGCGAGCTTTGTGGTTGTGGCCATTGCGGGTAGAGGGCGAGCGCGAGGGAGGGAACGAGGAGAAGGACGGCTGACGCTGCAGAGATACAGGCTGGGCGGCATTAGGACCGTTTGGCCGCTGTGCGATTACTTCAGCCATGAGTGTCTCCATCTTCAGTACGAGTACCTGGCGACTATGGATACTACATTATGGATCGACGGCGCTAGGGGAACCTAATGTAACCGTTCCGAAACAACATGGTGCCGTGTGGAGGAAGTGCGGTAAATGGATAGGGGACATGTGTAAAGAAGGCGTGAATGGCTACAGGACAATTTTCAAAGCGGTGACTATGCATGTGACTCGCATATGATGCTGCCCTAGGCGAGTGAAGGCGGACCCTGCATCTCCGTCCATGTCTTATCGATTAGCCCAATGGCAGGGGTCGTTGCTAGGCCATCTCCAGTATCAACACCAAACAACGCGACGAGCGGCCAACAGTGACATCGCGAACCCTGATTCTACAAAAGGAATATACCACAATGGTACGTATGCCTTCATGCATCATCACTGGGACACAGCTAAGACATGCAGTCGGAAACACCAACGCCTTACAAGCCCTCCCCTCTCGCCTTTAACAGCACACGCCAGTCGCCTTTTAGAAGACCGGGCTCCATCAGACAAAGCTCACCGGGTAACCTGCGACCATCGACGCCAAACAGCTCCCCTCTCAAGCCAAAAGAGACACCGACCTCTCCTGCACATACACCCAACCGCCTATCCATTGGAGGCATCCCATCGCAAAACCCGCCGTCATGGCTGAACACAAGAAGGGAGTCAGGCACTCCAGAGCCCACCTCACCTGCCCGGAATCTTTCTCCTGCGCGCCAGGTCTCCCCAACACGGAATGTATCCTCGTCATCGCAAATGACTGTGCGCCCATTAAGCACAGCGTCCATTGCAGCCAAATTTGAGGGCGTCGCGAGGGACGACACGCCACCTCCTCTTTTCAGCAGGAGGAAGTCACCACCCGTAGAGAATACTGAGTCGCCGGTCGAGGATTTCAAACCCGTAGATGACTACACACCGGTCGAGGCACACAAGCCAGCTGAGACTTGGATTCCGGTGGAGAGCTACAAGGCAGTAGAGAGTCCCAAGCCCGTCGAGACCTACAAGCCAGTTGAGACCTATAAGCCAGTTGAAACATACAAACCAGTCGAAACCTATAAACCGGTCGAGACCTACAAGCCAGCAGCTCGCCCTGCTCCCATGCAACGCATGGCCTCCAGCGACGCTCTCTCTAAGCTCCCACCTCCCCTCCTCCACAGCATGCGCGAATCCTTCAGCGTAATGGACCGTGACGACGACGGTCACGTCAATGCCGCCGACGTCGCAGACATGCTGTCGCAGCTCGGTCTCTCCGCCACCCCCTCCCAGCTCTCTTCCTACTTCGGCGGCGCCCAATCCATCAACCTAGCCACATACCTAACCACGCTCTCCGACCTCCTCGGCAATCTGTCTCACCAAAACGAGCTTACTGCTGCCTTCGAGGCGTTTGATGATAATGATGATGGCCAGATTGATTTGGCCGAGTTGAAGGATGCGTTACTGCATACCGCGCCTGAGCATGGCGAGAAGAAATTGACAGAGAGGGAGATTGATATGGTTATCGAGGGATTCAGTGGGCGGAGGGCTTTTGCTAAAGGTGGGAAGAGTTTGGGGAACCGGACAGAAGTATTTAGGTATCAGGAGTTCATGTCGAATTTGACGGGTGGCAGTAAGAATGGGGGTGACAATGGGGAGGCAGCGCCGGCGTAGATATGTCTACTTGGATAGTGGGGATGTGTGAGTTTCTTAATGCGCAATCGCATCCGATTTGATGTATACCAATGACTATTCCATATACTGTGCAAGCAGCGCTTCTTATTTGATAATGGGTAATTTGAGTCGACATTGCAATTTGAGCTGAGGGTACTCTCTGAGCTGTATGTCGTCGACTATCTATGCCAATGTGTTCTATGTCTCCATAGTACAACTTCGTCACCCAATTCTCAACTCAACCACCTCCGCTTTTCTTCCTTGAACTCCGCGATTGCATGTCGTTGCAGTTGAAATATAATTCAGATTCCACTCAAGTAAAGCGAATGGTTGGTTTGCCAACAGTATGGAGCTGTACTATAGTTTGGGGATGAGAATTTATTATATCTCATGGTTATGGTGAACCGAAGGATGGTCACCAAACTGTGCTTCTCCACATCAGATCCATCGAGCTACTTTCCCCTCAATCGTGCTAAGCAAGTGTAAAGAATGCATTCCTAACCAGAATCTGCCGAGCTTGGATATTTTCGATGATGATGCAGACCGAAAGCAAAAATTCCAAAGGCAGACATCATCACCATGGCTGACCACTCAGCCATTTTTGAAACTCGCAATCTTAGTAATAAAAGTTCAATCGCTTTTGGATCAGCCACATCCCACTATAATCCAGTAGTGACCCTCGAATCACTCACTCGGAATGTCTTCCGGGAAAGCACTCCCTCCATACTTCTTCCACTGAGCGACGACCGATTTTTGCCTTCTTGGCTTCCTTTTCCTTTGTATCCAGAGATTGCCCGCTTCTCTTCACCGCCCTTGTTTCTGTGCTCTTTGCAGCCTTCGGTTTCTTGATGGAAACCTTCTTTTCGTTCGCCATTTTCACGACCCTCATTGTCCTCTTCTTCGCCTTCCTCTTCTTCGATTCTTGAATGGCAGCTATCCATCTCACCATATACTCTTTGCATGAACATGTACGCGCCATGTCTAGAAAACCTTTGAATATTTTATGGTGTAATACTCGATCGAGAGCCGGATTGTGAATTGCTTGACGCCCAGATGCGCGGTCAATGCAATGAACGAGTGCATCGATAATGACAATGGGTGAGGTATGCCGCTCGGTCGTATTGTGGGGTAGATCAGGTATGGTAAATGGGATGCCTGTTGCTTTTCTGGATCTATCCCAAGCTAATATGCTGTAACACGGAATAGGACCTAGACTCTTGTACGTATTTGAGCCCCACACCTGATATCCAGGTGCTGAGCAGTCTGCAGAGAAGAAGGCAACTCTGTCTCCCTTCGTGTTCACTCTTGAAAGCCTGAGTTGATGGGTAGAGTAGTCCTGTCCGGAGCAACCACTGTGGGGGAGGTACTCGACGCTTGCTAGCTGTGGATGTTAATCTCTGACATACGTATTTCTTCGCATGTGTAATCGAATTCGGGAACATGCTCGACATAAACTTACTTGAGACGTTCCTGAGATCGACCTGCTTCCTCATGTAGGTCTGCTGACTGACGTGTGCTCTTCCATGCCAGGCTTCGTACCATACGGTACCTTCAACAAGGTCAATATGCAGAATACCTATGTCACTTTCTGAAATGGGTCTGAGGCGGTAACACGCCATGAATAAGTGATTTGGCCATGGACGGGATTCATGTGTGGTTCTCGCAAGTTCGTGCGGAGGGGAACGCAGCGTATGTTTGGTCTTTTTGTGCTCGTGCTCGTTTTCTCCAGCCCCAACCGCTGCCCGTGCTGGAACTTCCTCTTCATCTTTGGTAAGAGTCTTGATAGGTCGAGTTTCGATGGACGATATGCTGCTGAGTTTTGATCGTAAAGGCCAAGTCATGCGTTGCGGAGCGGGATCGATAGCCATGGCATGAATCGTACTAGTGGATAGCTTTGGTTGGGTCTCAGACACTGTCTGTGTAGACACAGATGCCATCATACCTGTCAAGCCTTGGAATTTCCAATCCACGATCTCACCATCCTTACCTTCATAAACAATATTGAGCACTCCATCGTTCTTGATCAAGCGCAGGCTTAGACCTTCGACACTTGCTTCGACACCAGGCTCTAATTTTTCAAGAGCCTCAGCTTCCAATTCATCTGCGGTATCCTCAAAATCTTCTTCATATACTTTATGTACCCTTGGGTCTTTGTTGGGACGCTCGTGGGTCAGTACAAGTGTGCTTGACTGTAGTTCGTGGATGTAGAGCGTAAGGCCTGCAAACTTGACCAATAGGGTTCGCATCTCCAAAGTTCTTCTCTGATGGTTCGAGGCGACCGAAGCGTTTAGGACTTTTCCCAGATGAAGAAGTAGATCAAGATGACCGACTCAACGAGAATATACGGCGAGTCGTGTAAGAGGAGATGAGAAGAGAAAAAGCAGATTTATATACAACCGAATAGAAAGAAAGAGGCAACACTATCATCTGTATGTCTCTCACCGACGCATATCGATAGACGACGTGGCAATACCGTCTTACTTTCTTTCAGAGGTGATAATCGTCCCCTAGAAAGCCAGTCATGCGCAGATGAATCTCGGTGAGATTATACGTTGCGATGATATCGTAGTGTCTCATGGACGATTCCTAAGTCTACAGACGTGTTGCTCCAGCCACTCTCAGGACTCAGTGTATGAAGTTTATCAAACCTCTCGCTTGTCAGCGTCGAAGTGAACTTGTTCGCCACGGCCGTGTCAAGTGGAAGCGTTCGTCTCTATGTCCTGCATTGAGGCCCTGGAACGATGCCTCGGGCAACAATCTCGGCGACTGTGGTCGGGATGATGACACAATCTCCCAACCTCTTCCCTTGTCAAGCCGCCCGACTCGATCCCGAGCGGGTCACGAAGAATGACGATGAGAAAAGAATAAAGTCAAAGAACATGTTGGTCCATTAGGAGCCGTTACCGTGGAGTTGTCCAAGGATGGTGGTGTTGAGAACCCTGCTGCTAGCGTAGGGTCAAGATATCCGGTCACAGATTCGATTGGCGGAAGGCACACGTGATGTACAACACATCGGCACGGATTAGACGGGCCCAAAAATCCCCATCCAGTCGTTGGATAATGGCTGTGAATAGTGTTGAAATAGAACTGAAAGCGGCTAGCACTGGTGAGTTGGCCGAAAGAAGGTCACAGCTATAATATGACATAGGAGGCCCCATTGGTTTAGGTGTTGCAGCACAGACACAGTTCGCGCGCTGCAAGAGCGATTGGAGAGCTTCCGCCATTTTATATCTTCTCGACTCGACCCCTCCTCGCCTCCACCGTTGCTTCGTACCAAAGATGAGTGGCCCGGGTGAAAATCGGTACGTCAGAGACTAGGCGCATGTGAAGTTTGGGGAGCTTACGCATACTGACGATTGACACAGCTGGCGACGGCAGGGTCAAGCCAACCGCAACTCCAACTCGGGCGCAAACACCCCCACCAAGGACAATGCGGGACGGCAGCAGGCTATGCCAGCGCCCACGGCGAACGTATGGGGGGCCAAGCAAGGGAAGGGAACAGGCCCCGCAGCTGCACCAGCTCAGGCCCAGCCAGAGCACGTACCTGTGAAGGAGTTCAACGCAGATGAGGTCAAGCAATTCCTCAAGAAGAGTAAGTCTGCTAAGCCGCTGAAATATAGTACATGACAGGGCTAATCGACTGTAGAATACATTGAGAGCACAGCCAGTACGAGCCTCCAAGAACCGCGCACATGTTCAAAAGGCTGACTTGCTTCCAGATCAACCCTCGGTGTACCACAAGGTCCCTGGCGATTCCGTCTCAAACCGTAGTAGCGGCGCGTGGGGCAAAGGAGGTGAGGCGTCAAGGAAACACCACACTGGAAGACTACAATGCTGACATGAACAGGCACCATGTCACACCTCATGCCCACCGGCCAAGACTTCTTCACGCAGCTCAAGAAGCAGATAGCGACTCTCGAGCAGACCAAACCCGCGCAATGATTGCATACACACCCGTTATCTATTTCAGCGGCATTTTGAGGGCATTACAGGAGTTCTGTGGGCTTTGAATCGCATGGGTGGGCATATGTCAGTACTTTGCAGCAGCATGGGCAAAGTCATGTTTTGGCGTCTTGGGAGTTTGTGACCATGTGTGTGTCCGCCTCGGTTTAGGATGATCGTACGCGATACCCATCTTACGACAGTGTTTGGGGTTTGACGTTATACATGGCATTGGGGAGCGTTGTGGTGGAAAAGGTCGTGTTAGATCTGCATCCGGAATCAAAATGTCCTTTTAAATGCTCAATCCATGTCTATCGATGTATAGTGCTCCTTCGTTATGTCGGGATATTAACGACATACGAGCGTCATCGTATCGACGACTGGTACAAGGATACCCATACCCCTTTCACCTACTTGCCAAAGAAGGGTCCACAGGTCATTCGCGCAAGCCACTAATTACAGAGGCCAAACACACCACGGCAAGCGTCAACAAACACCAAGCTTTCCGGCTGGACAAGCAACCGAGGCTCCGTGATCGTTTTTTCCATGCAGCCTTCGTCGCTCGCTCCATCAGCCATCACTACGCGCCACAAGCGACTAATTAGCATCATCACGCATTGCAGCCAGCCCTACACCACTGAGGCGTCTCCGCAGCCAAGACCGCACCCTCGCTGGTACCTCGCAGGCCGCCAACACGCCGCTACCCCACCACAGAGACCTCCTTTTCCCGTGTAAATAGACTTTCTGTGGCTTGTCAGGGCAGAGACGCGTCTTTGGGATTGCTGAGAAGCAGAAGTGCATTGCGCTCCCTGGTTCACTCCCGTGTAGATCCCCGACTGGGGCCCTCCCAATGCGGTCCGCCTTTGTTCATTTCCGCGACTTGACGAGCCTTTGACGTGTTCTGAACCACCGCGACACTTCCAATACACCCGCACCACCATGTCGTCTCCTCCCAGCACCCCCACGCACCGCCCGACGTCGTCGCACCGTCGACACCCCTCCAGTCTGGACATGTCCCTCAACACACAGTCGAGACGGCAGTCCTTCAACCGCCGCTCCTCGGGCTACTCGCCCATAACGCCGCGCTCATCGCATGAATTCGAACACAGCCCCGCACACCAATTCGACGGCGGAGGAGACGGCAATGGCCTGGGCAACTTGGCCGACGAACTCGGCGAGGTGTGGGACGACGACGAAGAAGAGGGCATGGACGGCGAATATGGCGAGGAACTCGACGAAGCACACGACCAAAACATCGGCACTGCTGTAGAACACGACGGCTCGTACGGCGTAGACAGCGCAGCTAGCCTCAACGGCGTACGGGATAGTGGGGTTGCCATGCAGGACTCATCGCCCGCGCGCCTGAGTCCAGGGTCGGCCGTTAAGACGAAAAAGCACGCAAGGCAACGGTCGCTGTACGACGGCTCCGACTATGGCGACGACTCGGACCTGGAGAACGAGGGCATCTCGCCCGCGCTCGACGCGCGCATGGCTGCGATTGAGAGTCTGGCACGGAGAGGCATCGAGGAGAACGGAAGCGCATCAGACGAGGTAGTCAAGAGGGTCACGCAACAACTTCGCGATCTCGGCAGCCAGATCGCCATGGAGAATGGTGCGACGAGGTAGGTTCACATCTGTAGGCATTTCCCTCCATGTCACTAACAAACCCCAGGTTAAAGACTGCCCACGAAGCCCTGACAACGCATCTGACACACCAGTCGCGTACTCTTACCTCCATTGCCGTATCCTTTTCAGGCCCATTTGCCATCCTTCCAGACCCAGATGATATCGACGAACTCCTCCCTATCATACAATCCACACTGGAGTTGCTGCCCCACCCTTCCGCCGATCCGCTCGTCGCGCTCTCCCATCTCACCCACTCCAGCCGTGAGCTCATCCAACACCTCTCAAACGTCAGCGATACTCTACACATGTCTCGGCAAACGACAGCGAATGCTGCTAGGCGGCTCAAGGTTAGCAAAGAACAGCTACAGGACTGGAAACGTGACAACGAGAAGACACAGGAAGGACAGGAATATATCGAGCGCGGGGACTGGGACCGACGACTCAAGGAAAGGGAGGCAAAACGGGCTTGCGCAAACGTGCTAGATGGTTTCGAGGATGTCTGTGGACAATGGAGGAAGAGGCTCTGCGAAGGTCTAGGCGTTGCGAGTGCGTAGACTCTTCCTACGTACTTCATAGGCCCGTGTCTACATCGATGACCTTCATGCAAGGTCTGCGACTGACCGAGCCTTAGGCGAGTATATCCCGGATGACGAGGCATACGCTCGCCCTTCTTGGCTAAATTTCAGTAAATCGCCGGAACCGCCGGCGGGGTTAGAAGGCATCTTAGCGAAGGTGTTCAAGAAGGCGGTCAACAAGTCCAGTACAGATTCCATGTTTCCAGATTCCGGCGACGACATGCTGATGGTAGGCCACTAGGGCCATTCATGCTCACTTCACATTGAGCATTATTTCCTATGTATTTGCATTGATATGGTAGTATGGTGTTTTGGCGGCATTGATAGATGGACTTGGTAATACCCCATTTATACATAGCTTCAGGACAAAGCGTGTCTCATTTGTAGGAGTTGGGAGGCCTTTAATAGATGAGAATGAAAGGCATTACAATATTGCAGGTGGGGATTCTCTGGATGTTATCGTTGACATTATGATAACAGTGAAATATGCTGACAGCTATGTACAGTACCCCCTGCAACCTGCCCTGGTTGTACGAATGGCGTGCTACCAGTCGTACATAGCGGAGCCGCTCATGCTAACTTACATACCGAGCTCACGTCGCTCACTCCGGTACCTTCAACTACCTTGGCCTCGACAACTTCATACACTGGCACTTCCTGCAGTCTCTCGACGATGTGATGCAGTGTTGGCAGGGCTTTCCAGTCAAGGGCATCGAAAGCGATCTCGGCTGAGCTTGCCTTCAACGTACGCTCAACCTTCTTCTCCACGGTCCTCGCGTCCTCCTCACCTGGCAGGAAAGCTGTGTACTCCACGTCTGCCTGCCCACGCTCCTTGCTGCCTGTACTACCAGTAGCGGGAACATACTTATGGAACAACAAGCCCTCATCTTTTGGAAGAGGAGGGAATGGTGCCGGCGCTGCATCGTTCGTCGCCGAAGCCTCTTGTAGACCCGACAACGACATGCTGCAGAACTTCGATGACATCCAGCCCGCGTCAAGCGCCCAGTTGCTGTGGTCCTTCTTCAGGTTGAGCTCGGCGAAGAGCTTGGGGAAACCTAGTTCTTCTCTGCCACTCAGTATGGGGTCAGCCAGGTTCTCGAACAGGACGGGCAGATAGGTGCCTGTCACTGTCCCTCCACTGGCGTTTGTGTGCTGAATGCCGTGGATGTACAATCCGAAATGACTGTATCCCCTGCCACCAAGCCAGTCCAGATTGTCCAGCTGCGTCACAGCAAACGTCGCATATGCAGTAGTATTCGCGGCAGCAAACCTCAACTTCTCTGTAGGGAGGAGATTCTCCAGCACTGTCCTGCTCGTCTTGAACTTGATACTAGCAGTCTTGAACGTAGCTTTCGATCCGTCTCTCGGTCTACCAAGGAAATCCTGTCTTGGCCCTGGCATAGGACCAAAGGCCGTGGGCATCCGCCAAAACAGACCTTTCTTGTTCTCCCACTCCCATTTACGGAGCATCTGGCTGGAGTAGTCCCATTCGTCGTGGCCGAAGTTGTAGTTTGTGAACTTTTGCGGGTCGACGGGTGGACCGCTGCCGAGATCTTTTCCTGCTAGGCGGGAGTATTCTTGGATGGCAGATGCGCGCTCGTATCTGCACTTCTCGTAGAGTTTCAGTCGCGCGGGAATGGAGTCTAGGGGTGTGCCTAGGGGAAGCATAACTGCGAGGGATGCAGCGTCTTCGATGGCTTGGCCTGCTCCTTGTCCTTGGTCTGCGGTTCTGTCAGCTGGATTCTCATCGAGGCCGAGAAAGAGAAGGAACAGGACTTACGAGGAGTAAAAGGATGCGCAGCATCGCCAATCAAGACCAATTTCTCATCCGTCCAAGTCGGCAGCTGCTCCATATCCAACAGCTCCCATACCTTCAACGTCTCCTCATCCGCCATACTCAGCAGCTTGAGCACCGCCGGCTCAAAGTCCTTGTAAACCTCCAACATTTTGTTCAAATTACCCTGGTTCTGCCAATCGCTGCTCCCAGGCTCTTGAGAGTCGATTTGGCTCTCGCTTGTCGGATGGATACAGACAAAATTCAACAACGTGTTATCGCTCGTCGGATACACAACAACCCTCCTATCCCTCGCAAAAATCATAATGAGATGGCCCTCATTTTCCGCAAACTTACGCGTCATTTCTTCATCCATCGCCCTCTGTCTCGGAATCAGGAACCTGAATGCTGACTTGCCACTTCCAAACGTCTTGATATTTTCCGCACCTGGAATCCGTGGTCGTGTTTTCGAATGTACGCCATCTGCTCCAACAACGACGTCACTCTCGATCGTACTTCCATCTTCTAGCGTAACAACACCAGCTTTGGCATCGACATCCACAACCTTACTCCTCAGTCTTAAATCCGCTGGCGTACCCTTCCCTTCCTCACACGTAGCCAGCCTCTTCAATTCACTGTGCAGACTCACGCGATGCGCAAGTTGCCACGGGTGCTGCCACCGACCCGCATCCTTCTCTAGGGGAACAGTAAACATCTCTTTTCCGTTCGGAAAGAGCTGTGTCAGGAGCTTGCATGTTATCGCGCCATGGGCTTCGGGGATGAGACCCATACGCCTGAGAAGACCGTTGGCGTTGGGCGCAAGGTGCACGGCTGCGCCGAGTTCATTGGAGAAGCGCGAGGCTTCGAGAAGGGTCACCTTGTGTCCGCGTTGGCGCAAGAATATTGCTGCGCTGAGGCCGCCGATGCCGGCACCGCATATCGTTATCTTGAGGGGCTCGATGGCTTTGTGGTGGCCGTTGACACCATTTGTGTGGCCATTGGTGCCGTTTGTGAAGTCCATGATGGGTGTTGGCAACGAGGAGCGCTGAAGAAGGTTTGCGAATCCCAACTACAAAGCACAAGAAAGTGGAAGTGAGGAATGTGTTTCACAGTTCAGCAAGGGGTTTTGAGACAGCTCTTCTCAACTAGAGGTCATCTGCGTCTACCGCTTAGCAAGCCATTCCTGCACTGCCTTGAGCGCCAACCGATTCCAGGTCATGGATGACCCTCCACTTCCCGGTCTATGGATATATGTGGGGTGGTGTAGGAAATGTGTGGCAGCTGCAAAGCGTTCCTCGGGATCCGTAAATGCTACTGGATGTGGAATGCGCCATCTTAGGCTGATTAGAATATGCGCGTTGTAGTGGTGGTAGTGGTAGATGCCGAGCGGAGAAGGCTTGCATGGGGCGGTGCTGGCACATCAGGGTCAGCAAATAGCGTGCATATATTGGCGGAAAAGGTCGAAGCGAGCTTTTCGTAGTCATGGGCACTTGCAGCATTGCAGAACTGTGCCTTGTGGTTAGATAAGAAATCGTGGAAGAATAATGAATTGCAGTGTCTGAACGAAAAAAGAATGTGCATCAAAACTACATGCGCAAGCAAACTACCACTCTCCACCAAGCTTGTACCCAACATTCCACACTCTTCCCAGAGTATTACGCCATACTTTGGAGACTGTCTACACAAGGCCGTCAGCATAAATCCTTCCCCCAACCTCAATATAGTAAGAACTACTCACCGATTCCAAGAATACACCTGTAAACATCACACCAACAAATGCTTGTTCGATGCCATTGAGGTAGACTCTTCGCTCGCTCTGGTCGAGCTCGGTATTGATTGGCCGGTATGCAGGCACACGGCGATGCTCCGTCGGCCAGTCGCTTGGGTTCTGCTGCGATTGTGATGTTGTGGATGAAGTTGGCGGGGCGGGATGTGCGTTGAGGCTTGTATCGAGTTCTTCGGTGTGGTGGAGGTCGTAGTCTGCAAGGACCGCCTCGAGATTGTAATGGATTGGGTTGGCAGTTGTTGTTACTGACATGGCGGCGATGGTAAGAACAGCAGGGCGACGACAGAAAGGCGAAGATAGCAGTCGCGACGACGACTGTGGTATCAGCGAGTTTACTATGTCGAGAAATGTGGAAAGAAAGTACGCGTCCCTTGCGGCCCGTTGATTGGAAACGCGGAGAAGCTGGGGCAGGAAATGGCAATGGTCGGAATGTGGAGGGGAATATCACGTCCGCTCACGCCCGTGTACATCGGACAACATTACCGACGCGTTGGGCTTACTATCGTCTCAGAAACATCCGCTGACTTCCTAGAAATTACATATCGAACTGCAGGCTCTGCTTTTTCCAGGTCTAGTCGTTGTTGTTCAGTTTGTTCTTACGATTCGTAATGTCGTCACCCATCACCCCAGAAGTCGCGCTTGCGGAACTCCAAGCAACCGCATTGTCGCAGCGGGCGCACAACGCTCTATTCCGTCTGAAGCAACTCAAATCTCTCCACGATGCGCTGCGTAACAACAGCAATGCGATCAGAGATGCGTTGAAGCAAGACACACATGTATCAGACGAAGAGGCAACTACCGAGGTTGCGCTTGCGCTGGATGTAGTCAAAGAACATTATGGTTCGATCGACGCAGCCAAAGAATTGGAAGCCGAGTATAGAATCACACACGGAAAAGACGCCAGTGATAAGAGAGAGCCTTGGGGTGTTGCGTATATTGAGCCACAAAGAGTTCATACGCCGTTTTTCTCAGTCATCGCACCTTTGAGCGCGGCTCTTTCGGCGGGCAACTGTATTGCACTGAAGGTACGGTCTATCATTCTCGATATACTTCTCGTTGTCTAACCTTACTGTAGCTCGAAAACAACCTTCGCGCACTCCCCTCTTTACTTCGGAAGCTGCTCACCGAAGCCCTCGAATCAGATACCTTTGCTGTCATCTCTTCTGATCCCTCCTCGGACTCGCTATCATCCTGCGTACAAGTCTTCCAAGAGAAGCAAATTAGTCCACCAACATACTCGCAACTTGTCTCGCCCCGGAACAAGATCATCGCAATCGTAGACCGTACAGCAGATCTCGCATCAGCAGCCGAACAGCTAGTAACAGCACGCTTTGCATTCGGCGGAACATCACCGTATGCACCCGACGTAGTTCTCGTCAACGAGTTCATCAAGAAAGACTTCTTGGAGCATGTTTTGAAACACTCACTTCGTTTCCTCGCTGGATCAAGTGGTATCTCAAACGGCTCGACAAACGCAAGAGAACAGAAGAAGTCGTCACGAGTAGCAGAGACGTTCCGAGGGCTTACAGAAAGCAAGTCATGGAAGCTGAACGTCATAACGCAAGGAGACAATGGCGCAATTGTTGAGCTGTCAAACCTTTCTTCCCTACCAGCCAAATCCCAACAACCCGTCTTCAGCGTATCAGCCATCACATCTCTCGAGCACGCCATTAGCCTTGTTGAAGAAGACCTAGACCCTCAAGAGAGCCTGCTGGCTGCATATCACTTCGGCACCCCGTCGACTGGGAAATACCTCTCACAATACGTCAATGCCGATACTTCCTTCACAAACAACATTCCCTTCCGTCTACTTCTTGGTCCGGCAGCTCCATCTTGCCAGCCCATCGACGTTGAGAAGCGATATATTGCCCAGCATTTTACTCGTATTTCACCCGCATATATCGCAACACCTTCTTCACAGGCGACATTGTCAAAGGTTCTTTCAGGCAAGGAATCGAAGAAGGCAGCGACGGAGCTCCTTAGTAAAGCATCACGAGAGATAGAGGAGAAGAAGCGCGCTGAGTCGATTGCAATTGGATATTTTGAACAAGGTATCTTTATTGGTTTGGGTGTGTATGGTATTCCTATCTTGACATGTATTGGTGCGACGCTCTTTTTCGGCGTAAGGGCGGGCTTGAGGAGATGGGCGTTTATCTGAATTTGCTACTTTTAGTCAAGTCTAAGCATGCATGCCGTCCTTTTTCTCTTCTATAAACTCAATCGTATTACGCGTTTCGCAAGACGGCTGTGCTATCGGAACATGAGTACTTGATGCACTGTCAATGTAGAGAGCAGGGCGGAGCTTGCTGGTCATTGACACGAGCAGTCGCATGGTAGGAGTTGAAGTTTTGACCACAGATTGCTGACAACAATAGGCGGAAGTAAAGGCAGGTCAGACAAAACAGTATGCATCTGTCGTAAGTCGCATACAATAAGCTACCTAAGGCGATAACAGAGCTACCCAGCAGTCATAGCGAGATGTACCTGGTCTTCAAGCTACAAAGCTGATCCCTCAGGAACCCACTTCGCTGTCCAAATCCTCAACCGTTTACCCCAGATCAACATGGGAATCGTGAGCAAGCCAAAAAGGCCCATCAACAACCCAAAGATGCCAAAAGGCTCAGCAGCTCCCTTATGTGTGACCCACTCTCCAACAAAGAACGTCCACGCAAAGCTCACAATAGCCCTAACGAACGTGACGGCAACGAAGCAGTCTCCGGCAAGCACTCCATAAGCCTCAATAAGGTAGTTGAAGCCAACAGAAGGCGCTTGCATAAGTCCAAGAGCGACAAGACCAAAACCGAATTGGAGACCTACCCATCCGGTAGGCGAAGGGTTCTGCGCTACGAAACCGAATATGAGAGAGCCGCTTGTGGCGAGGAAAAGTGCGGGAAGAGCGGTAACAAGACGAGATTCGGGCTCGGAGAAACCGTGGGAATCTTTCTTTGCGAGACGTTTGGTTGCGAAGTCGGCAATGAGGTAGGTGTAGACCTGGACGCGTGTTAGTGACTATTAATGCCAGGCACGTTGGAGACTTACACATCCGATCAAAGCGCCAAAAACACCACCGATGTTGATCAAACCAACGTTTTTTCCCCAGAGATACGGTGGCGCGCCGACGAGTTGCGGACCAACAGTTGACATGGTAACAATAAGTCCGACCAATCCGGCGTACCAAGCTGAGACGAGCCATACACCAGGTAGCCTGAGCGTCTTGTAGGGAGCGATCAAGTTGCGCATCAGACCAGGGTGGTACGAGAAGAGCCTCAAAGACTTCATGTGCGAGTACGATGGGTAGGAAGACGGCGCAGCAGCATCAGCAACGGTGACTCTCTCCTTGGTCTCAACAGTATCTTTGTCTGGATCATCGAATGTGACGATACTCTCTTTGCGGTGGTACAGGGTCTCTGCCTGGAATACTAAGCAGAGGACGAAGGTGATAGCTGAGAGTAGGACGTTCATCCAATGAAGCCAGGATAGGCCCATGTCCGCGACAATGTAGCCACCAGCAACAGCGCCTAGGAGCGAACCCAAGGTCAACATGACCGTGTAGATGGCCTAAAGATTGTTCAGTTAATGCCGGTTCAAGCGGAGGTTTCTGGAGATGAACATACTAGAGCACGTCCTCGTTGATGGACAAAGAAGATCTCGCCAACAACATCCGGGCTCACAGCATCAGCCGGCGCACCTCCAATGCCCATGAAGATACGAGCAGCCACTAAACTATCGAAGCTCGTAGCAAGTCCAGCCCACATGCTAGAGAAGACGAGAAGCAATAAGCTGCCTAGAATGACTGGGCGTCGGCCAAACGTGTTCGCCAACGGCACCCACCACAGGTTCGATGCGCCCAGCATCAGAATGTTGCATGCAATAAAGTACGTCAATTGCGAAAACGACTTTGGTGGGAAACCAAACACGCCTGTTGACGCGTAGATCGGCAAAGTACTCGAGATGGATGAACTGGTGAAGTTCACCACGAACGGATGTATCGACATGACGGCTAGGATTGCTATCTTGCGCCACATCGGAAGGTTGAGAGGATCCGCTGGGTCGGCTGATGGTTGGGGGACGAGACGGATCTCATCGTGACTTGTTTGCGATGCCGTCCATTCGAGATGCTCTGATGGGGCGTGTTAGCCAGGAAGCTTCAGGAGAAATTGACGCATCTTACCGACGAGGGTCGCAGTCCCTGGTGGTCTGGCGTTCCTGACTTCCTCCTTGGAAAGGCTGAATGCCTTTCTCAAAGAAGTCATAATGGTTGCTGGCGGCTACCTGTTCGTGGAGCAGATGAAAAGAGGAGTTGCGATGATGATTTGCGATGCTCACAATGCTCAACACGACGTGTTTGTGGCCATGGTACTCTAATCTAAATACACCGCACGGTTGAACAACACCATCTGCAAGCATGTCGGTGAGTACGCCCAGTATTTGGTTATCGGCGAATAAGAACGGCCAAAACGCGCCTCAAACTTGTCTCATTGGACGCATGGACGCATCTCGACCCCAGTATGACTTCCTGCCCATGGGGTAATTCGGAATGTGGAGGTGACCGAGGCCTTGCTTGATACGGCCAAGACCGTCAAGACTTGCGGGGTTACGACTAACCGTCTCTACGAACAGCCAATTGTATGCAGCACAAACCAATATGACTGGCATACGACTAACCCTAGATCTACCATCTTCCGCTCCAAAGGTATGGATCTGAAGGTGGAGAACGGGTGGAGCACGTGCGCGGCCTTGCTACTGTGACAGCGCTGCGCATGCGGCAGATAGACACGGATTCAGCGGGTACGCAAGTAGAGGAGAAACCACTGAGGGTGCTTGATCTGGGTCCTCACTGGGGTTTGATATTCATGGGTTGGGAGTTGCAAATATAGCGCGAACACCACGTTTGAGTATTAACTTTGCTCTCGGATATTAATTTGACTCCGTACGCGTCACGGGAAAGCTATGATCCCCAGATGCTATTGATAAGATCGCAGCAATCCATCAATGCCGCACTAAAGTCAAAGGTGTAGTCCGATACCATCGCGCAAACTCCAATCTGAACTGCCGTTATGGAAGCCGCGTCACTCATCTGATGGCAGATCGGAGGCCTTCCAACAACTGTACCAAGTTCCCGACCAGCGGTGGAGATGGTTCTGACGCGTCATGATGCGCTCGAAGGAGCTGTGTCAAGCTATCCATGACTCCACAGACGTCGGTCAGTTGGGTGGGATTTTGTGATCCGGAACTCTTGATGGCTGGTATGCCCCGGTCTAGGGTGATGAACTTTCGGGCGCTCAGCAGGTCGTCTCCGTTGAGAACGACAGCCGTATCGACCGGACCCTGTTCCGTCGTAATAGAGCGTTTGAGAATACCGTAGACCCATAGTATGAGCCCCGCATGGTAGACAGCAATGGCGTTGAAGTTACTGAGCAGAGCTTTCGGCAGCACCTCAGCTGCACGCAGGATTTGGCCAGCGTGCCACAGGGCTTGACGCGCCGACGGAGTCTTCGCCCAATCCCGCAAACCAACGTATGCGCCCCGTGCCTCTTCCTGCCCTTCGATGCCCGCAAAGAGCTGGATGTCGTCCAAAGGTGCGTTGAGATGGACCAACATGATCTCTAGTGTTATCTCAACACTCTTGCTCATAGGCGGAGTGCTCAGCCTGAAATCTTCAAGCTGCTTTGTGAGCTCTTGATAACGCGACGATAATATGAGACTGTTGGTAGGCTGCGATTGCGATCTAGATGTCAAGGCGCACATCTGGCGATACTCCCAGATTGGACCCCACATCATATGAAGATACGTCGAATTGGCATAATCATGAACTTGATGTTCCAAGTTCAATAGACACTCGGTAGCCGACGGCCGCTTCGTAGTCACTGAAGCCATTTCCAAATACGCCATCTTCCAGGTGGCCGCATTCTTGGCCTGCCACAACGTGTTCGCACTCGGTAGAGGAAGTTGCATCTCGGCATAGGATATAAGCGGTGGCTTGAGGAGTGCCATCGAGGACTGCCGATCAAACTCAAAGGCTCGGTGAACCAAGCGGAGAAAGGATTCTTGACTGACCCAACTCAGCCATTTGCTTTCTAAAACTGAGCCTTGGTCGTCGGGCGACGGACTAATTTCTTTCCATGTCGACCGACGAAAGCGACCACCGCGGCGGAGCATAGTCATAAGAGGCTGGAGAAAGCTTTCCGCGATCTCCATCTTCCGGCTGATGCCACTCCACATACCAACTTTGAGCTGCAGAAGGAACGTCTGTAGATGTTGGAGATCTCTGATGGCGGTGTTGTCCTCTTCGAAGGATTTTGATTGGCCCATCCTCGAAGCTTCATGCAGAGCATAACCTAGCTTTCGCAAAGATATGTCAGGGAGTGTAGCAGCCCCAGCAGAAACTACAGAAGCAAGCAATTCTGGGTTCATTTTCGAAGGAGAGAAGGTTGGTAAATGGAACCACATGGGCGCATCTATCGATGGTGAAGATAGAAAGTATTGGATCAGACCATCCAGTAGCTCCATACTGGGAAAGGCGGACGCTATACGTTTGACGTTCTCTGGGCTACATGTACCGAGGACCAAAGCCATCAACCGGTCGCGGCTGGAGCGTGGTAGTCTACAAGTAAAATGAGTACAGTCCATGCCTGATCTACCGCGGATGCGCACCTACTTTTCTGCTACCACGCGCCGATGTGTAAAGTTCGAACGCCGGTAGCTGTCTTTCTCTGTGTCCGGTACAGCCAAGTTGACTTGTTCTGCAGTATGGTTTCTCGACCGTTGAGGAAGATACCGCCATATGCTCTGCTTGAAGGCTTCCGCCCTTAATGGCGCAGTGTCAGTCTCCGACAATTGTTGCTCCGCCCCTTGAGCATCCGTAGATGGCGTATCGGCGGCGAACGGAACCTGGAAATTGTATTGATCAAGAAGTCCAAGATCGAGGTCAGTCAATCCAACATCAAGATCGAAGCTGAAATCCATGATACCACGTGGAGTTGCCTGACCAGACATGAATGCCTCGAAAGGGGGCATGCTGCGAAAATAATCTGGTAAGAAAGGGTTGTGCCCTGGCGTGTTATCAAAGTGCGACATGGAATTATCGAGGAAAGTCATGGTTGCGTTAGGATCTTCGTAGTTCTGATTCATCACGACGAGTCCACCGCCGTTGTTGGTTGGTGGCTGCATGTCTGTCAAATTCGTTGTTCTTGTCTCAGGGTCACCAGGATCCACGGATTGCCGGTGCATATTTGTGGTGTCTGTTATGAGCATGGGCGGTGGGTTGTGAAATGGCTCTGGGGTCTCTGAAGTCGTAGATGCCGAAGGATTGCCGCTCCCGCTGTGAGCCGGCAGCGATGAGGGGTAATCAAATCCATTCGAAAGGTCGAGCAGATCCTGTGCCGCATGAACTGCATCAATCTCATGGATGTCGTTTTCATCTGGAGCAGGAGTTTCAGGTACCCGGCAGGGTATTTTCTTCTTCTTGCAACGACTACATGGCTTTTCGTCTTCGCATCGAAGATGGCTTTGAGAGCAAGCTTCACAAGCCTGGACAACTCTGGTATCACGAGCGATCTCGCGTTTTTGCCGCTTACTGGCAGGCTCTGTATCGTGGTTTGTTACATGTCTCTTGAGTAAGTCTCTGCACAAAGTCAGTGAAACGACATTGAAAAGCAAAGCATGACACGTACATTCTGGCAAAGCCTTTGGAGCAGACGGGACAAATGTAAGGCTTGGACTTGGTGTCTACTCATGCCGTTAGTTTAGTTAATGAACCATCTATGTAATCTAACGTTGACATATGCTAGTCGCGCGAAAGCAATCCTCCCGGCGCAGGTGCCAACTAGCTTCCGGTCAACAAAGCCGCGGAGCAAAGGCAAGGTTACTCGAGTCAAGCTCAATGGTATCATATTGATCTTCGGGATTCTAGCTACTGACTTACGCGCTCTCACATGTCTTGTGAGGTGATCTGCACGTGTGAAAGACCTCTTGCAAGTGCTACACTGGAATAGGCGCGGTTGTTCGGCAGGTTCTGTGTTGGCTGACTGCGTGTTCGCTGATATCGGGGCAGTCTGCATGCTGAGTTGTGCTATCGGGTGGCTTCGAAAAACAATGGCATCGGGACAGAGGAAAGTGGAGGGAAGCTGGAGATAAGGTTGTGAGTGGGGAGAGAATGCGGAGATCGACAAGACAAGACGCGTTCTTCCCCTCGGCTAGACGCTCGGACAGGTCCTCTGACACTCCCCACATTACGACTTTTGCCGTACAACACCCAGGGGTGTTCTACACAGTATTGATCGCGATGGGTAAAGCTTCCAACAAAGCCGCGTGTCTGAAGATACGTTTTCCGCCCCCGTTCAGTAATATCAGTACCGCTGCGATCCGGACTCTCACATCGCGACGAGCACATCAAGCCTAAGCTTCCGTCTGAGCAGCCGGTCAGACCAAATCCTCTCTTTGTTAGGAACAGCACATTACCAACATCAAGATGGCTCCACCAGTTCACTTTTTCTCCCATGGCTCGACGATGATGTTGGGCGAAGAGACCAAATCGGCCGACTACTGGAAAGCCTGTGGTGATGAAGCCCTCTCTCACGGCATCAAAGGTGTCATAATGATGGGCGCGCATTGGGACGCGCGTGGCGTAAACCGTATCGATGTGTCAATGAACCCGGCACCCATAAAATCACCCGTCGCGTACGTTCACCCGCGCAAATACAAAGACTACGAGCTCGTCCCAGATCTCGAGAGCGGAAAGAAGTGCATAGCAGCGCTGCGAGAAAAGGGCATTGACGCACGACCAAACGACACATTTGACTGGATCCACGACACATACTTGATTTTGATTAGGATGTTTCCCGAGAAATGCCCACCAACGACTATCATCAGTATGAATTCGCGATTCGATCCGCATCTGCACGCCCGGGTGGGTAACATCTTGGCCAAATTCCGTGACGAGGGCTATCTCATCATTGGTACGGGTGGCGCGGTTCACAACCTTTACCGCAACCACTGGGCGCAGATGCTCAGGTACTCGGACAACTTGGCACAACCATACCCACCAGAGGCACCGATGCTGGAGTTCCGCCAGAGCGTCGAGGATGTCTTTATCCGCTGCTGCAGGAAGGGTGCGAAAAAAGGTAGCTTGACACGTGGTATCACGAGGTTGATGAAGCATCCCATGTTCCGCGATGCGCATGCGACAGATGATCACTACATGGCGGCATGTTTTGTGGCTGGAGTTGTTGATGGAAGTAAGAGGGATAGCGACGAGTGTGTGCTCGGAGCTGAGGATTGGGAGTTGGTGAACATGTGCAACAGCCAGTTTACTGTTGGTAGATGGGAATAGAGGCTTTAGCTAGTATACATGCAGTTTGACTTTTAATATCGTTAGTGTACATAATTAGTGTACTATATTCCCAAGTTTTTTCTTCTTTCACAACTTCATATCTACTTACGTTCATGAAATCAGACACGTTGTCTCTCAAGGGATTGTCTTTCGCCATCTTATATGAGGAATAAGTAACGGACGACCAGATCAAAAATAGTTACTACAAACTTATCATTCGCGCTGTGTATATGGCCTGTGAGAAATGTTGATTTCGCTAACCTAAATATATGTCGCAGTCTATACTTTCGTCCCAACTTCCGTACTCACTATTCTATTTAGGAGGTACGATTGGCAACGTAACATAGTTTACAGCCTTCTCACTGAAATGCAAATGATTCCACCCCGCAAGCTTCTCCTCACTCCTATCTTCGGGATGGTTATGCTGGAAGATACCACTTCCTTGCGTATCACCACTGCTAATCTCAAATACAATCTTGCCACCCTTCTCCACAATAACGTTTGTTGGCCAAACTTCCACGTCCACAGCGTAGACATCTCCAGGTATGACGGGCTGAACGTCAGTGCTGAAGTAGTCTCGCCATGGCAGGTACTCTCTATGTTTTGGGTGGTCGGGATTGGTTTTGCGGAAGCTGACGCGCAGCCAGCCTTTTGCAAGGGGTATAGGGTCTCCCGCTGTGCCCGTGTAGTAGACTTCTTTGCCTTCTGGAGAAATGTAGCGTAGAGTGAGAAAGAGATCGATGTCGGAAGGAGTGGCGCCCTTGGGATGGGCTGAGAGGGACACATTTAGATGTGCGACAATGTGGCCAGTGATTTCAGTCTCTTCCTCGAATGGTGCCGTCGTAAACTGAAGGAGCTTGGGGTTGTCAAGAGTGCCAAGTGCCTCGTACGACAATTTCTGGGGTCTGTTGTGAATAGGCTGGATCTGTGTCAATGTCTGAGAAGGCGTAAGGTAGAACTTAGAATAACGAGTTCGTGCGATAGGCCACTCGTTCTCTGTGCGCCTCTCGTAAACCTTCTCTTTCTCGGCATCGTTGAAGCCCACATCGCCCTTTCGCAGGACCATGTCCACAGGCGGAAGCTTGCCCTTGACAGACCACCCTACTCTGTCGTCGCCTTTGAGGAAAGCATCAAGGAAGCTCCGTTGTATCTCGACTTCTTCTTTGTAGTAGAATGGTAGATCGTGCCTTCCAGTGATCATTCGTAGGTACTTGAACTCAGACCCAGCATGTGCGTAGCCTTCGATGTTACCCCTAAGATGGAGCAAAATACCGCCCCAGTTGCCGACAGAAAGTAGCGGTACCTCAATATCGCTCATGTCGTACTCTTTGCTTGCATAGTATGTTTCGTCACGGAACTTGAACTTGGCGGTATCGATTGTTTGGTCCTGTCGGCGTTCTGCACGCACCTCTTCTGAAAGGTCACCGTCGACAGTATCTGGCCCCCAGTTACGCGCTGCACGGCCTGGTTTGCCGTATTGATTGGTAATGACCTGTCGATTCCTGCGTGAAATCGTTAGCATATGACCGGGCTCAGACCATTTGTATAACTCACCACCAGAAGTCGATGAACTTGTTACTCAGGATGCCTCCGTGACGGCATCGGTCACGATAGTAGTCGCTCATCCCCTCCCAAGGAATGACTGCAGCCAAACCCTTAGGCTTACGTGCTGCCACACGCCACTGAGATCCGGCATAGTAGCTGATGCCGAGTAAGCCGACCTTTCCAGACGACCATGGTTGCTCAGCTGCCCATTCGACGACATCAAAAAAGGCCTCGCTTGTTCCTCGCGACATTGTGTCCAAGAAGCCTGGAGATTGGCCGAGGCCACGTTCGTCGGCGCGCACGATAATGTAATCGTGCTTCGTCCAAAAGCCAGGGTCTGGAGTTTCCCATGCCGAATGATCAGAATGGTGCTCGGGATTTACTTCTGAGTATGATTTGCCATGGAAACTGGAGGCATTAGTTGCTGCAGCGCGCGCTTCAGTTGTTGAACTCACTCCTTGTAGTGGATATCTTTTCCGTAAGGTCCGTAAGTCACCAGCACCGGAAGCTTCGTCCCCTCCTTTGTAGATTTCGGTCGGTAGACATTGCATCGAATAATGCCTTCGGATGATGTCTTCAGTGGCACGGCGACATTCTCCTCAAAAAGATAGGGAAATGACGACTCGTCGATGGAATAAGCGTCCTTTACTTCTAGCTGGTCAGACATTTTGTGTGTGATATCGGAAGTGCAAGAAACATACTCTTTCCATCATTTGGATATATACTACATATTGCGACGCGTAGTGGGTTCCTGTGCCGACAGCGCGCCGTTGACAAGGTGCGGCGGTGTTCGAGGGGCACATTCGGGATGTGGAGGTACCAGACTCTATTGGCGCGTTACCTAAGTAAGCCATGATAGCACGCGGGAACATGGAAAAAATAGCATGTACTTTACTTGAGATGGTAAACAAACTCATCTTTTTTTTTAGTTTACCACTGGTAATGAGCTCGTAAGAGTTTTGAGCGGTTTAAACCTCAAGAATTATGTGCATCAGATCTTAGATCGTTGGAATGATGTATGGAGAAATGATATGGTTTAGAACGCATCGACATTTATTTACAACGATCTCTACAGCTCATGTGATCCTAGAGAAGACAATGCCACTATGATGATGCTGGAACACCCTTCATGCTTCCGTAGTCCTCTTTCAAGACTTCACCCTCGACCTCTACCGGTTTGCATTCTTGAAGAACATACATCATGCGACCCCAAGATGTAGAGCTGGTGTTCCTCCAAGCGTGCATTGTGCCCCTCTGAATTGCGACATCTCCTCTCTTCATCAATCTTGTCTCTCCAGAATCTAGCACCAACTCCATTTCACCTTCCAACACGACACCGTAATCTAGAGAGACTGTGCGATGCATTGGCGACAGGTGACCAGGCGCCACATCGACGAATCGTAGAACTGTTCCCCCTGAAGAGACCAGGCCTGGAGGCGATTCGAGGTAAGGCTTGTAAACTGCAAGGTCGGCGTCTTTGTTCAGATCGACCGGAAATCCCTTGGTAACATATCCGAGCCGGAAGTCAGCACCAGGAATATGGTCGACTTTAGCTTCTTCTGGGACGGCATCAGAGAAGATGGCTTTCTTGGTTGTAGGGTCGTGGGTTGTGATGAAGCGATGGACTTTTGGGAGATCGTTCGTGATTTCGGGCTTTGACGCCATGATGAAATATAGACTGTAGGAGCAACAAGGTAGTTGAGGGCGAAGATGCCAGTATCGTAGTAAGTTGATGAAGATACAAAACGAGACTTCAAAATAGATTCAAGGGATGATAGTCGAATCAACCAGAGAGTGAGATGTGTATCGAAAGGCTCATCTATGGCCTCCCGATGTGGAGGACATGTTCACAGACCCTGAATGTAGCATCTGCCGACGCGTACTCGGTACATCCCGTGCGGGGTCTCGTACGAGGGACTAGTTGAATCACCTTTAGTCAATAAGCGGTATATTTATGGGCGAATAAGGGTTTGTGGTCTGTGGGAAAGCTTGAGCAAGAGACAAAGACATGCTACGGAGCTAGGTGTTGCGTGTTATGTTTATCAATTAGAAGACACGCTTGGCCGCTTTCGTGCTAGACTGAACGCGTACCCGCGGCCATCTTTCCACGAAGTCTGAATAAGAACCGCTGCGTCAACGTTGACCGGATAACCATGGAACGCCTAGTCCCCGCTATTGTCGTCTCATTCGATACCATGGCCGTTGTGCCTTCCGGTCATAGTAACACATGCGGAGATGGGATGTGGAGGGGCGGCCTCCGAGATGAACATCCCCACCTACACGCGCTGTCAGCTCTCCAGTCGCGACTCCAGGTTCAGGTAAAGCCTTGAAGCTGTGTTCTGGGGTTTGAGTATTACGAACTCGATACCACAAACTACTTTGTGCTCACAAGTTAATCGTCCTCTGATACCAATAAAGCTCTCCTTCACACAATGGCAGACAATTACGCTTCGCATTTCAGCGTGAACAACATCCCATACGGGATTGCAAGCTCGTCGAAACGCCACGCACCACAATGCGCGACACGAATTGGTGATGAAGTCATCTTCCTGGCAGAGCTCGCGGAGCACGACTCTTTTAAGGCCATCGCAGCACCGCTATGGTCCATCTTCCGCGAACCCACACTGAACACGTTCGCCGCTCTAGGGAAGGACATTCAAAGTGAAGTGCGTTCTGCAGTACGAGAAGCATATAATAGCAAGTCATATGCCAAATACTCGGAAAACATCAGCGATGTTACCCTCCATATGCCAGTACATATTGGAGACTTCACAGACTACAGTGCTTCTGCCAACCACGTTCTCAACGCAGGAGAAGCAGTAATGGGAGTCCGTTCTTATCCTCCAGCCTTCAAAAAGTACCCCGTTGGCTACGCGGGTCGGTCGAGTTCGATCACTGTGTCAGGAGCGCCCGTCATGAGACCTTTGGGTCAGTTCATCGAAGACTACACTGTTCCAGATAAGAAGATTATCTTTGGACCATCGCGGGGTTTGGATTACGAGATGGAGATTGCTGCAGTCATTGGCAAACCTGTAGAAGCTGGGACTTACCTGAACGCGAAAGATGCCGACGACCACATATTTGGCCTAGTTCTGTTGAACGACTGGAGCGCAAGAGACATTCAGGGCTTGGAAATGAACCCCTTAGGCCCATTCAACGGAAAGAACTTTATGACTTCAATCACGCCTTGGGTTGTTACGCTAGAAGCATTGAAGCCTCATGAAGTCTCGGCCCCGCCCCGTATGGAGCCTGTAGCCTCTTTTATGGACGACCCCAAAAGTATCAACTACAATATCCAGCTCGAAGGTCAGATCATCCGAAACGGTAATCAGACTACGACATGTAAGGTTGGCTTCGAAACAATGTACTGGACCTTCAGACATATGTTAGCGCACCATACTATTGGCGGATGTTCACTCCGGACAGGAGATCTGATCGCCAGCGGAACAGTTTCTGGTGAACAGGACCATGAACACGGATGTTTGCTCGAGTTGACAAAGAACGGCAAGGCTCCAAGCAAATTGAGCGATGGATCTGAGCTACGCTACCTTAACGATGGGGATGAAGTTCGCTATATCGGTGTGGTTGGCGATGGAGGGGCTGGAGTCGGATTTGGAGCGTGCATTGGCACCGTAAAGCCTGCCCAGAAAATATAGAAGCGTCTAGCCATTTTCCGAGTGGCGATCACTATAGCTTTCGGCTGAGCAAGGGGTGAGACATAATGGTTGTACAGTCTGAGTGGGGTTGACCAATGTTCAGCTGCATCCTGATTCAACAATTGGTTGGCAAGCGTGGTACATATGCGAGAGGCTGCATACTACCACCAAAGGATCATAGCATTGGAGCCTTCCAACGGTTTATCGGTCCTTTGGGCTTTGTGCATTAAAGCCTAAGTCTCTCTAGCGACGTGTAGTCCAGCCCCGTGGTGCAGCCTCTCGTACGCAATGCATAAGTTTCAGCTCTCATCTCATTCCTTCATCCTCTCTCGTGTCTTAACCCCATCTTCACGTGAGCGTCCTCCGACCTTGAATATCCCCTCGAACAACAGCAAACGAAAAAAGGTTATCCCACACTTGTGCTGCAGTCACAGCTTCGTTACTTGGAAGGCTGAGTCAGTTCTCGAGTTTGCGTCAACTCGGACACCTACAATCATGGCAGAGTGAGTACTATACTGATGATTTATCTACTTGTTCACGATCTGGTATGTCGCGTTCCTGAATAGTATCATTGACATGTTGTCCAGATTCCACTCCGCTGCAGAGCTACTGAGTCAACCGTCGAAACTCGCCTTTGGGAAACGCGTATCCGAGAATTCCAAGCCCCAAGTCGAGAAACGCAAGCGGTCGAGGAGCACCTCTTCTGCCATTACTCCTGACGTCGATCAACTTCAAGGTGTAACCCCAGGTCCATGCGCGCGAGATACCTTTCCCCCTCACCACGTGCGCACGCGTCGGATTACGTCACATCCTGTCAGAAGGGTACTCCTGAAGGCTCGTCGACAAACATGCCAAGGAGATCCTGTGCAGCCTAGACCGTGTTTCAGTATATTATCTCTCGCATTTCCTGAGCCACATATTGATTACTCTACCACTACGCACGCCTCTCCGCACGATTCAGGAGTCGCGGAACAACAACACGACGTGCCCAGGCTACACAGGAAGGAACCACCCCAGCTCACCGTAAGAGACGCAATTGCAGAGCAGCTCGTGAAGTTGCGGCTACCAGCTACCACGCATACACCACTAGCACCTACAGGAGCAACAGCGCCTCGGAGCACAATAAACTTCTCGTTTCCCTTCCAACATTCCAACTCGGCCAAAGCTGCAAAATCAGCCTGGAATAGAATGGCTTCCTCGAATCCCCTCTTGCCCAGTTTTCGAGGACAACTGAACCCACCAGATACGAGTGCAATGGATCTAGACTTTTGGCGACGACATGGAGAGAACAGCACAGATCCCATAGTCATCAATGACCATGGTGACGATGAATGTGATCTTAGGAGCATAAGTTCCTTGGAGTCCTTGGAGTCCGCCGGACTATCACGTCAATTGATCAACAGACGACGAACTCGACCTATTCTTATGGACCAGAGTCCCAGCGGGTCATGCATCAGTATTACAACAGCGGATAGCTTCGAGAACTCTGAATCTCAAGTTTCGGCTCTTATCTCAGATTGCATAGATGATGCTCGACACGACCGCAAAGCCTGGGAAGAGAAAGACCACCGGCTTCCTCAGCTTCTACAAGAGAAGATGCGTCTAACTCCAGCCCAGCTCGCAGAGAAATCTGGATCACCAGCAGCTCTAGCCGAGTCTCCTGAGATCGTACGATTGGAGACTCTACGGCAGGCTATTACTCATGTCTGTACACGAAATTACACCAATATGGACTTCAACACAGAAGAGGGGACGCATTTACGGCGTCGTGACTGTGTTGTCTGCGACGATAGCATTGCCATTGGCGATCTACCCTCACTTACCGACTGCGAACATCGACCCGAGACGTGCGCAGGCTGTTACGCGGATTGGATAACTACACAGCTTCAAGGCAGTACTTGGCGTGAAGCTAAATGTCCGGGAAGCGATTGCGATGTTGTCTTGTCGTACCATGATATTCGGCTATACGCGAGCTCTGAGACTTTTGAAAAGTACGACACATTCAAAGCTCGGGCTCTCATTAACGAAGACCGTAAGTTATGATGCAATACACTTCGATAGACTAGGGAGGTGAACGCTGACAAGGACAGCCGATTCTCGATGGTGTCCGGCCTCCGGCTGTAATTCTGGTCAGATCCATACGACTGGCGTCGCAGGTAACATCTTTACTTGTTCGGGATGTGGGAGCAAAACCTGTGTTGTCCACGAGAACACATGGCACGAAGGCGAGTCGTGCGCTGACTTCGACAACCGAATCTCCGGCCGTAAGCAACGAGAACAGAAGGGGCAAGAAGAGGCGAGTCTCAAAAAAATCAAGGAGCTTACCAGGAAGTGCCCTGGCCCTGGATGCGATTGGAACATTCAGAAAAACGATGGGTGCGACCATATGACATGTGGGTTTTACCTCTTTCAATGCAAGTCTTTCGCTGACGATTATAGGTACAAAATGTGGTTACGAATTCTGTTGGATCTGCCTTTGTGATTACAAGAAGGTCTTGCGAACAAGCAATGCAGCCCATGCGAGGTCCTGTTCTCATTGGCGTCCGTAGTTTTGGATAGGTAGGGAAAAACGGCGTCGGAGATATTGCGCTTTCACTGTAAGAATATGGGATTTCCGAGAAGAAGCTAGCATACGTGCAGCAATCATGTTTGCTTTTAGATTTGAGGGATTCGACTGTAGCCTAAATGTAGACGAAGATTTACCGTGGTATACGGTGTATACGCTGTAAAATTACACCGCGATTACAGTAGCGCCCCATGTTGATGTCACGGACACGGAGTCAGCAGACTCCGATTGGTGCGCAGTCCCCCTAGCCTCGAGCAACTCCCAAATTTGTACCTCTTGTCAACAAACACAAGGACTTCACCTCCGCATTCTGTGCCATTGGTCGTGTGCGCTTTGTGCTTAGCCTTCATGGTCGTGCTGTGACGGCATTTGTAACTTCTTCTAGCACCAGCTTTCTTACTGCATCCTCTTACCGTCCCGCCTTAATTTTTTCGAGTCTGAACCCCTTTCACCGCGCATCGCCACAACCGCAACTACAGCCACCATGTCGATGCGAGTGACGCGGTCGCAGGCCGGAAAGACGCCTCAGTGAGTGGATTCCAGGTTGCATACGCGTGCTGTGCAAATCCGTGCATTAGTTGCTGACATGCATAACCCAGAAAGCCCGATCGCCCTGGCTTCGTCGAGACCCCTGGACGCAGGAAGTCGCAACGCAAGTCTCTTGCATCCGATGGATACGAGTCGACGCCTGAGCCAGAGAACTTCCTGAAGCCGTTCAAGTCCAACGAGAGTGATGTGAAGAAAGAGGCCGAGGAGAAGAGCAATGGACACGCCAACGGAAATGGACATGCAAACGGAAACGGACACACCAACGGCTACGCGAATGGACACAGCAATGGCAAGGCAAACGGACATGCAAAGAGCGAAAGGGAGATCGTCGAGCTCGACTACAAGATGGAGGCGGAAAAGTTCTTCTCTCCAAAGGACAAATCTGGCCTGCATGAGTTCGGCGGCGCCATTGGTATGGGCAGCATGATGGTCTGTTTCCCAGCCCTCATGTACTACATGTGGATTGGAGCCACCTTCTATGACGGCAAATTCCCTACGCCGACTGAGGGCCAGAGCTACGGAGACTTTTTCGGACACATGTGGTATCTTGTAAAGACGGAAGCCTTCCCGAACAACAAAGCGTGGCAGATTTACTGGTTCTTCGGACTCACACAGATGGCCTTCTACATGTTTATGCCGGGTGTCTACCGCAAGGGCAAGGCACTTCCCCACCTCGGTGGAAAGCAGCTGGACTACTACTGCTCGGCTATGTGGTCTTTCTACTCCAGCATTGTCATCATGTTGACTCTTCATTTCACTGGCGTCTTCAAGCTTTACACACTGATTGACGAGTTTGGTCACATCATGAGCGTAGCCATTCTTTCAGGCTTCCTTTGCTCTACTATCGCATACGTCTCAGCCCGCGTCCGCGGTGCTACTGTCCGAATGACCGACAACCTCATCGTTGACTTCTTCCTTGGCTCGGAGCTCAACCCTAGACTTTTCGGTATTCTGGATTTCAAGATGTTCCTCGAGGTCCGTATTCCATGGTTCATCCTCTTCTTCCTTTCCCTCGGTACTTGCTTGAAGCAGTACGAGCAATATGGCTACGTATCTCTCGAAGCCATCTTCCTGCTCTTCGCACACTACCTGTACGCCGGCGCCTGCGCAAAGGGCGAGCACCTCATCATCACGACCTGGGACATGTATTACGAGAAGCTCGGTTTCATGCTCATCTTCTGGAACATGGCTGGTGTACCTCTCTCGTACTGCCACTGCACCCTGTACATCGCTAACCACCATCCTTCGGAGTACGGCATGCCAACCTGGTTTACTGCCCTCCTTACCGTCACCTACCTCTACGTCTACTACATCTGGGATACGACCAACTCGCAAAAGAACCAGTTCCGTCAAGAAGAACGTGGTGTTGTCGATGAGCGTACTACCTTCCCCTACTTCAAATATGGACGCATCGCCAATCCAAAGACAATCCAGACATCCCATGGAAACAAGATTCTGGCTGACGGTTGGTACGGCAAAGCGCGTAAGATTCATTACACATGTGATCTCTTCTTCGCCGTCAGTTGGGGCCTCATCACTGGTTTCAAGAGCCCATTCCCTTGGTTCTACTCCGTGTTCTTCGCGGGTATGATCATTCACAGGGCGTTGAGAGATATTGAAAAGTGCAGGGAGAAGTATGGTGAAGCATGGAAAGAGTACGAGAGGCAGGTGCCTTATTTGTTCATTCCGGTAAGTCCAATCATTTCTATCCTGAGTGAAATTATGCTAACATGCTTCCAGTACGTCTTCTAAGTTTACGCTGTCCTTTTAGACTTTGTCCCTTGTCCGTTGCTTGATCTTTCAAGATCTACCCTGTCTTCGGACATTTTTGCGCGACGGACTGTTTTGTAGTATACCATACCATTCTTCTCGCAGTTCCAGGTTTTGGCCAGGTTGGATGGGTATCGTAATGTTTGTAATGGCAGTAGTAATGTATGATGTGATGTACCAAACTCGGCATCAAAGGAAAAGTGAAACTCTATGTATGCCCACCCAGACAGCGAGACAAGAACCCCTGTACGTATGCCAAGCCCTGCGTCAGCGGGCCCTAGGCGCCAAAAGTTTGGACCCTCATCTTTCGTATTCGCAAACTGTCCTCCTACACCACACCACAGAGCGATCGAACCCCACGCGCATCGCCCACCATGGACGCTCTCAAATCCGCCATCCAACCCATCACCCACAACCTCCCCCAGCCCATCGCCGACGTGGGCATCTCCCTCCTCGGCCCCTCATGCTACAAAACCCTCGTCTACAACGTCGACCTAACCGCAACCGAATGCGTCAAGCTGGCTATTTCCAAAGGCCTCGGTATTGGCATCATCGGCGCCTCCTCCATCGTCAAAATTCCACAGCTGCTCAAGTTGCTCAATAGCCAGTCGGCCGAAGGTCTTTCCTTCCTCTCATACCTCCTCGAATCGAGCTCGTACCTCATTTCGCTGGCGTACAATGTGCGCCACGGGTTTCCATTTAGCACGTATGGCGAGACGGCCTTGATTCTCGTGCAGAATATTGCTATTGCGAGTTTGGTGCTCAAGTACAGTGGACGGGGTGTTGGTGTTGCTGGGTGGGTTGGAGGTCTAGCTGTTGCGGGTGCGGCCTTGTTCAACGACCAGTGGATTGACACGGAGAAGTTGAGTCTGTTGCAGGCTACAGCTGGTGTACTTGGTGTGGCAAGCAAGGTGCCGCAGATTCTGACCGTGTGGAGTGAGGGTTCGACGGGCCAGTTGAGCGCTTTTGCTGTAAGTTCTTGACATTGCTATCCCGTGCGATGAAGAAAGGGGTAGTTTGCTAACGTGGTCCTTTCAGGTCGTCAACTACCTCCTCGGTTCCCTCTCCCGTATCTTCACCACCCTCCAGGAAGTCGACGATCCGCTTATCCTCTACGGCTTCATTGCTGGTTTCGCCCTCAACGCCATTCTCTTCCTCCAGGTCGTGTACTATTGGAATGCGCCGGCGTCCAAGAAGACGGAATCAAAGAAACTAGAGGAGCCTATCGCAGCGGACAAGAAGGAAACCGCGCGTGCCGTCTCGAGCGGATCTGCACCATCGTATGCGGAAAAGGCGGGCAAGAGTCCTAGCACAAGACGCAGGGGATAGACCAATCTCTATTTCCCCGGGCTGTTGGCCGTTCTTGGATTTTTAGTTGTTTTAATACACATTTGACTTGCGACTCCATGACTGTGCTTGGTTGATGATTACACGTATATTCAATACACAAACATGCTAATCTATGCTCAGTTGCATGCTTTTGGGGAAGAACATTTTCAACATTGATATCACAAAACGGCGTTTTCCTTCTCAGTTCATATCTGCTGAGGTGTAGTACCTACAGCGTGTGGTGGAGGCATTGGCGGGACCTCCCTCCTATCAGCCAGATCCCCCGTTGGTGACATCATAGTCTGCTGGTTTTGGAGGACGGTATTGACTGGAGGTGGAGGTGTAGGTGCGGGCGAGATACCCGCTGGTGGGTGGTATCCCGTATCCGTCAACCTCCCATTTACTGGATTGTAAACACCAGCGCCTCTCGATTGCAACTCGTAGTTGTCGTCGTCTTCCGAAGACGAATAGTCGTAAGTGTCCATTCGACGTTGGCGCGCGACATCCGCTGCAAAGGGATTTGTGGCTGGCAACTGGTTCTGGTACGTGTGCACTTTCGAGGTCATGGTAGATCCCATTGTGCCAGTTCGGTAGTTGCTCGATGCTAATGTGTCGCTTCGATCTACGCCATACTGCGATCCTGATTCCTGGCGTCTGCGTTGCGAGTTATGAATTTGTTGGCGGAAGACGTTGCCTGTCGGTTCGCCGCTACCTTCGGGCACAGCAGTCGTAGAGGAATAGCCAGACGCTTCTCCGCGCTCCACATCCACTGGCTTGTCCATGCGCTGCAGCGGTTGCACGTCCTCGTCGATCATTATTGTGGGTTGTGGCGGTGCGCGTGATGCCTTGCCCCAGGCTCGGATGGGATATGCGCGTCCTTTGCGCCACGTCTCGGAGACGGGAGGGAAATATTGGCGGTAGGAGCCCCAGGCTACAAGTATGCCGAGTAGAGCGCCAGACAGGACGTCGAATGGGTGATGACGGGCATCCATGATACGTGTGCCTGTGATCAGAGCAGCGCCGAGGGCAGGAACCATGACGAAGAAAGTCCTCCAGACCTCGCCCTTTGCATCTAGAACATGCAGCTTTCCGGCGAGGTAGATGGAAAGGTAGAAGAGACCAGCGAAGGAGACTGAAATTCATTAGTAGTCTTCTTGGGCAGGAGAAGGTGTCACATACCACTGCTGTGGCCAGAGGGAAAGCTCTTGAAGCCATCCTGTAGAATGTAGTTGTCGGTCTGCGTGCAGATGTCGATGGTCTGGAGTACGTATTTGCCTGGGGCGATCTTGGATTCGTCTACAATGCAGCGGCTGATGAGATCCGGTCGCGGCTTGCCAATGGCATTCTTCAAGGCGCCTGTGATGGTGAAAGCAGCGCCAATGCTCAAGCCAAGGCCCAGTATGCCACAGTTGAGCTCCCACAAGCGGTCCTTGAACCTGTATCTTCCTGAGAGGCGCTTGATACCAGGCCCGCGCGCGGGCATGGTCGTCTGGTGGGAGAAGAGGCCGTCGATGACCATTGTGTATATTGCGATGATGATAGCGGGAGCCAGGACGACGTAGACGCATAGCCAGGGTACGGGCACGCGCTCATGTTCGGCGAAAGGGTAGTGGAGAGTGTAGTTTTCGAGGGCGAAGTGTTGGTGAAAGGGCGGGATCTTGTCGACAATGGAGAAGGTCAACATAAGAACACTATAGCCTTGTTAGTTGAGCTGGGAAGGAGATTGTGTGCTCGGAAGGGGCGGCCTTGCACTATGATGAGGTAGTCGCCGATATATCTGTGCTCGTTAGTCTCCACCACTTGTTCTATACGGGCAGTTGTACACACGAGAAGATGACCTTCTTGGGAAGGCGCTTCTTGGAGAAGGGAAGGCGCTCAGGGAGCTGTTTCGACGTCCAGTCGTCCATGATGCGCTACAGGACCCAGCCAGTCGCGAAGCTCGTTATTCGCAGGCTCTCCTGGAGACAATTGTCGTCGTTCGCTCTAGTGCTGTACTGTTTGTGCTATGCGAAGGGGGCAGACGTGAATGTTTTCGGGGGTCCGCAAAGACGGCACCAAGCATGCGACCCTCCGGGGGGAAATGCCAAGGGCGGAAAGGAGAAGTGAAGGTGAATGCAGAGTCAGCAGGAATATAAAGGACAGTGGGTTTGTCAGAAGACGGTTGTGTATCCCTGGGGTCAGCAACGCCGTGGGTGAAGGATGTCTGGAAGTGGTACTGGGCCGACTATGCAGCGCCGCCGTGCTCAGCTTGTGGCTGTGAGAATGGAGCTGACGCGCTCTCAGACTTGGCCCTCTCCACAGCAGGTCCGCTAGCCGCCTCGAGATCAGCGCCAATTACACGTCGGCCTTGGTACGCGGAGCATTATTTACGTTGCGATAAGGTTCGTGTAGTCTGCATGCCGCAACGTCTAGTACTGCGGCCGTATGCACGGCAGGACAAGGCATCCGAGCCGAGCTGGTAAAAGAAATACGGTATGCCAACAATGGGCCTGTTCCATGTGGCGCATCCAGCGGAAGCGACGATCGGACCCAACCTTAGCGCGCCATGGCGATCAGCTTATTTTGTCACCGCCTCAGGGTCCTACACTCTACATCTATTCCTGTATCGCCATGTTTTCCTTATTCGCCAGCGAGAAGCCTCAACCCAAGGCTGCCGAGGTTGCCATTCAGAAGATCTCAAACATCTCCGCCACCCACCTGTCTCGCTTCGAGCGTCTTCCCAAGGTCCAACGCTATGCCATCATAGGTGCCGCCTCCGTTGGTGGAGTATCCCTCCTCTACGCTTTGACGCGCTCTTCAAAGTCTGCCAGGCGTCCTCCTATCCCATCTCCCAGAGATTCGCTGCTTCCGGACTTGTCTCCTGAGGATGCTGCAGATCTTCCCTACCATCCAGCTGCGTTGCCAGGAGCCCGGGATGTCGACTCACCATGGGGAACTATCCGCGTCTATGAATTCGGCCCAAGAGACGGAGAAAAAGTTTTACTCATTCACGGGATCTCGACACCTTCAATTGCTCTGACTGACTTGGCACACAAGTTGGTTGGCAGGGGACGACGTGTCATGCTTTTTGGTGGGTCCTCCTTGCTGTCACTTCTAGTTTTTGCCACAACACCTCTCCTTTGGTTGTTTCAAGGCCTTGAAACGCACAACATCCTCGGATTGGACGTTTGGTATATGCTTTTTCTTCACGGTTTCCATGATCGTCACATCTGCATACCCCACGTTGAACCGGGCGTAAAACCGTGTCATGGTCCTTGTTACTTTACCCGTTTCGGCAAGGGGCCCGGCAGCCCTACCTAACGGTGAACCACGTGCATCGTCCATGCTGTTCCAGAAACCCGTCTTTACGGGGTTATGCTATTCCAAAAAATAAAATACTAACAACGCTCACAGACCTCTTCGGTCGCGGTTACTCTGACGGCCCGTCACCAGACACAACCGACTATGACTCCAGCCTCTTCACCACCCAGATTTTGCTTGCCCTCCAATCATCGCCCATCCATTGGTCAACCTTTACCATAGTTGGATACTCCCTCGGCGGTGCCATCGCCGCAGACTTTACGTCGTACTTCCCTTCGCTAGTCCGCGGCCTTGTACTTGTAGCTCCTAGTGGTCTTATCCGCAAGTCGCACTTCTCCATTTCCAGCAGCATGCTATACCGCAGCTCGTGGATGCCAGAGTGGATGGTACGCAAGTTTGTTGCAAGTAGGCTATGGACAGGAGCAAAGGTCGTAGAGAGCGATCCTGAGGCCGTAGAGAACGCCGAGACCACCACGACGGCGAGTGAGGGAGACAAGACGTATGTGAGCAGCAACCAGATGCTTTTGCCAGGCAACCCACATTCCACCGTTTCTTCGGTCGTGGATTGGCAGATTCAAAATCACAAGGGTTTCGTGCCCGCCTTCATATCGACTATCCGCCACGCGCCCATCTACAACCAGCACGACCGCTGGAGCGTCATTCGTGAGAACATCGAGAACCGTGCCGGTCCGCTAAAGGAAGTCTGGCTTATTCTCGGCGAGACAGACCCCATCATCAATGCCGACGAAATCACTGAGGACGCAAGGGCAGTACTCGGCGAGGACAATGTCAGGGTTAAGGTGCTGGACGGCATAGGTCACGAAGTCGCCATCGAACGTGCGGATGATGTCGTCCGGGCTGTAAGACGAGTTGGTACCAAGAGCGAGGAGGTCCGAGAAGTTAGGGAGGAAGTCGCTGCTCCCGAGCCGGTCGAGAAGCCTGAGAAGCCCGAAAAGCCTGCGAAGGCCGAGAAGAGTGAAAAGAGCGACAAGAAGGAGAAAAAGAGCTCGAGCCGGAGGAAGCACGGAGGTTCGCACGCCAGTTCAAGCACGAAGTAAGATTCATGAAGAAATGGCGGAAATGCGTCACGACGAACCAAAGAATGTATAAGAATATATAAGAAGAATAACAGAAACTCAACGCTTTGACGTAAGTTATAAAGATCTCAACTGTTCATTCAACATGCATAACTCAAATTCTCGTTCTGAAATATTTACAACGAAGGTAACCCCATCAATCTATCCACTCCACACAGCCGGTCCAGGAGGTGTGTAGCTCGTGGGAACAGGGTAGTAAATGTTGATTTGGATACCCTTGTCATCCGCCTTGTAAGCTCCTGGGAAAGCAACCTTGGGTCCTGGTGTTCCACTGCCACCGTTCTCAACCTTCAACTGCGCGCACGAAATGTAGAACTGTGCGCCGCCAACTGCAGAAGCGGAGTGTAGCGCGATGTGCTCGACGCGCATAAGGTATTCGCCCGAAGGAAGGGACTTGGGTAGGGGCACTGAGACTTCTTGTTTGCCTAAATGCAGAACGTATTAGCGGGATATCCTGGAGGTAATCGAGACGACAGGAAGAAGGGGGGACAACTTACCACTCGAAGGCCAGTTCATCTGACCACCAGAGAAATCAGCACCCTGACTGTAGATTTTGAACCACACGTCACCACTTCCATCCCAGTTAGCAGCCGTCTTGCCATCTGGCACTTTCGCAAGGTAGAATTGCAGGGGTCCTGGGTGCGAGATGCTGGACACGGCTGTGAAGCCGACAGAGTCTCCGGCGTTGACAGTGTAAGTTTTTGAGCCAGTTCCGGGGGAGAGTTCGTAGCAACGGATGGCGTTGGCTGTTACATCTGTTGTAGGGCCGTTGGACTGATAGTTGGCTGTCTTGCGGACATAACTCCATTGACCAGTCTTTGTCCCTTTGACAGTGAGCTCGGGAAAGGTGTAGTGGGCGCTCGCCGTGCTGGCGGCAGCGAGGAGGGCGATGAGGACGGACTTCATGTTGACGACTGTCGGACTTTGCTATTGTGAAGAGAATGCGATGGTTGTCCTGATGAGTACTATCCAAGGTACTCAGACTGCCTCTATATATACGGTTATCAACGGCTTGATGCACTCGTCACGTACCCAGGTTTCTCTATATTACAGTACTAATGCACCCCCATCATCTACCGTGTGGTACTTCATTTTGGCTGCCGCCTTGCGCACGCGATGGTCAAGCATATTGTTCCCGCCGGGTAAAAGAGTGGTTGGCGCTGAACCCACTGCCGAACCTGGATGTTGAAACGCTGGACTAGTCACAATTAATTCATGAGAAACATATTGGTGTTTAGATGAGATGAGTGGCGCGAAGACGTGGTGATTGGCTGGTAGCCTTCATGCCCTGTCCGGTAGTCGAAACACATGACCCGGGGTATATTACAATACCCTGTGTATAACCGATCTGTATCCTGCTTCCAGAAGCATGTGGTGCTCCTAATCTGATAGTGAAGCCTTGCGGGAATAATTCGAGTATTCGCAGTCGGAATGAGCATGACGATGAGCTATTGGACATTATCTTGCTGCGCTGGTCACTCAAGTTCTTGCCGCTAGCCAGATTGGGCTCGGCCGACAAGACTGATACACACAAGGGCAGCTGCGCATCATGCTCTCTACACTCTATAACGGCACTACGACCGCACCGATGACAGTTCATTCATTGCCATTTGGCGTTCCAGAACTGATTTTGGCCGCTTAGCGAAACGCGTGGCCTCCTCAGGCCTATCCGTGATTGCATACTATGGCATCGTTGGCAACCACTGCCTACCTAAGTATGTCGACAATATTGGAAATGCGCTGGAAATTGTGGATCATGATGTTCTATACTCATTGAAGCTCGTCAAAAAATGCAGCTTAGTAGCTACAGATACACTAAATCTCATCATCAGCCTGGCCTTCCAGGTCATCATCGTTCGCATCTGGCCTTTCTGCCATGCCCAATTCTTTGAGCAGAACAGGTGGATAGCACGATTTCAGTTTCGATGACCCCACAGACCTGTCTACCTGTATCTCCTTGATCTCCCACCAGTATCGTTGTGTCCAACTAGAAACGCTTGCAGTTCCGGTCGCACCGGGTGACTGAGATTTTCTTACCATGGCAAATCTGCTACTAGTCGTCTCGTCGAAGTCTTTAGCACCGAGCAATTCCAGCCTAAACCTACCTTGTTCTAGGTCATTATTGACTGGATCATTGTTGAACGCCTCGAAATCCTTATCAAACGAACTGATCGTTCCATCTATCCTTTGCCATAGACAATCCTTCGCTTCCACATTACCAATATTACTGCTATCAATCCAATCAAGTATGTGTATGGATGGTCGCTGCATGAATGGTCGCTGCACATCGTATGATGCGAGGTCGAACACGAGGCCGTCTTCAGCCTTCAACTCATTTGTGTTTGCTTGGATCTTGCAGGAGGCGGAATCGCACCACCTCCATCTATACCCGCCTTCGAATTTTTCTTTCCCTTCTCCCTTGTAGAAGTAATCGAGGGTCCATGCATTGAGTATTTCGACAGTGGGCCTGTCTGTAGTAGATTGGTCTTCAATAGCATTAGCGTCAAGCGATAGGCCGACCGTATCCGAATTGTAAGGTTTGTCAACAATGAGAATGAGAACTTGTACAGTAGGCATTCTTACCGTAGAGGGAGTATCCCGGTAATAGTGTTGCTTGACGATGATGGCTAAAGTGGACAAGGAGACTTTGTGATACTTATAGAGGTGTGTACGCGTAAACACTTCATAGCAATTGTTTGTCACGACGATACAGCAGTTCATGTGCCAGCAGCAAAGCTTGCTGACAGTTGGTTCTATCTGATTTCATCTGCACCTTGAGTTCACTCAAATGAAGAGGACATATAAGAGGGTAGGTGGAGGACTTGCTTTTCTGGCGAAGAATGTACATCCCCAGAGTTACCTACGTAGCGTCCCGCGGGTGCAACCAGAGGTAGTCACGATAAGCTTCACACAACCTTTCGGCCCTACTCTACAACGGAAATCGTATCTTGACGTCGGGTTGTGGAGGGTCCAAGCACGGACATTGTGTTGCAGTGAAGCGCGGCCGCCGGGAGAACTCGGACAGTCGGGCGATCTCGAGCGAGCAGATGCACCGAACAGCGAACACCACTATCACCGGCCGGAAGAGAAAAGCAGTTCTTGTTTGACATAGTAGATTGATATTGAATCTGATGATGTTGGTATAGTACACAAGTCGTAGCCCAATGTTGGGTCTGTTGCTAAATGCTAGAAACGCTAAATGCGAAACATGTTTCCTCAATGTCACTTCTCGAGATACACGTAGCAGTGACACTTTGGGTTGGAGTCTGTGTCTGCTCGTGGCCTGACGGTGCGACGCCGCAGCGTTCTGCGTGCGGGATATTCCTCCTCTTCTTCTCAATCTGCATGCGCTCTAAGGCGCGAAGCTGGTACTCTGCTCTTCTTATGGAGCACTTCCTCTTGCTTCACTCACTGCACCTCGTAGAGCTCCATGGCCCTCTGGAGGTCCTCAAGGCTGGCCTTGTCGCCGTAGGCCTCTTCGAGAATCCTTCTCCTGTCCTTCTTGGCAGTCATCTTAGCCTCCATTCCAGCAATGGCCCTCTCCATGTCTTCCAAACTTGAGCGCTCGCCGTAAGAGTCCATGAGCATCTGGTTCTTTTGTTCCTGGGTGAGTTCAAGTGCAGAGTGAACCTTGCGGTTGGCCTCATTAAGTGCATTGGTCACGCCAAAGCCTATGTTGGCATTAGCATCACCGAGCGTAAGGGGTCGTCGAGGCTGTGATGATGCGGTCTTTGACAGGTAGATCGTACCAGCAGCTACAGCGGCCATAGTAGGCAGGTACCTAATTCTTGTCAGTGCTAGATAATATTAGGAGCAGGGCGAAACTCACCATTTTGCTACCTTTCCGAGCCTTGGGACGACACTGGCACCAGGGGTGGATGTCATCTGTGCTGCAGCAACATCTTCCATGGAGATGGCGCCACGAGCACGTGTTGAGGTGGTGAAAAGCCTCTGGCGGACAAGAGTAGAAGTGCGGAGGAGGAAAGACATGTTGATTGTTGTGTAGTAGTGGCGAAGATGAATGTGAATGCCAGGTATGGTGATGATGGTCTTCCTCTAGGCGGTTGACTTGTTCGACTTATATCTTATCGCCGTATGTATGGTGGTGTAGTGGTGTGTGGTGTTTGAAATGTGTGGCACTTGGTAGCCAAGGTGTGTGAGAGTATCGGCCGCGGTTTGACTTCGGTAGTGCGATGTTTGATTGATGGCTTGCAACGTGTATGGTGTTCCGCTGTCCGGTGAGACATACCAAGCGCGGCGTATGCAGACTGTATATACAATAGCCTCGTGCGGGGAAACGCAGGTCACGAGTGGGCTGTGCACTCCTGTGCACTCCTGTCTCTCCACCCAACCCATACATCATGCCACGAATCACAGCACTTGACATCACCGGGTTCCGTGACACAAGTGGACTGGGCCGGTTGGTCCGACACATTCTCGCGTCGCAACCCCAGACCAAGAGACCACTGACGTACCAGGACGTTGGGTGGTCATCTCCAGTGGGTTTCCGGCCGCGCATGTATTGCGGCTTCGCCTGCCCTGCCGGTCAGAAAGGGCTCGGCTGGTGAAACGGCAGCGGCCGACATCCAATCGCACGCAGGGACGATGGAAGTAGGCCATGTGGGGTTAGTTGTGTGCTGATCGTGGTTAGATGAAAGTCTTTCGATTGTGGGGTGAGCATGTGCATCGCGTGGCCGGCCGAGGTCCCGCGACCCTGATGTCAGCGTGCATATTAGCAACCTGCTCGTGGAGTGACCAAAAACGTAAACAACACCAACTTCATCAACATTCTTCATCGTCATCCATACCCGCTTTGATCTATCGAAAGGAAATTTTCGAAATTCTAGACTATGACAGCATTGCAGGCGTCCATGAATCTGTGCGCTTTCAGTACTCAACAATGAACGCACACCCCACCCCTCGAACCTCTAAAATAGCAGCCTTCAACACGACATATGCGGTGCGAAAGTTTCTGAGTTCATCTGCGCTGGACTGAGTAATATGGATTGTGTCGCACTCTCGAGGTTTGGCTATGACATATACTCTGCCTTGTCTCAAGAGTAGCATTAGCTTTGAGAAGTTGCTTCCGAGACGCGAACTTGAAAGCTCTGGCTTGGCCGAACGGGTGCTGGAACAATCTTCAGAGCGACGCAAAAGCTACTATAGTAGCCAGACCAAACGTCAACTGTATACGGCAAGCAAAAAATACTGTAATCGAGGTTCGAACTCGAGACCCTTCGCGGTTCGCACAGATGTGTGAGGCGAATGTCATAACCGCTAGACCATTACAGCTCCTGCTTCTGATTGGTCAGTAGCGAAACTACCAGGCTTAGACCATGCAGCAGATATCAGATCTTTCCAAAGTGTTGGAAATAATGAGAGCGGAGAGTGTTTGCAGTTGCGAAATTCATAGATTGAGGACGTGGTGGGTGAGCTTTGGTGGAAGCAAGTAGCGACAGCCCATTGTAGCCGAACACTTCCTCACTACATTGATACTTCCAGCCCTCTTATGCGGACCGACTAGTGGGAACGACGAAGAGTACGCACATGTAGTGTCTTGCTTACAACAACGCAGGGTTTCTTTACAGTTGTGTAATCTCCAGCTCGGTTTACACATCAACTTGAATCTATAATTCACGTATGTACGCGCAACGCGATGCTTCTACTCTCTTGGTAAGGCCAGAATCCGCTCCCAACTACTCGCGAGGCTAGAGGCGTCTGTAACAAAACTGGTAAGAGACTAGTGGGGTACTCTGTTTCCACCTATATAAATCGATTTAGCAAGGCTTTTCACCTGCCTGTAGTCGGTACAAACACTCGGTACGTCTGCATTCTCTCACCCCACGGACTATACGAAGACTCTTTAGTCAACCGCTCTTATGAACACAAGCCTCTACCCTCTACCGCAAATTCTCGTAGAGAGGATTATCTCGAATCCACTGCACCTACTGTATTCTCAACTCTATCCTTTACATCTGATCAGTTTGTGGCAGAGTGCCTCCGAGAGACTTCTAGCAACCAACCACCTCGTGCCGTTCCTGTAGCTTAGGCTACGATCGGTGAGATGATCAATACCACTAGCATAGGATCCATCGAACATATCGAAAGAAATGCTAGAGTCCAACTTCATTGCCAGAGTCCTGCCAATTGAAGATGATGGATCGAATGTTGGTTATCACTGCATGTCGTTCACATATGCCGCACACTTAGCGCCAATGACTTCAGCGATCGCTAAGCTCATGAGAGCTGTACCTAACAGGAATCATACCGCGGATTGCCCATTTTCGGGATTGTGTGCGCTTTCTAACTATTGGTGTAGAGACATGTACGAATTAGCGGATGTGCTTCATATCATGCACGCTCATGGTGTGTCACCAAGAGAGCACGTTAGACCACTCAGTGTCTCAATGTGCCATGTGATGACTCTCCTTCTAGTTAGAAGACAATGTCATAGATATGGAAGGAGAATCTTGCATTCGAACACAAAATGCTCGATGCAGGTTGAGACTTTCCTAACCAGGCTTAGCTTTGACTATTCACCCGGGCAGCTGCACTAGGGTCACTTACTAAGGCCTTTCTTTATTTGGTCAGCTATCTTCTTCACCCACGTATGCATGGTGGATTGCATTAAGGTCCAGAGAAGTATCGAAGGAACACGCGGGGTTCGTACGCCCGGGCGGCAATGCAGTCAGATACTAACACATGTTACCACGGGCGTAGAGTAGAACCAATGACCGGCCTCCACTGTGGTCGTCCAAGATTTCAGTGGTGGCTATACTCTATCTGTATTGTATGTAGGCTTTCAGTAGGGCTGTCGTACTGGCGGGATATCCTTGCATTCGTACATCGAATGGATGCCTGAATATGAATTGATCTTGCAAGCGACTCTGATCAAGGATCACTAATCTCATGCTGCATAACGACGTGAGAGGGTATATAAATTTGTGAGCAAAGGCTGGCGTAGTCATTATTCTTCACCTTTTTACAATCAGTATTCAGCTGCACATAGTCATGACCAAATTAATCGCCGTCGTTGGAGTCACTGGAAACCAGGTACGCGCATCTTACGTGAAACAATCGTTCCACGGCTGCATGCGATAATAACACAGAGTAGGGTGGTTCGGTCGCTCGTGTGTTCCAGAATGAGCCCGGATGGAAAGTTCGTGGCATCACTCGGGACCCATCCAAGCCATCCGCTACAAAGTGGTCATCTGACAACGTTGAAATCATAGCGGGCGATCTCGATGACCTGGAGTCACTAAAGAAAGGGTTCGAAGGTGCAAACGTCATTTTCGGCACGACTGACTTTTGGGCTCATCTGAACGCCCCGGCAACGCACCAGGTTGCGGCCGAGCAGAAGCGCACAGCCAATGAGGTAGCGTTCGACCGAGAGGTTCAGCAAATGAAAGCTATCATCGACGCAGCAGCGGCTCATGTTGGCACTTTGGATCGCCTCGTGTTGTCCACGCTGTCTTCAGCGAGAAAATGGAGCAATGGTAGTATCAAATGGAACTATCACTTCGATGCGAAGGCCGAAGCTGAGAACTATCTGAAAGACACGTATCCGGAGCTGTGGGCCAAGACGAGCCTGCTGCACCTGGGCTACTATGCAAGCAACTGGAAGAACTTTAGTGGGAAACCAGAAAAGCAAGAAGACGGTACCTTCGTTGTTAGTCTTCCCATTAGCGGAGACAAGAAGATTCCCATGGTCGATCCGGTTGCAGATACTGGTTAGTTTCGTTTTCCTTCTATACAGCTATGTGCTGACATTACAAGGCAATTTCACGAAGGCACTCGTTGAGTTGTCACCAGGTAAACTCATCAGTGGCGCTGGATCGTATATCTCGTTCGATGAGTGGTGCGACACTTTTGGGAAGGTAAACAACGTGAAATGCGTGTTCAAGAAAATGCCTCGGGATGCAATGGAAGCTGCGATGGGGCCTGTGTACGGGCCTGAAATTGCTGACATGTACGAGTACTTCGACAAGTTTGGTTTTGAAGGAGGCAATCCTGATGTCGTGTTTCCGTGGGATTTGGGCATCGACGTGAAGTACACTTCCATGGAGGAGTACTTGAAGGGTGAGGATTGTAGTTCGGTTTTGTAAGTGATCGAGAGAGAGCATCATCAGACCGCCCTTAAACAACAATGCCATCTTTGTTCCTTGAAGTAGCGGCAAGCTTGTATTGCAAGGTGTTGAAGGCTTGGAAGGCGGACGATTGTGATCGGTGACCGCTATCTTGTGGTGGAGCTCACCCGGAGGGGCTCGTGCATTTAGCGCAGAGCGCCGCATCCCACATTCAATGCTCTTGCTGGCAGCCTTCCCACACCCATTTACACTTTCACCCGCTTGAAACCCAACTCCCAACATCTTGAACTCGTACGGCGATGTCCAATATATCACGTGTTGGATCGGGTTTCGAATCACGCATATCGTCTCCTCGATACGAAGCTCAGGATGTTTGTCTAATCGCTCTCGAAAGAAAAAGTTGTCGAATTTTGTAGAGACATCACGTACTCATCCTAGACATCAAGAACAGTGCGAATGGAGATCAGTGTGGCAACTGTTGCGCACGTGTACGACGGCGTTTCCCGAGACCAGTCCGTTGATGGAACAAATGTCGCACGCATTGCAGGACCGCCTATCGACTGATCCAGCATTAAATAACAAGACAGTTGACCAAATCGAATCGCTGCCCAGGATCACGCCATGACGGCACCTTAGCAAGCCGCACCCGAGTGAAAGGCAGGCCATGGGACTTATTCGCCGTAAGCGGTATCAATCCGTCCGGGGTATTGATAGCGATTGCATTACCGACAGCGGGGGAGTTCTAGAGCCGCCCCCGAGATGCGCCGTATACGATACTTGATCTGGCAGAAAGTCAGTCGATAAACCACTTGACAAGAGTCACGACTACCTTCACGCCCTACGCCAAGATGTTTGGGGTTCTGATACTGTACAAGGCTAGGGTCGATGCGCTCGCGCGGGCGATCTACGGTGAGAGACCCCGCCAAACCCATGATAGTGTTACCCATACAGCGACATCAGCCTAGTAATTGCGGCCCATCTCTCACTCTCTCGAGAAGATATCGTCATTCTACTCGCTTGGGTGCAGTCGTGGCGCGGTAATTACTTTTCCTGGGTAGTCTCGCAGGTCGCTGCGTACGTGTATGTAGAAGTCGCCCCGCCCCGCATCTTAATGATAAGGCCGTCATTCTTGGTCCTCGACTGTACTACGTACCAGAATATGCCCCTTTCCTATCTTTCAACATATAGACACCTTGCATTCAGATCGTCGCCACCGTCGTCCATTCAGCATTGATGTCTGATCATCCTTGCCAACACTAATCGCATAGAAGAGAAGGAGTTGGGTTGTTTCGACAGTTGATCAGGACATAATTTGTGATTTAGAAGGATCAAAGACAACTCAACATGGCTATCAACCTTTTACTGCTACTAGGATTAGCCTTCATCCTCAGTTCAGCTTTTCTTTTGTTACAGCGAAGCAAGCGCAACATTCTCCTACAGCGGCTACGCAACGGCGGTCGACGAGTGTCAGGTGCAAAAACTCCTCCGAGGTCTCTATCACCAGGGAAGAAGGCCGTCTCTGCCACCGAGATCGATTACTCTGACACCTTCCCACCATCACGACGCTTCGTTTTGACCGAGACTAAGAACGAGAATAAGGATGAGTCCCAGGGACCAACCCCGGGATGGCAGAAGAGGGTCTTACCCATGGAAACGTCATATATGGATGCTGACGACTCTGCCTTCCTCCCATGTGGCTTCTCGGTGAAGGAGATAAAAGCTCTCGGCGACTTTCCGGACTACGCTACACTCAGTGGCGTGCCTCTTCCCAACCCTTACCCAGAGTTTGACATAAACAAGGCATTACCCCGCCCATATAGGCCGTTTAGATGGTCTTACCACCAAACAATGTGTATGTTATCTTGACATCCGTCTCTGGCACTGTGCTGATCATCAATAGCCATCACCAAGATGCAAACTGATTGGTGGATTGAACTCCACAACACATATGAGGAGAGCATCAAGCAGCGGCAGGCCTTGTTTGCAGAGCATGGGGAAGCAGTTCTTCAAGCCCTACCAGGCTCAGAGCTCGCCTGCAAAGAACTAATGGAGATGGTGTTGCAGTTCGTATGCACAAGGTATCCGCACTACTTCAGCCTATCATCCGATAAGAGAATATTCCACAACGATATCCTGAAGACAGACACTGATCTCATTACGACCCTACCTCTACACGTTCTTCTTAACAACATCCCTGAAGACTTTGCCCTCATGCTGCGGAACGAGAAAACAGGATTGTACGTATTCCGAGCCGGCGTTATCTGCAGTGCACTGGGCTGGAATGTGGGGTCGAAAATCGGGCTTGAACTCGCAGGTATACACAAGCCTATCCCAGACTATAAGGAAAAGATGCAGTTCTCCATGGACAGGTATGTCTCATCGATGTCATGCTTGCACCTCCTAACCCTAATCTCGTAGATACTTCGCCAAAAAGCCGACAGAAAAGCCCATTCAGCGCGGTTCCTGGGGCCTAGAAATCGATACTCCGCTCTACATGCCACCTGGTGACCCCCACGAAGCTCTGCGCAACCAACAATTACCTCCCTCCGAACTACCCCTTTCGCGTATCCATCTTCGCGTAGACTGGCAAACACTCCGTCGGCTCCCTTTGTCCGGGGCCGTCGTGTTCAATTTCAAAGCGCTCTTTACCCCGATCGAAGAGTTTAGGGAGGAAAAATACGTTCCCGGCTTGCTGCTCAAGGTGTTGAAGGAGGGAAAGAAGGAGTTGATGGAGTACAAGGGGACGTGGCATGTGGAGCATGTTGTTATGCCCAACTTAGAAGAGTGGCATAGGGAGCAGATTGATAAAGGTTTGGTTGAGAAGGACTGGGAGCCGCAGACGTTGGATGAAAGTCCTTGGTTTGAGGGATGGGAAGAAAGGTGGAGAGAGAGACAGGGGTTTTAAGGCGGAATTGGGGCTCTACTGAAAAGTGGAAGAGAGATTGTTTATACATTTTGCATATTCCTTTGATATCACACAAATATATTCACACTAATGAACCACGATCAAGCTCGCAGTCCCAGTCTCTTGGGCAATCTACCCCGATACACCCATGCTGCACCTGCAGCGACTGCACTCAGTGTGCCAAGCACCAACGTAGTATTACTGACCAGTGTCTCCTCATGAACCCTTCCAATCTTCGTCTCTTGCTTCCCGGTACCAAACACAACTTTACTGGCGCTCACTCCTCCAGTACTCTTCTCCACCATCACACCATCATCAGAATGCGCAGCACTACCACCACCAGTCGTTGTTTCGAAATCCTCCCAATCAACCTTTGCAAGCATCTCCTGATACTCAATCACAGTCCCGGACCAATTATTAGTAATCCTTCCCTCCTTATTTTTATACCAACTATTGCATTTTGGATCCGCGAAAGAACTGTTCTTCAGTATCTGCTGAATTCCCTCGTTCCATTCATGCGTTCTGTCTTCCTTGGGCATGATGCCCATCCTCTGGCCCCTGTTTCGGGCATCGAGTACAGCAGAGACGAGCGTGTTGAGGTACCGAGACTGTGCTTCGATCATCAATATGATGGAGTTGTGGCCCAGATTTGTGTTGGGTCCGTAGAAGAGTCCAAAGTTGGGCAAGGAAGGGATCGTCGTCCCGTACAAGGCTGTGGCGCCGGAAGACCAGATTTCTGCTAGAGGTCGTGATTGCGTTCCGGTTACTTTGATGGGGTGCAGGAACTCTACTGTGCGGAAACCTGTTGCAAGGACAATGGTGTCGTGCTCGTGATGCGTGCCGTCTTCGAGCTCGATGCCGGTTTCCGTGATACGACGGATTTTGTTGCTCTCAAGGGTTGTCTTGGGGCTGGCAACGGCGGGGTAATAATCGTCGGATATGATGACGCGCTTGCAACCTGGACTGTAGTCTGGGGTGAGTTTCGACCAGAGGTCGGGCTGGTTGGGGATCTGCGTCTTCATCATCTCTATGCAGCTACTCCGGATGACTTCCGCGAACTCGCTGCTGCTGTCTGTTACGGCATCATAGAAAGACTCGCGAAAGTCCATCATGTTGGCTCGGATGCGCCAGCGAACTGGGGGAAGGTAGCGCAGTACTGCGCGTTTGAAGGCGCTGACGGGCCCATCGAGACGTGGAATGACCCAATTTGGAGTTCGTTGGTAGATTGTCAATGAGGATGTTTGTGGCAAGATCTCGGGAATAATTTGAGCAGCAGTAGCACCTAATTTTGATCAGTTTTGTTTTCCCGAGTGATGAATGTCACACGTACCGTTACCGATGATGCCCACACTTTTGCCCTCAAGGCTGTGGCTCCAATCCCAACGCGCCGAATGCATGATCTTGCCCTTGAAGTCTCCTAACCCTTCAATTTCTGGATATTGTGGCTGGTTCAGCTGGCCAACAGCTGAGACTAAAAAGTCGCATTCGATACTATAAGCAGGATTGAATTCTGCGTCTTTACCACCAGTCACGTTGACGTCGACCTTCCAACGGTTCTTGGAATCGTCCCATGTCGCGGATTCGACTGATGTGTTGAACCGGATGTATTTGTAGAGGTTGTATTTGCGGGCTACGTTGCGAAGATAGTCCTGCAATAGAGTGAGACAAAGCCAAGGAAGGAAAGAAATCGTGGGGACACATACAAGTATTTCCTCTTGGCCAGGGTACTCTCTAGTCCAATCCGGATTCTGTTCGAATGAATAACTATACAACATGCTCCAAACATCGCAACAACAACCTGGATACTTGTTGTCATGCCATGTCCCGCCGACGCTGGAGCTCTTCTCAACAATGATGAAGTTGTGGCATTGGTTGCGCTTAATGAGGTCGATTGCCATGCACATACCTCGGCGAGGTTAGCATTGGACCTCAAGACCTTTGTAGGACTACTTACCAGAGATACCGGCTCCAATGATAACGACTGCAGCGTCAGTGTGGTCTTTATTCCCGACCGGAACTTGCGGCCATGGTTGCGAGCCACCCATTATGATCGATGTAGCTATCTCTAATGGTGTCCGCAGAAAGGAAGTGGACGATCACGGAGGCACGTTTGAAGATGTAGTTTTCGGGAGGAAGCAAGAAGATGGGCGAAGACGCAAAGCGAAGGCTATCCACATGATCGGGTTCGAAGCGGATTTTGCAGATGAGCAAGCAGCACGGTGTAACACTACTGGTCGCTCAGCGAATGATCGTGTCGAGACGTATCCGGTCCGAAGTAGCTTGTGGTCCCTTCCCCTCACCACATACCCGAGCGTTGGTTCCCGAGGTTGTCACAGAATTGCCATCATTGACATACAGCTGCTACACTATCATCGACATGCAGCATTGGGAAAGATTGATAAAACTTTACAAACATACGCACCATACAAAGACTTCTGCAACTAGCGGACGAAGCATGACAGATATGATGCATGTACGGGAATGAGCATGGTGGTCGACCAGGGCGGCGCCTCCTCATAATGTGGAGAAAGCGCTAGTCGGCAGCTTTAGCCCCATTGGGTGTGTCACGACGCCACCATCGAGTCGACAGGACCGACTCATTTGATTGACCTAGGAGATGAGTAATGGTAGTGCAGCCTGGGCGAGTGAATCTAGCTATGGTTTTCATTTGCTTTGTATGACTAACATGCTTCGAGGACATCGTTTGTGATAACACTTGCCTAAACAAGTAGTGTCGTTTATAAGACGGTAGTTGAGGTCATTGGATTTGGCCATCGCTTACTTTGCAGGATCCCGATGTTAGTGCTTACCTTCCGTCTTGATATATGCCCAGACTTCCTCTCTTGCGTATTCTCCTCTTCTCACCTAGTCGGCTACATGACTGCCATGAATGTGATTCTGTTCTTTCTAGGGGTCGTGTTGATTTGCTGTGTCTCTGTCATCTGCCGCAGTCTCGGACTCGAACCGGTGGGTCTGTATCACTCCCCATCGTACTTTCTTTGCTCGCTTCTCTCCTCCATCTTGCCATTTGTGAGTACTGGCAGGATAGCCTGACAATTCGGACACGGCTCTTATCCGGCCCCATGCCTCGCTCTTTTGTGCTCTCGATATATTCAGATTTGGACTTTTCGGGTCAGTCGTGAAAGGGTAGACATGCTCATCATGATGACCATCCCGTCTCTTGTTATGGGGTTGGAAATATGACTGGGTGGGTATCGTCTGCGATCTCTTATGAACTTGATAGCCTGAGTTTGACTCTGTCGCTTTTGAGGCCGTTGTGATGCGCTGCTTTGCTTTGATGTTTTGGTGGATCGAAAGGCTGTCGATCGTGACGAGTGCTCCATGTCGACCGTTCACTTTGTCTGACTTTCTCGCGATACTGAACATGTCGCGGGTTATCTCGGAGTAGGTAGTTCAGTGCAAGGTATAAAAGAACGGCATACTCCCAGACAGTAGTTGCCGTGCTAGTTGAGTTTCGTGGGAGCTTTTGATCTGACGGTCGTGGCGTCTGTACTCTTGGGTTCTTCATCTCCAAAGGGGTGTATAGCCCATGGAGAGAAGCATACCGGCACGATACATTGTCGGTTCATTGGAAGTGTATCAGTCCGCGTTGTTGACTCTATAGCCTATGCGCTGCTCTGACTATGTCAGTTCATGTAGAAGCTATAACCATTGCCGACAAACCAACAATCCAAGCTCTTGAACTTCCTGCAATGACTGTACTCATAGGTTAGGTGTTACAAGTTGAGGCATCACGTGAAGCTACTCGTATAGTCATGATGTATGTAACGCATAGTGCTTGATGGAAGCGGCAAGATCCCTTGGATATTGCATGAAAGCTGCGTGGAATAACCATGGTCAGTGTCTCTGTTCCTCCGGTCAGCAGGACTGCTAGGCTGGTATTGCATTGCCGGTCTTCCAAAGTTCTACGGCGTCTCTCTGTTCCGAGCAATATCGATAGCTCTAGATGCGGAAGTAACATCTGCTTTCGATACATGGATTTTGGCACTACTGAGATCATCGCGCAATCTCGCCTAGTCGAAGAACCTACAAAGAAGTCGAGCTGATTCCAACGTGAGTCATATCCTGTACGCGTGATAGAGAGTGAGCGAGGATTGTCGTATGCTTGGACATGTCGCACAAGGCACTGCATGAGCCCTGCTGCTGCTGGATTTCGTGTTCGCGCAGTGCTTATTATGTGTACAGGTGCTGCACTGAAAGTAAGGCCGTTGAATGGTGCCGTTGTAGCGTATTGGCGTTCCGGGTGGTCGGTGCAGTGGCTTACTATGGACTTGTTTCGATCTGGCACCGTGGTTACACAATACCGTCACCGAACGAAAATAACCAGGTGGTGGATCAGCGATCTGCGCGCCTAACGAGTGACATGCCGGGAAATGCTGTGAGAGTTGGAGACCAGATGCGGATAGCTTGGGCGGTGAATATTAGCAGTTTTAGCCGGCACACTTCACCAAGAGGGGACCCGCAACTCAACCAGATAACTGACCACATGCGGTTGAAAGCTTGGTCGACTGTGCTGATAACGAAACACTGAGACGCAAAACGAATGCTTGGATGACGCATACTATGACGATGAGGGAAGCTCGGTCAGCAGCGATGGAGCGATGAAGCGACCGTTTGTCGGCCTGTCCACGAGAGCCAGTGCGCTACGGCAGCACACAATAACCCGTCGGGTTATTCCCAGGATGTTGTCGCGGAAGGTTCCCTGCCAGGGTCGAGGAAGTTTCTTCTCGCCGATGCAAAGCTTCGCCCCTGCCTTAAGGGTGCAATAACAGTGCTAGTATTGCAGCGGTGAAGGCAGCGGTAGGAGGACAGCAGCGGATGATGGAATGGGAGGGGATGTCTTAGTGTGAAACAGGCCAACAGTCGTTCGCTGGGTCGCAAAAAGGAGCGACTTCGTGTTTGATGGAGTGCGTTCGTGTGTATGGACATCTGGAATGCGGTCTCTGGATCGAGGTCATGTCCGCGGCCCTTGTAGACTCTCATTCGTGGGGCCGCAGCGCCGCTTATTTTCGATAGTCTGGTTCTGCTGGGAAGGGGCACACGATCGCTGCCTCCGCCGACGACCAGGGCGGGCTGGCTGCTGCAAGGGTAAACAACGCGGGCTGTGGCTGTTGGGCGTCTCGACGAGGCGCGTGCGGGTGGGCGACGATGATTTGATTGACGACGCGCAGATTTGACCGTCGTAGAGGCTTCAGGCGTGCGTCCGGCTGATTGGCTGCCTGCGCATTCTACACGGCATCGAGACTCTCCAGGGCTGGTCGTCGGCTGCATCCTGTCTAATGCTAGCTGCCACTCTGAAACTCCAACACCTCCTGGTCGGGCCGGTGCACACCACCAACGCGCATTATACCTATCGTCCTGTCCCAAACTTGTTCGAGGTTCCTGCCTGCCTTTTGGTCTCCACCGCATTTCGATGCATGCCAACCCAAGGCACGTCACCACCTTTTTGTTCCGCCAAACCGTCAAAAGTTCCCGCATGCATGCAGTAGTCGCGAGTAGCTCCGCCTAGCCATTCCTAGCCGACCATACAACATCCACCGCCGACTTCTCGCGCGCGCGCACCCGTTACGTCGTCGTTGCAACCGCAACACTTGTACCACGCCTCTGCACAAATATTCCATTCCAACATAGTACTTTTGGCCTACATAGCTACCCTAATCAACCATGAAGCAGCGCAAGTTTTCTTTCAACCTGGTGCCAGTCGTATGTCCTATCTCTACTTCTTCACCTCCAACTGCATTCCCAGCACTAACTCACCGCTGTACAGAAGATTGCCTCCAAGTCAGATATTCTCGATAAGCCCACGCCAGAACCAACTCCCTCACAGCCCTCGTCATCACACAAGAGACATACTTCCAAAGACAGTATATGCGATTCGTCGCCCTGGATCAACCGCCGTGTCCTCGATGAACATACCGAACTCGAATTGCGCCTAGCATGTCGGCATATTCTGCAAAACTTCAAGCCATCCGATCATGGCATGGAGAACACAGACCCGAAGCTCGACTTTGGGGGACTTGGTCCCCGACGGAAGGAGAGTAAACCACAGGCTGCTGAGGTTAGTGTCCGTATGCCCACCGGCGCGCCCCCGGAGCTGTCGGCGGCATCGACGTCATTTATGATGCGAAAGCCCAGCACCAAGACCCGGACACGAGCGAAGGCGGACCAGGAGATCAGAAACAGGACATACGGAGACATGCCCGCGCGCGCGAATAGCAGTCGTAAGCGAGCTGACTTTGGATGGCTCGACGAACGGGACGCAGAGAGGGAGGAGAAGTTGAGAACATATGGCAAGACTTCCATGGACGTACCGCGCTCGGCTGTCTTCCGCAACGACTCCGATGAAGATGTCACTCTCCCCGTGGCCGTGACATCAACCTTTGCCAATGCCAAGATGTCGTCTTCAGTGCCCAACTCAGCATCTCTGCCCAACTACAGGAGTATGAACAGGCTATCCCACCATTCTGACAACCCTGCTGCAGTCGCAGACGCACAAGCCGCAGAGTGGATGCGTTCAGAACTCGAGAAGAAGCGACGGGAAGAAGCCTCAGAACCTCGGGGCCGATCCAACACCTCGGTCCGACCACCAAGTCGTGCTGCGAGCATCAAAGAAAGTGTCAGAGAATACGTCTTTCCCGGCTCCCGCAGTCGGGCCCTGAGCCGCGCGCAATCCAAGGATTCCCTTCGTCCCTCAGCCGACGATGACCAAGGTCTCACACGTAGTGACTCGAAATCAGGATGGCGTAGCTGGGGTGTTGCCCGCAAGTTAAGTTCAAGGAGCAACAGCAGACCGGGTACTTCCAAGGGACAATCAGAAGAGGCTCAACCAAGGAAGTCAGAGTCTGGTGGCATCAACTTGACCAAAGAGCTACCACCACTACCCAGCCTAGACACATGGAAGGATTTCCAAGAGCCTGCAGAGGAGAAGGTAGCATCGCCAAAGTCGCCCATGTCTCCTACTGCTGAAACACACATTGCAAGTCTAATGCGTCCACAAGAACAGCACCAAGAGCGTTCTCCCTCTGCTGCGAAGAAACACAGGAAGAGCGGATCTGATACGCAGGCCATGCATGCCAACGATGCCTTCCCTGTGCGGAAGTCGTCCCGTAAGCAGGACACCAAAGCTATCCCCCAGCACGTACGAACACAACCAGGGAGTCCGACAAACGCCGGGCATACAATGACTGGCTGGTCTTCCACTAGCAACCTCGACCAGCGTCTCGAACCGGGCTCCGGCAACCATACTCGCCAAAGGAGTGGAGACAGTGGCTCTGCCTCGAACGGCAACAAGAGTGCCGACGCGTCCACTTTCTCGCGCAAGATGAGCGTAGACACATCATCCGCGCAGAAAACCATTTCGAACGAGCCCAAGACTCCAGGCCGAGAAGAGCAAAAATCGAAATTGAAGAAGATTTTCAGTGGCTGGATGCATAAAAAGGACAAGAAAGAGGACTGGATGCATAAGATGGAGAAGGAGGGTGTCAAAGAAGGCGTTTTGGTGCAAGAAGGCAGCACAAGCGCGTCGCCTGTGGTGCGATACTAAAGTCTCTCTTTCGTCGTTTCCGTGATGGCGTTTTCCATTTTGGGATATTTGTTTATGCCGAATTGGGACATTTCTGTATACATGTAATGACTCTCATACGTAATGTGTAACGACGCAACGTTACTTTTCGTTTTTCTTCCTTCTAGGGCTTCTGGGAAGCTGTGTATTTGACTTCATGGTCATCAAAAGGATGCATCTTTTTCTTCTGGTATTTGGTAGGTTCGGATTGGGGTAATGGGACGGGTTTGGTCTTTCTTCCTGCATAAATTATATGTTAATCGTGCGTCAATGCTCCATGACCCCTAGTTCCATCTCCCTACATGCGCACGTGTTTTGGTGTTGTCGTACTTCCCATCGTACGCTAGCGCACGTGAATGCGCGCCGTGAGAAGTCGCGTCAGGCCGGGTAGCTCTTTCCTCAATTATGATTACGCTTGTCATATATTCGCTAGGCACCCACTTCTATTCTTGTTCATAAAATGTTCATTCACTGTCGACATGGGTCTGTAGCTGAATATGAATGCACAAAGGCAATGACTAACTGCGTCTTAGCTACTATCCTACCTTTACCTAGACATCCCCACCTTTTCCACGTCACCTCGAGCAGCAATATGCGGAAAGTTTGGGTGATAGCTATGGCAACGCTTTACAGTTAGTGATCACTGTGCCCGTCAGTCCACAGCAATTTCGTACCACCACAGATACGAAAACGATTGTACGTGCACAAGATACCCATGAACTTCCTGGCTGTCCTCTGAACCATCAACTTTACGCGGTACAAGAAGTTAGCAGCTGCAGTCCAGTTGTAATCAACGCTCAACAACAACGCCAAGTAGCCATGTGCAACGTCATCCATCTCTACTACAGATGTCAACATACGCTACGCCTACGGAGATCGCGTTGCAAAGGTACGAAACACAAGATGACCCGGACGAGTATAAAAGCTGCGTGCACGGCGGAATCGTTCCTCACTGTATATGCTCGAACTGAATGCAATACCTGTGAGCACGCGAGCTGGGAGAGCGACTGGACATGCAAATTAGAACGAGCAAGAACATTTCTATCTAAGCTGATTGAAAGGCGGATGCTAGGAACGCCTGAGGTTTCTGCTCTGGTTAAGGAGCTCGAAGACCAGTACCATAGGGCTTCATGGGGTGCACGCAACATCTCACACGCTTTTAAGAAGAGTGTGGCGCGGGTGAGCGTTAGCGACTATAGGATAGTGCGCTCGCCGTTGAAACAAGAAGTACAGCCAGAAGATGTCGTTGACTTGAAAGAGAAGGACTGGGCTGAGATGGACGATCATGACTATGATGGCGATTACATTGCGAGCACCGATCCGATCCACCCGGTCAGTACCGATCATTCACACCCACCCGACGATGATGATGATGGGAGTTGGATCTTTAACCATTTTTCGAGCGAAGAACTGGAGGCTTCAAATGATGGGGAGGTTGTGCTTGACTTTGATCAGACTAGATGGAGGTGGGATAATGACAACAGCGAGAACTCGATTCCGATTGTCAAATCTCAAAAAGAGAACCATACGCTGAAGATCGACGAGAAGGATCTCATTGCATGGGGACCTGAAGCGGAGGCGCCTCCCATGTCCGTAGATGTCAGCATGAACGGCTTGATCATGAGAGAGAAGCTCGAAAAAGAGCAGATTGAACTCACCATTGAAGCATTCTGGACAGTGGTCAACGATTCTACGATTAACACGGATTATCAGCCCCAACAAACCACGGAAGACTTGAGTATACTGCTCTGTGACCTGGATATCACCACAAGAGCATCAAAGTCACCCTCCTCGCCATCCACACCGACTGAATTGCCGTCACAGTGGGTTGACGGTTCGCCGGAGATACCTACACTCACGATAACTCCAGCCTCTCCTCTATCTTCACCCATAAAACCGTCAAGTCTCAACTCAACAAGAACAGCCTACAATAAACAGCGCAAGTTGCTCGAACAGCGACTACAAGATGATGCTGACAGAACAAAGTACTACAGTGACTTACTTCTAGTCTCACGATGGGAAGCACGAGCATTCGAAGGACCAGGAGGCAGATTCATTCCTGATCCGCCGATGGTTAGTGCATGAAGACAGCAAACGGGCGGTCCTAGTAAGAAAAGGACAACCACAGAGTGCAGATGATGGGTGTTTGGAATTTCAAAAATTTCATGTGTTGAGTTCATGAGGCTTTGAGAAGTCATGGACACAAAGGTATCGAAGTTCCCTTTTTGTTCATTACTCATGTACCGGCTATGATGTCATGTCATGACCTTCCATTCCCATGTGTCTATTGAACCATCCATGCGCCAAATGCTATGCAGAAATCTCATCGCTGAACTCGACGAATCAGACCCCGTAAAACTTGGAGAGCAATTCTCAGTGCTTGCAGCATTACTCTCCATAACCAGCGCACAGCTCTATAAGTCCCCCAGCCTGTCCAGTAGCCAAACCCTACTGCGAAAAGACCCAGTATAAGCGGGCTCATAAAGAACAAGAGGAGATAGGCTGGCCCCATGCTAAGAATTGCTAGAACGAAATGCCACCATCTCTCTACATAAATCATATCAAGATCTTCTGGATCGAATAGCGCATCAGGATGACGACCATCTGCAAGGCATACGATCCGTCGTTTTGCTGGTCTAGAGCGTCATCAGCAACGCAGTCTCGTCATGTGCGAAGAGTGTAGATGGATTGATAGGGATCACCACCTGTCGCCACCAGATCCCTCGCCCATAACAGTATTGAAGAAGTTGCCCTCGCCACCACCGTAGTTGCGTCCCGGATTATAGCCACCATAGTCGGCCATGCCACCGTGCATCATTTTCTTTCCCTGATTCTTGCCATGTTCAACGATAGAGCTCTTTCGGCCAAGGTCCTTGGCTAGGGAAACGGAGTTTGTGATGGATGCTAGTAGATTGACTAGCTGCACGTCGGAAGCTTCTTGTTGGGACTCGAGTGTGAAAGCGGCAGAGTCTGGTGGGCCTAGGATATTGAGTCGAGCGAGCATAGCGGATACACTGCGAAGGATTGAGTGATCTAGAGGTAGGGGGTGTTGCGCGTCCGGTGTAGGATCGACCGGCAGTGATGGGTCAGAGAGATACGACGTTGGAAGGGAATCGAGGTACGCGCGGAGAAGCATTATTCGCCGACTGAGCATGCGAATAGCATTCATTTTGGCTGTGAGTGAAGAGAGAACTATGCAAATGTCAGTATACCGGCACTAGATCAAGATCGAACTGCTTGGTCCTACCCTCGTCGTCGTCTGGGGTCAAGATGACAGACTCGTCGATAGGAGCGTCGGTCTCCTTCTCTTTTTCCTTCTCCTTTTGCTTTCCCCGTGTGTTTCTCTTGCCGGTACCCTCGTCGGTCTTGGAAGACTCGGACTTTGCGCCCGCTACGTCTGCTGTGCCTTCTACTGCAGTAGCGTTGCCACCTCCGCGGGCAACGAAGTCGACAGATATCATCTCCGCCTCACCGGTCTCGATCGAGTATACTAACTCCCTGAACTTGGTCGACTTTGCCTGTACAGCGCCGTCGATGTCCATAGCTTTGTCATTTGGCTCGCTCGACACATTGACGGAGATGGACTCGTAGACAGTGAGGGACAGCTTTCCAGCAGCAGTTTCTTTGGAGTATGCGTTCTCGGGGTGGAACAATACGAGCAGCGGAGATTCGGTGTAGATTTCTGATATGCGCGAGTGGATAGGAAGGATGTGGGGTTCTGGGCCGGAGGCGGGACCGAGAGTGAACCAGCCGACGATATCTAATTGGGGTTCTTTGTGTACGTCCTTGACTGTGTATTCGTAAGCCTCATTCAGCCATAAATGCAGAAAATGTAGACTAAAGCTTACAGTCCTCAATACGCTTGCTAAACCACTCGTCATCAAGCACCGTCTCGCCATCCTGGTTCGACTGGAGTTTTGCTTGGAAAGCAACCTCCATGGTGATATTCTGGCCATCTTGTGCACCTAATATAGCTCCGACCACTGGTCCTGTCTGCTGTCGTAGTGTGTGTCGTGTGACACAGTCTGTTATTGTGAGGAGTACTAGCGGATGGAGTTGTACTGTCGGACTTGCGTCAGAGGCGCGAGTCGTTGAAACGAGTGGGTTCCCTGATGACTCTGCCATATCTGCTGGAGTATGGTTTTTCGTCTCCCTATTTGAGTTTCGCGGTAGTCGAGGAGGTGGGTGAGAGCCTTTGGGGAAGGTGGAACTGCAATTGCGATGATATGGTCTTGGTGGGGAGCTTGCCTAGGCTGCAGCTGCCACAATTCGTGGGGTTGTGCCAAGGCGCTTACCACTCTGCGCTAGCTCAACGCGACTGCAGCGCGACGCGATTCCTAGAAGATTGGCGACTGTTCTGCTTACACGACTTCACTCATCACGAGATTCCACTAACAGACAATTAAAAAAAAAAGTGTGTAATTTCCGTCTGGGGATGATCATAGCATTGAAATCTACAGTCTGGGCTGACCTCCAGATCTTTGCATTAATCGCCAACCCTAGCTGATTACTCCAGCACAACCAACTCCAAAGCACACACAACCCAAAAGCGAATGGTATCTCTGTCTTGATCCAGAATCCGAGAACTGCCCTTAAAACGCCTGACCGGGATCGATGTCTTCCAGTCCATCTTCTAAGTCGTTTCTATCATGTCGTTATACATACCCGAAAAAGCGAATGTACATGTTTTCAGTCATTCGTAGACCAAGAGTTTCCTACATCTCAACAAGAACTTTGAGGACGAGCTTGCCATCCTTGTCAACTGTCTTGCCTGCGAGCTCGAAGGCTTCCTTTGTCGATGCCAATCCATGATACCTGTGAGTGATCATATTGTCGAGACTTGGAAGTACACCAGCAGATAAGATCTTGATGCCGGTTGGGTAGGTGTTGGCGTAACGGAAGATTCCCAGGATGTCGACTTCCTTTAGATGAGATGCCGACATGGGCAGTGTTTGGATTGGCGTGCCCATTCCAACCATGATGAGCTTGCCACCAGGCCTTGTCGCCTGCAGGAGGTTAGATCCACGCTCATATACCGCTTCGAAAGATACTTACGTATAACCCAGCCTGCATACAGATCTCCTTTCCAGTGCAGTCAAAGGTAACGTCAGCACCTTCGAAATCAATCTCATTCTGCGAAGCAATCTGCATGACATCCGCAGCCAACTCCTTAGCTACCGCGAACTTTTCGGCAGTCTCGGTCGCATTGTGTGGGGTCACAATGTAACCTTTGTGCGCGAAGCCGTTTGCCAAGGCGTAGTTTATACGTCCATAATCGATGTCTGCGATGACGACGGTTGTGGCGCCAGACACCTTGGCCATCGCAGCTGTAAGAAGACCGACCGTGCCTGCACCAAAAACAATGGCCGTGTCACCCTGCTCGATTTGGGCTCTTCTTGTTGCATGTATAGCGACAGAAAGAGGCTCTAGAAGCGCAGCCGATTCCATGGACACATGAGCAGGTAGTCTGGATAGAGTTATCAGCTAAGATTCGGGTTTCGGGTCGATCATGCACGACATACTTGTGGCACCATTTTGCAGGATGGTTGATGCGTTCCTGAAGCGTTCCTTGGAAGTGAGGTACCGATTTGGCGCTACTCCGGAACCTCATCTTCGGGCACAGGTTATAGCGTCCGCGCTGGCATGACCTGCAGTTGTCGCACGGCACACCTACCTCCAGAGCAACGCGGTCGCCAATCTGGTAACCGGTGACACTCTGGCCTATGGCGACCACAATTCCGGCAGACTCGTGGCCCAAGGATAGCGGCTCACAAGCCTGCAGGTCCCCGTTGCAGAACTTGCTGTAGTAGGAACAATCGCTCCCGCACAACCCAGTAGCCTTGATAGCGATCTGGAGTTCATTGGCGGCAGGGTCAGTAATGGTTCGAGTTTCCTGTTTGGATTCGTTAGCTTCAAGTCTAAGGTGTTGGATATACACCAAAACCCCCACGAACAGTGGGTAGACGTGGGATGTGTAACAGAAGAGGAAGGCATACCAGCCGCAAATCCCTTGGCCCGTGTAGGACCGAAGCTACTACAGTCGATGACTTAGAGTAGTGCCTCGCTGGGATTGGATAGATATCTGCGAGAGCTGAGGGAGCCATTACGAGAAAGATTTGAAAGTATGGGGGATGGTGGCAATGAAGCGGGAAAAAGTGAGGGAGAGATAGCTAGCAGAAGAGCACCCCACGGGAACGTGGAGGCTGATATACTTGTTGAGAAGGCCCATTTCGATCAACGGTGGCCTCGGACAAGCTGGGCTTGCCTGAGGTTGGTGCAATCGGCGAGATAATGGTATCGCATGAGAGAGACTCCAAGGTTCCACGTCATTTGCTAGGCGTATCATACTGGCGGGACGAGCATGGATAGGGATGCGCGACCAGAGCTACTTGGTATGGTAGGCTTCGCGTAGTCTTTTCTTTATCCCGTTACTCTGAGTGTATGTATGAGGCTAGATCTTCTTGTGGATACACAACCGGGAAGGCTTGCAATTTGCCCAGCGAACTAGCTGGTAGAAACTCAAGCATTCTTAGTTTCGTTTTGCCGGATCAATACCATGTAGCTCCGGGATGTGCACTCACAAGATGCGGTATAGGAGCAACGGTCATAATGCGGCGTCTGTGGTGGCCACGTCTTGTCTTGTGTAGTGGCCGTCTATCAGAAACCCGGCGCCGTCGTGAAACAGCGATAAGGCAGTCTGCGCGGCTGTGGAGCCCGCTTCCAAAGGTTGTACTGGAATTTACTGCACCGAACCTGTCGGTTGTAGTGGCCCTGCAGAGTTATGGATCCCTGGATTCGACGCGCGAAACATCAGCCTGATATGCAGGCTGTCCTGTCTCGGCGTTAGCACGTCTTTACCGCTAAGCCAAAGCTCAAACCATAAGTCGTCCACAACCCCCGGTGCACCCTCAATCTTGGACCCTCGAGGCCTGCATGCCGACGGGAAAATTCGACCGCTGACTGGCTAGCGTACTTGGGTGATTTTTCAGAAGACTTCCGGAAGTCACTTTTGCAATATAAATTCCCGGATATATTGCCCATGTGCGAACGGCTCACGCTCAACGGCGCGCCTTCAGACTGGACTACTCTGGGGATCATGGTGTCAGTCCCGTAGTGCGGCCCCTTAGCGGGATCCTTCTGGGGCAACGGTGGTGGGTGTGGTAAGAGGCCCGTTGGCTGAATGTCGGTTGGAGGTCGGACATGGGTCGTAGTTTGGCTACCGAGGAGCAGCCCATTGACGAAATTCGTCCTACGCAGAACCAAACTGTCGGGACAGGAAAGTACAAGGGCCTCTTATCGGAGCGACCTCAACGCCAACTGCACGAACGACTGGCCCAAGGCATAGCTAACAGTCAACAGCTGCACCTTCGACCGAGGTGTGGCCACCAAAAGACCATCGAGATTGACATGTGCTATTGTCTGCATGACCATGGCGAAGAAACACCGGTAGCGTGCTGCAATGCCGTCTCAGATCTACGACCTCGACCGAAGAATGAGGTCGAGCACTTGTCATGAAGGATTGGCAGGAGCAACGGTGATCGCGGGTACATGGCAGACCCAGCAATTGACAAGGGTGCGGCCACGAGCAAGATGAGATGTCGTTGGTAAGCCGTCCCACAAAATGGCCTCGGGAGTGTACGTATCTCTCCGACCGACCGACCTGGTCTATTACTCGACAACAACCATCTGGCACGCAGCCGAGCACAATACTGCAGCGGGACGGCAAAAGAGACGTTGTGGACCAGTCGTCCTTTGTCCATCAACGTTGCATGGCAGAGCACCATGGTGGATCACACCGTGACCCAGCAATGTTGAGATTAACTTCTTTGCGGGCCCGCATTCGCTACGACTGGACTAACGAACATACCTAATGTGCCTGTCCAGCCAGTCCGCTTCTTGCTCCGCGCAACAAGCTACGAGATGTAATCGAATAACAGACTTACCGATAAGCAACTCCTCATCTACATTACACATGCCGCCTCTCTCGACGGACTACCTAGCTATATTCAACGCTATTATAGACTCCGTCAATGAACGTACAAGAACGCCGGGATCATGCATCATCAAGCGACCGACTCCACGACCCTCATGCATGGGCCTCTAGAAGCGGTAAGCGGTGAGGAAGGTTCATCATACCCAGTTTGAATGCACTCCGCACCGTTTACCAACTTGCGCACGTTTTCGCGATTTACGTTGAATATATCTCAGGCGCTTGCATCTTGGTGATGCAGCGGTGAGGGATTTCACATTAGTCGCTTCCCGAAAGCTGGTCAGCGCCACACGGCATATCCAACCACCACCATCCTGGACATTTTGAGTACGTACTCCTTAGCAGAGGCGGTCTGCCGGATGTAAAGGCACCGCATCCCCTATCGTAGTATCCCGACCAGAAGAAGCTGCAGAGTCTTCGGAGGCACCTCTCCGCATCAGCTTTCTTCCGCAAAAAGCGTGGCATCTCGCTACCTACTCACAACCACGAAGCCGCCACAGGGCTTAATGCTGCTACCTTACTGGCTGTATTTGACAGCGGGGTACCAGTGCCTTGGAATCGCGCACGGACAGAGGGACCTGCATCCGACATATCTCCAGATTGTTTTTACCAGAAAAGCTGGAAGTATCGTCACAATCTTCTCGACCTGGTCTTCGCATGGAAGAATATCAAGGAGCGCTAATCCGTCTGCTATGGTTAAGACGGGACAAGATCCAGAACACACAACCCGGTGCCAAATTCCAAGACGGCGCATCTGCTACTTTTGCCGGTACTTTTGTGGTTAGAACCTCCGGAGATACCGAGATACCACCTGCATCACACGCTTCACTTTCGAGCCAAAGGTACCTGACATCTGCTCTCGACCGTAAGCGAAGCAAAAAATACTGTAGAAGGAAGCGCCCAAATGAAAACTCCAGCAGGTGGTGTGCTGATGGGCCCACAGGTATGAGGCCGGTGATGCAGATCTAGTATCCACACACCATCCCTCCTCGACTCCTCAGAATCGATGATGAGTGTCGGCATAAGGTCATGTTTCAACACAGTAACGTTATCGGTGCGCTGACGCATACATGCGTTTGCCGTCGTCGAAGTGCCGTTTCTGGCAGCCGTCGAGCGAACCGCTATCTTGGTTACAGTAGTAAGCACTTAGCAATTCATCGGTGCAAAGGATCTCGCTAGCGCAAGACATTACCGATATCGCTATGTAGACAAGGGGTTGCGAAGCACATATCAGGCCATTACGGATAGAGCCGCAATCTCCATGCTTTGCTGGCCTGACCCTGGTAGGTACAAAGCGATCTGCCGTCCTCGATCAACGGGCATGAAAGAGTAATCAGGTATACGTATACGAAAGCGATCGAACGTAGACACACCGCCCGCTAGACAACATGCTGTAATTTTAGTTGCTCGCGACGCAGACGTACGCATCGACACTACATACACTACGTTTGACTCGACCGTTAAGGGACCGCCCATCCCATCGCACATTTCCGCTTCATCCTGAACTCAATCCTACAAAGCACTCTCTCGCTTCTTCTTTGCCACTAACCCCTGCCCCTCAAACCATTGGCGGATAATCGTATTGCACTCCTCGGGCTTCTGCGTCAACGCCCAGTGGGCCGCCTTTACCTCTCCTCGCGTCAGCTTGGGGATAAAGTTTTCCATGCTCTTTGACATTTCTGGTTTGAGGACGCCATCGTGCGTGGCTTGAATGAAGAGGACGGGTTGGGTGATTTGCTTGCGGGAGAGGAGGGCTTGGTCTTCTTCCCAGTTTGTGCGGCGTTGACGGTACCAGTTCACTGGGTTAGAGAGTTAGTGGATAGAACAACGGTTATATGTGTATACACGCTATTATGCGGATGAATAGTGGGTAAGTAAGGGAGAAGGAATGCTCACAAGTGGGGTGTATGCCGTGGTTCAAGTACTGCTTGACGTAGTAGTCTAGGTACTGATTCGCTGTTAGCACACCATCGCTTGCTGAGAATAGGTCTCAAGCTGTCTTTCTGAAACAGCGCACTGCTGTCATGCGACCTCAACGCGGCCTACACAAGAGATGGTGTGTTCATGTCGAGGCAAGCCGATCATCTGGAACGCTTTCCCGTCTTTCCTGCACGACACAACGGAGGTGGTAATGCACAAGTCCAGCAATCCGAGCATCTCATAGTGCACTTTTGAAATGCGGTATCGTAGTCGCTTATCATATAACCCCATTCTTTTCTTTCCTCGATCCCGCACTCGACACGCGTTGCAACATGAAAGATCATCACGTACCTTTCCATTCAAAACCTTGCTTTCCCCAATTGAGGGCAGATTTTCTCCCAGCACGCCCTTCTCAGGATCAAAGGCGATCTCACCTTTCGGTCCCTTTGCACCATACATACCCTTCAAAAACTGCCTGATCGACTGCTCATCTTTGACAATCTTTTCCACCTCACCTGAAGCAAGGTGGATTTGGTAAGCAAATTGGGGCAAGGGACCATTGGCGAGATCTTCAGTGGACATATACTTGTCATGAGGAGCAGTATATGGTGTACAGACCGAGAAGACATGTGAGACCAGGTCGGGGTACCTATGAAAGGGGTGAGTCGCTGCTGTGTATGGGTAATCACGGCCATTAAGACTCTAGAAACATACCACTGAGCTGCTCGCCAGACGACAAAACCTCCCCTAAGCAAAGTGTTAGTCGACGAGCTTTTCGTTTGTATCACGCAAGCGATGGCTTACCAGTCGTGGCCACCGAGAATGATCTTCGGCGCGTTGACCTCTTTCGCCAACGCAGCAATGTCATCTGATGCTCTCTTAAGCCCATAGAGCTTGATGGAGTTTGGCGGGACTTTCGGAGCGTCCTAAATATCCCAACGTTGAGCATTCTTCTGGGGTAGCATGATTTCTGGGCCTTTCTTACTGTCTCGCCATATCCCATCATGTCCGGCGCAACGACCCGCATTCCCATATCGACTAAGAGTGGGATTTGATACCTCCATCCTATTGATAGGTCGGGCCAACCATGGATCTACCAAGGCAGTCAGTATCTCTAGATGTCCAATGCTCGCTAATATAACAAGATCCGGAATATGCCGCCAAAGCATGACAGGGTACCCAACAAGACTTACCAAAAACACGGTGTGCTGGTAGTCGCCAGAACGAGGTACTGCATAGAGGTAATGATATTTCTGCCCGTTGAGTGTCGCATATCTGTGCTCGACACGAGGGTCTGACACGGGGTCAATTGGTTGGACGGACATGACGTGACGTGTATGAAACTCAGGGTAAAAGAAGAATATATTGCGGCGAGAGTGTGGGAGAAGCTTGGGGTGTATAACAGTAGTAGTAAGGTCACTCTTGTGTGATGATGGCGGTGAGCAAGCGAGTCGGTTTCAGCGATGAAGTTGTAGATTCATGATGGGCTGTTAGATGCGTGCATGCCGAGGTACACTGAAACTGTGGGGTAT